CATTTACTAGGTTGCCTGCGTATTTGTCTATGCTGAACAATGCATAGTTGGAGGAAATTGGACTGAGCAAAATCAATTGACCCACTTGTGGTCCTTATTGTACTCAAGCTTTGACATTGTTGTTTATTTTTGCAAAGAGGTGGCATTGCAATGGCGTATGCAATGGAGATTTGTGATATGATGTAGTCTGTGTATCCAATTACAAGCTCGCATTGGCCGTGATCAGAATGGCATAATGTGCCATGACAACCTATTCACACATTGTAAAGAGTCAATTTGATGCAGTGGGAGAAAAAAATTATCACAAACTCATCATATTGTGATAAAAACAAAGACCATTTAAAACTAATGAAGGGAAAAGCTGCAAACAGCACTAGATGATTTCAATATTTTTTTGTATATTGCAATTTTACAATAAGAAAAAACTGCCTCAGGCCTTTCACACATAGTCTGACTTGAATGGTGACTGCACATAGAATCATTTACATGAATGGAAGGGGGAGTATTGATGGGTAAGAAGGTCAGTTGAATTATGGGTATGTCTGAGGAGGGGAAATCGATAGTGATCTGGTAGGACAGACCAGCAGTTATAAAAAAAAAGTTTGTAGAATTTTGCTACAATGTATTTTAACAAACTGCTACTGTAATGTTTTAGTGCTTTTTAGGAATATGTTCTGTTCCTTTTATGCACCTCTGGAACCCACCTGCTAGACTTCTCCTGGGCTGCACCATTCTTGTGTAACTCCCTTGTCCCTTCCCTGCCCCTATAGACTCTTACCCAGTCTCCATTCCTTAAAAAATCATTGAAAACTCACTTCTTCAGGAAGGCATATCAATTCAACTACTTTTCCTCTCCACACCTTCGTAAGCCACATTGCTTCCTCTCCTGCCCTGCTACTGTGTCATCCAAAATCTAAAATTATAAACTCTAGCAACCTATTTTTCCCATAATTATAGTTGCATAGCTGAAAGGAGACCTGTGCCTATCACATTTAGCCTTTCTCACATTCGTTTCTGCTGTTTAACAAAGAGAAGGCAAAAAAAACAAAACCTGAAGCTTTTGCGACAAACTAGGAAAAAAAATTGCTTGTTCACCCCAGAATAGCAGTCCAATATCTAATAAAAAAATATCTCCGTATATTCTGTTTTTGCAAGCATTTATCCAATTGTTGTTTAAACATCTATAAAGACTCTGATAAAACCACTTACTACTGGCAGAGAATTCCACATCATTACTGAAAAAAAACCCCAAAAACTTTATTTTTCCTTAGGAAAAAAGTTACCTGCGCGTTTTCCCAAATCCCTATGTATATTTATATTTAAACTCCATTTCTTTAAACATAGTCATTTGGGAAAGAGCGCAGGTAACTTTTTCCCCCTCTGGTTTTTACTGTATGTATTGGGGCTGATGTGTATTATGGTCTGCCGCCCAAGAGTATTGGGAGTTTGAGTGCAGGACTTGCTTTTTGTATTTGTATTCACGGTTGTATCACACAGCTATGTTATAATGCTGCTGCCCATCCCATGTGTTCCCTATTAAGGGTTAATGAGTATGTAGGGATGTATATAAAAATACCCCTCTCTGTCTCATTAGAGAGATTTTGTCAGAAGCTCAAGGAAGCAAGGTGAATGGGTAGTGTAGGACCCACCTGAGAGGTTTGCCTTGACATGGCAGGTGGGCAATCCCACTAATGGCCATTGGAGTACCTAAGCAACCTCCATTTGTGTAAATATACATAGGGTTTTGTGGGGGGAACGCATGTAACGTTTTTGGTTTTTTTCCTTTGTTTTTTTACTGTATGTATTGGGGCTGATGTGTACTATGGTTGTTGCTGCCGCCCAAGAGTAGTGGGAGTTTGAGCGCAGGACTTGTTTTTCTTTGTATTTTTATTTTTCCTTTGACTAAAACTCCTCCTTTCTTCCAGTCTAAATGTGTGACCTCATGCCCTATGTAAAGTCCGGTTTATGAATAATTTCCAAATAATGGTTTGTATTGACCCGAATATGTTTGTATAGTGCTGTCAAATCCCCTCTGACGTGCTGCTTTTCTAAACTAAAGAGATTTCAATTTAACCTTTCTTCATAACTAAAATGTTCAATTCCTTTTTTTAAATCAATGTTGTAGCCCGCCTCTGCACTTTTTCTAGTGCCATAATATCCTTCTTTAGAACATGTGCCAAAAATTGCACACCGTTTTCAAGGTGAGGTCATTCATAAAGAGGCAAAATTATATTTTCATCCCAAAAATAAATATATGAAACACATCTTTCTTTCTTCTTGTGCCACTTTGCCCTACTCTCTCTAGAATGTAAACGCGTTGGTGCATGGCCATCCGCAGCATCCAAGTTGTCTGTAAGTTCACTTATTGTACAGCGCTGCAGAATTTGTTTATTGCGTTCATAAATAATAATAACCACATTGGTCTCTGAGATGGGTTGCACCTGACTTGGAACATTCTGCCTTTTATACATGTAAGACAACAGCAGAAGCTGGTTCTTCATTGGCTTGCTTTGTTTATCCCAGGAAACCCCTTTCTTAGAGGTTTACTAAAGTGAAAAATGCATAATTACCATATGCTGTTAATGAAGCTGATTCTGGTAGTGCGGTGAAGAACACGGACATTCTCATAATCGCCACGTCCCCAAGCTGTCTTTATATAATCGTACATTTGCATTATGTTAAGAACTGCAGTGAGCTATGCTTGTGGCACAATTCCTCTTTGAAGTTAGAGAGATCTTAGTTTAACGCAGCTAGATCTGGCAACCAGCAACCACATGTATGCCGTTGTTGAACCCTCATTGTCTCCAGTAGGGAACCAGTGCAGGGTAATTGCATGAACATATGTAATTTAAGTAAAGTGAGATATTATGGAATATAAGTGCCTTTCGATACATTTCAATAGCATGTCTTCACCAGACTTTTTAGTACAAACCGTTTTAGCTGCAGGTTTATATACCCTGACATATCTGCAGTAATAGACCCAACCCCTGATGTAATAGGGCATTCCAGGGGACAATTTCTATTCATTTAACTGACATTATGGTTAATTTTCTATAAATCTAAATAAGAGCGGCAATAAAATAAATTTGATCCTGCTAATGGATTCTGAAATGTATTCATTCTAAACCGGGCTTTTCTGACTTTTAAGAATAGCAATAGAAACATACAGCTTACTGTTGAAAATGAAAGTTAATGTATTGGTGCTAATAAGCCAGTGTAGAATCCGGTATGTGCTTTTGCCATTAAACTTTTTCTGTTTTCACAATTTTATACAGCAGGACTCTGGTTTTGGGATGCTGTTAATAAGTGCTTGTGGAGGCATTTTGCAGGTCTCTTTTTTTTTTTTTTTTTTTTTTGTGCATACGTAATTCACATCTGGCTTACAATGCCACAACAGCTAGAGTAAGCATTTTTCAACATAGCTTGACAGTAGTTAGGCATTAGTGGATACTGCACAGTTTTATATATAATAACATTGCTTATCTAAGTATTGTTCTGTCTTGCTGCATATAGAAGGTAAAGTACAAGATGAAACATAGCAGAGTAAGATAAGTTTAGTGCTATAGAGTAAGGTGTTCTTATTGCAGGTTATGCTAGGTGTACTGGTAGTTGCTTAAGAGATTCTACATGTGAATTATTAAGCTATTTATAGCGATTATTCATAGCGATTATTCATAGCAGAGATTACACCGTGAGAGAACAGTATGATTAGTTATTAGAGAGACTAACAATATACGTGTACTATTTGTATGGCTGATAACATAGCATCGCTTGAATAATAATGTCGTTAGACACGCCAATGATATGTGGGAAGATGAGACGTCCCAACAGTAAGGTGAGAAACTGCAAGATGTGTTTTAAACAAAAAAAAAAGGTCTAACAGCTTATTGCAAATGTCCGCCAGGTTGAGTGGGTTCTGCAGGGTCTTCTTTATCGGCGTCATCACCGGAGCTAGCCAGCCGGCAGTCCGGGTCTTTTCATCTGCTCATCCGATGCCCAGTCTATGCAGAAGTGTAAGTTTGCGTTGCCGTGGGGTTGTTTGCTGCATGGTGGTGCTTTTCGGCATGTTGTGAGGTTGTGCCTCGCGTGGATGCTCACGGTGCTTCCCCATGTCGGTGAGTGGTTAGTGGGTCTTGTGGGCATAGAGGTCTCTCCCCAGCGTGTTTGAGGCCTGGTGTCTGCATCTGAGGGAGATGCTGCCGATACCCGCCTCTGTGTTCCGGAGCTCTGTCTTCGGCTGGAGGCCGCTTTGCGGGCTCGTGGCAGATATCTACCCAGTTGGCGCCGGGTTGTCGGTCGGATCCATGCAGCCACTGACCGCATGGTGATGTGGAGGAACCGGCCTTTAGTATGTAGCCTTGTCCGCAGACCGTCACTCAGCTGGGCAAAGAACTCCAGGGTGTGCTCTGGTGGTTTATCGAGGGTGGTTTTTGGCGCTAGGCGCTGCTGTGTCGCCATTTTGCATGGGTCCCCACCGTCCTGTTGGGTTGTGAGTTTAGTCGCTTGTAGAGGTTGCTTTGTGGGGGTAATCGTCCCCAGTGAGGACCGGGATATCCCCCGCCGGTCCAGAGGGGGAGGGGGGTGGGTGTAGCAGGGCAGTGTTCAATGCTAGCTTGTGAGTGGGTCTCGCGCCCGGAGGTCGGCCGCCTCCCCCGGGCTCCGCTCCAATGTAGGCCGCATGGCCGGTTTGTGTGCCCGTAGCGTATAGTGGTGCATGGCGGGCATGGTTCGAATCCCCGTGTGGTCCTGCATCGGTTTTGGGACCTTGTGAATAGCTGGCACGGGTAGTTAAATCAAGGTTGTCATATGTTTGCCCGTTGTAGTCAGAGTTCACAGTGAGCACGTCCAACCATCTTGGCTGTCAGGCCCCGCCCCCCATTTTGCAGGTCTCTTGATCAACACAAATATCTTTTTTTTTTTTTTGCCTCTGATAAGGAATGATTTATTTACAATAATCTAGACTTTTCATGCTAAATAGACTTACTATGCTTGTTGTTGCCATGGAGTGTAGGTATATTCAAGGCCAGTATTCTTTCCTAGAGAGGAGGGGTGCAACAGAACCTTTGTGCTTATTCTATAATGAGTGTCCTTGGGATGTTGCTTAGAGATGCAGTCTGTCTGTTTGTCCTGTTCAGCAAATGATCATGGTACATATAGATAATGGTTCGTGAGCACTTGCCAAGATTTAGAAACAATAGCTGAAAAAATGAATTTAGTTTGAAATTTCTAAACACACACTGCTGGTATAACAGCAGCTTGTGCACTTCCCATGGAATCTGTATACTCTAAACTTCCTCTGTCTTTTGGACAGTTGCAAGAAAAAACAAAATAAAATAAAAACTCCTTCCTCCAGGAGGGAATCATTAAATTGCTTAGCAATGACCATCGGGACATCAGCTTCCTGAAATAATGTGAGCAGAAACACATTGCATGTGTGAGTCTCGCCTGCCTAATGTGTAACCCTGCAGCTGTATATTCTGCTTACAATGTGAGAGGGCTTTGTGGCAAGCAGCTGAGAAAATCTGCTTGGTACATGAGCATTAAAGTGTCCCTTTAGGCTGAACTGGAAAAAATAATGAATAAACATTCAAGGAAATAAAACCACATTGTCTGTATGTAGCGCTCATGTCACAGACTAAAAGTGAAGGTTGTACAAACTTCTGATTGGCTACTTGGAATTTCTGCTTAACTAATCTGCTATGGGTGCTCTGTGTTCTTATTTGGTACAATGACTTTTAGATGCAAAGACTTCCTATTTAATTGTACAGCTAGCAATGAATTGGCTTTAGCAAAACCAGAAACTATAATCTGGCTCCATTCTCTTATGTTTGTTGGGTAAAATTTAATTCACTTTTATTTCACTGTATTAAAATTGCATTGAACCAAATGTGTCCCTTGTATAATAAAAGGATCTTATTTCTACATTTGATGGTAGCTCTGCCAAATTGAAGCCGAATAGTCCTGGACAACAGCAAAAATTCCCCACTATAGTGGGGCATCTATAATCTTTAATGCAGGGTCAGCTCTTCAGTATTTTGTTTGCATAGAGAGAAGTACTCTTATTACTTTAGTCTGAGAGAGAGAGGAAATATATCTTAACAGCTAGCCGATAGGCAGCTGAATTGTAGTGGAAGTATAACTGGGATACCTGAATTTGCCTTTTGTATATATCTTTCCGTGGTTGACATTGCAAACTATGTGTTAAAATAGCCAAACCTGGAGCACCTTTCGGCTGCTTTTAGTGAATAGACTCTATTTGTGTTTAAATATGTGCCCATGCTACACTGTCTGTAACAACAATGTGTTTTTGTCTTGCAGTAACTGATGAGGATACAGTAAAGCGATATTTTGCCAAGTTTGAAGAAAAATTCTTCCAAACCTGTGAGAAGGAGCTTGCCAAAATAAACACGTTTTATTCAGGTAATTGAATACAAAAAGCACAGAGAACACTATGTAAGTGATGTGTGGTCTTGATTGTGGAAATTTGCTGAGAAAATGCAGTGCAATTTCTGTGGCACTGATTGTTGAAGATTGCTAGGAGAATGTCATGTGAGTAATGGATTGTTGAAAATTGTCACTGATTTTTGTATTTTTTTTTTACTGTGGTTACAGAAAAATTGGCAGAAGCTCAGCGACGCTCAGCCACCTTACAAAATGAGCTGCAGTCCTCGCTGGATGCACAAAGAGAGAACAGCAGAGCACCAGCCCTCCGGCAGCGCAGAAAAGCAGTGTTCACTCTGTCACATGAAGAGCGAGTCCAACATAGGAACATCAGGGACCTAAAATTGGCATTCAGCGAGTTCTATCTGAGCCTTATTCTGCTGCAGAACTACCAGGTGTGCACAGTCTTTAAATACACCTGCCAAACTAACAGGGTTTTTTACCAAAGGGAGAATTTGAAGTGAATTCCAAATATAAGGTCAAATCAACGAACTTGAACAATTCTGTAAGCCAGCAATTCTCTTATTTTGGCTATTCTGCCCTTAAGCTTGAAATTCAACTTGAATTAATCAATTTAGTGATTAATGAAGGTGATTGAATGTGGTTCACAGTGGCTCATCTCTGCCTCACTTTTCATGAACTAACCAGGGTAGCCTTACATATGTTCCAAGAAGTTTCAATTAAATAGAATAATGACCGTCGCAAACAAAAAGTATTAAGTGCAATCATTCAAATTCTCCCCTGAATATTTAACATTTTTAATAAAGAAAATGTTTGTGATTAATCAAGATTTGGCAAGACTGGAATAAATAACGTCTCTAAAAACATGGATTTTCTCTCTAAATATATAATCGAATTTTCAGAAATCAAACCTTAGAGGAGGAAAGGATAAGGCTGGGAAACTATGGTTGACATGGGATGGTATTCTATCTGTATACAACTTTGGGCTGCACACCGTAACACTTTTTCCATGAACAATGTGGGGGGAGGACTTGACCATGATAAGGGATTTGCTAATGTGTACTAAAGTGTTACTGAAAAGGTGGGTGAGACAGTGCAGCACACAAGCACTCTTTAGGATTTTATCTTTTGTCCTTGAGAAGTGGAACTGAAGGTCCCAGTTTACAGCTGCCTTCCCATCTCTTCCAAAACCTTTTAGTAAATCTATGTTTATGCAGCAGTTTAGCTGCTTGGCTAAAAAAACTGTTATCTGATCATAACAAGACAAAATACTAAATAAAGGGTGAATCACTAACGAGATTTGCATAAGGGAAGGGAGAGAAAAAAATATCCCAGAAAGCTACAGTTTACTTCTTATTACTGCATGGTTGACCAACTCTGTACCTCCATGTCTTCTACAATTTTCTGCTAGTCTTTTGCATTCAAAGAATTCGGAGAGTTGTTTTTGGTTTAAGCATGATTAGAATCACATAAACATTGTTCCTTTTATGTTTTTTGTTTGTTTTCTTTGTTTTTGTGTTGTGTCCTGTTTTAAAGTTATTACCAAGGAAACGCAGGGATCACTTTCTATTACTGGCTTTCATGCTGGAGGCGGAGTCAGAATGTTAATTAACTTCCAGTGCTTAAAGGGACTCTCCAGTGGCAGGAAAACATACCAGTTTTCCCCCCATCCCATGTTGCTGAATGGGTTAAAACCCCTTCAGTGCCTTACCTGAATCCAGGCTGTGCCCCCACTCCTCCCCCGCCGATGGCAGCCAGCAGGGGAGACCTAATGCGCATGTGCGTCAATGGCCGCGCGCACGTATTAGACCTCCCCATAGCAATGCATTTTTTTAACGACATCCAACGTCGTTTAAAACACTTTTCGTTAGACAGCCACTAGAGGAGGACTTAACCCTGCAAGGTAATTATTGCAGTTTATAAAAACTGCAATAATTACCTTGCAGGGTTAAGGGTGGTGAGAGTTGGTACCCAGACCACTCCAATGGGCTGAAGTGGTCTGGGTACCTGGAGTGTCTCTTTAAAAAAACAAAAAACAAAACAAACAAAAACTATACAGTACTCATTTTGAGACAACAATGTGAAAAAGTAACCACTTCTAGATAATATGTAATTACGTGGACTCCTTGCAACATTCCTTATACAGTATTATATATTAATTTATTTTATTTATAATATAGCATTTAACTGTACCATATCATCCCTTTCACAACACCAGTTACATTTCAACTTATTTGTAAAACACATCCTTGCCCATGAGCACCATCAATTGAGAATATTTGGTTTGGTACCCCAGGATTATGTGAACCACATAGATGATCTATCTCATGGTTTAATATATACTGACATGTTTAGTGTTTCTGCATTTAGTTATTACAGCAAATATATGTATATAACACAGGCCAAGTACCACGTCAACCTTTACTTTAATAGAGCGTTTAGCAGAGGCTGCATACAATTATTCTTATTTGAGAGCTCGCTATAAATATACTAGTATTTACTGAGGTTTGATGTCATAGCAAAGTATCAATAAAGTCAGCTAACGTCTTCTGATAAAACTATCTAGTGAGCTCTAACATTTTAATAGCTGATCATGATTTTTCAAACACATGCTTGCTTGCAAACCTATAGTTAATGACGTGATTATCTCCTACAAGTTGGGTCCTTAAGAGTCCATATGACTTCACATGCATATCATAGCCGTGTACTGCAAACCGTATGCTATAATCTCAAACCATTATTCTGTACATATTACCTAGTTTATTGGTTACAATAATGGATTTTTTTCTTACCCCTGTTTTCTTCAGAATCTTAACTTTACCGGCTTCCGCAAGATCCTAAAGAAACATGATAAGATCCTGGAGACAGGTCGTGGGGCAGACTGGCGTGTGGCTCACGTGGAAGTGGCGCCATTCTACACATGCAAGAAAATCAATCAGTTGATTTCTGAGACTGAGGTATCCTAGAAAGCATAACTACCTTTTAATTGTCAGAGACATGACATGCATGCACCCATGTATTCACAGTTTAAAGATTCTTAGCAAGGCTGCAAAATGATGCATAATGTGCATTTCCTTTTAGTTATGCATCCAGCACATTATTATTATTCACGTCTATTTTAAAAAGATGGCGTGAAAACTAACAATACATTAAAAAGTTCAATATTGTTTGCAGCAACCCCCTCCTCAGATATTGGTAATAAGATTCAAACAGTGAAACAACAAAAGTGCTGGTGCGCAAGATTTAAAAGAACACCCTTAGTGATACTATGTAGCAAAAGTGCTCTCTGGGTGTTTCTATACAAAATAGTGCGATAATATTAACCCACAATATAACACGTGTATATACTTGCAATTCTGTAAGTATACATTGGTGGTATCTGCAAAAAGGAGACAAAAAGTAACACATAAAGCACTCCTAGTGCAATAAAGTTACAAAATAAAACAAATATGTATAAAACCTTTGTAGGTATTGAACTCACAAGTTGAGTGATAATAACCCCACTCAAAGCTATAACGCCCTGGGAGGACCTGTCCCTAGAGTACGTGGGATCCAACAGATGCTCTGGTGACCCGGGTTACAGGTCAAAATAACTCCTTTATTTCAAGCCTTAAAAACACACAAAGCAGCAAAATAAGTCCACCGTCTGCTCACCAGCCCTCTGGTAGTTAAGGACAGTTGGGATGTAGCCGCCGTCCTTCTCCTTCTGATTGTGGCTGGTCTCGCCGGTGTGCAAGCTTCACCCTTCTGTGGTCCCGTGACGCGTTTCGCCCCTCCTCCAGGGCTTTCTTAAATGAGCAGTTTCTCCTCCCACCACTGATTCTTTTATTGGCAGGGCTCTTTGCCGTGGTCCAATCGGCATATAGCAATCTCCACCTCGCACAGAGAGAGTTTCTAGAATACCATAAAGTCTATCCACTCCAAATAAAGTCCTTAATTCATCAGTTCAAAAAATGTTATGTTATAAGGATAAAGTATCAGAACTAATTCATAAAGGGGACAAAATAGGAATCTGATCAGAAATTAAAACGTACCTCACACTACTTACATAAACTATTTACATTAAAAAAAATCACGTATCCAAGATATACATAACGTTTGCATGTTAACCAAGGAACCTATGTTCGTTTACCCATTACTATACCAGACTTTTAAAAAGCAGAAGATTGTCTAACTCAAAACTTAAAACAAGTCACTTATCAAAATACAAATATGACACCCAGAGAGCACTTTCTTTGCTACATGGTATCACTAAGGGTGTTCTTTTAAATCTTGCACACCAGCACTATTGTTGTTTTACATTATTATTATTCACATTAAGTGTTTTACATTTTATGTGTTAGCAGAATTTGCATGCATTATATACTGCACAGTCTATTGCTGTAGATTTCGGAAGCTTTCATTTTTTTCTCCCTGTACCTTGCCATTGTCAGAGGAGCTCTTTATTTTTGTTCACATTTTTGCATAATAAAGTGAGTATTATTTTTTTTTTGTTTGTTTTTTTTTTTGTAATTTGTTTTGTAAATATTGTGACCAGTGGAGGCGGGCCCATACAGCTTCTGTATGGGGATTCTGCTGAGTGACATAGCGACCTAGCCTATAAAGATTTTGTGATCATTCTGGGGAACTAACACAAATCTTGGATGTCATTAAAGACAGGCTTGCGTATTGTCCCATATTCAAGAGTTCTTATCGGAGGGTTGACATCTTCAAAGTCTAGGTTTATGGTGTTGAACAGGTTATTTTGTGTTATTGGGTCAGTGACCAAGTACGCTGTGTTAAAGAAATACTCCAAACACCAGAACCCCTTACAGCAGGGGTCCTCAAACTCTGGGCCGCATTAGGCCCACCAGGGTCCTGAACCCAGCCCAAGCACTTAGGGCCATCTGATGGGCCCTATATCATCAGGAATACCTGGTGTATGCAGTGCACTGCAAGCCTAGTTCACCTCACAGGAAGTATCGAATCCAGTTCTTCTCAAAGAGAAGTATTAGCTGCATTTGTTAGTGTTGTGTTGTGTGGTTCATGATAACGATAACGCAGAATGTGAAGACCGTTGAAAATTAACGTCTTAAGGAGGAAATGCCTTTAGAGTCTGTAAACATTTCTGTGTATCAGAAATGCCTGTGTTTACTTTACTAGACAAAAAGTACAGCATCTACGCACCAAACAAGAGACTGGTTTTGGTGTGTAGAGTCTCCTTTTAAATATTGGCTAACTGCAATCTTCACTCAAGTTAAAGAGCTGGAGAAACCACCCAACATACTTGTATTACTATGAGGAAGAGAGGACAATTAAATGGAAAAATTACAATTTAAAAACTAGGAACATTTGCAAGAGAGAAAAAAAATAGTTTTTATGCACTGTACAATGCAAGCAATATTTACCTCATCATGGCAATATTATTATATGTTACTGTGAAAGTTCCAACATTTTATGTCATGAACGGGGTTGATGCCAGTTGCTGAATACAGATTGTGCATTTGTCATATTCTTTCTATTTCATACCCAGGCTGTAGTGACCAATGAGTTGGAAGATGGGGACAGACAGAAAGCCATGAAACGCTTGCGTGTGCCACCTCTAGGAGCTGCCCAGGTAAGCCGTTTTATGTGAAGTAATGAGTTTATTGAATTAGGTATATATTACAACCTGTAGTTCCCTTTATTTCAAACCCAGATGCTCTAGTGAAACCAGCAGCTTCCCAGGTATTAAGATAATGGTTTGTCTCCATTTCGTTGGGTTTAAATCCATGATGAAATGTTCAACTATGTTGATCTTTTGTTACTTGCTATTGCCATGGTTCTGATTAGGTGATGGTTTAGCATGTGTTCCTACAGGCTGCTTTCTAAATTATAGATGTTACAGAGAGTTGCTGTGAATAGAACCTAAATTACATTATATATACACAACATGCCTCACTTTTTAACTTACCTGATATGTGCCAGTATATTGCAATATCAGTACTGTGATACAGATAAGTAACAGAATGCTACAGTATCTCGTAGTATCTTTTATTCGACTAACACAATTTTGCGAGCATTCCATTATTGTTTTCCTATATCAAGTCAAAATTCTGTTTGCGCTACAGAAATGATATTATGCAATACAGCCATGTGCAGTAGTGTGTTGTTGCGCACACACACTATATTTATATATCACATAGATTACCTCATCCATTTTTCATGTAATTCTGCATCTGTTTATTAGAACAATTTAGTGACTCCTCCCACTAGCCATGCTGTCTATATTTCCTTTTTGCTGTGCCGATTTAACATGTTAATTAAGACCTTTAATATGCACATCTAATAATGCTAAAACACTGTTTTTGTTTACGCAGCCTGCACCAGCATGGACTACATTCAGAGTGGGACTCTTTTGTGGGATATTTATTGTTCTGAATATGGCTGTTATTATTGCAGGTGAGTTTTAACTTTGGGTTACAGAAGTCCCCTTTAAACTTTGACATTTATTTGCACAATATATTGTTAGAGTATTTATGTTATACCCACCCCTATACTCTCAGCACATTATTGTGTAGGAACATGTCTAAAGTTGGACAAATCACTACTTGACCCTGCTGAAATGTACGTTCTGCATTATCAGTGTAGCTACAGAGGGCATAGGCTGTGACTGTCCCGGTTTTTGACAAACTGCTCCAAAACCGTTTGAACCTCAAGTTGGAATATTATTTGTAGGATTTTTCTTTTTGAAGACTGTTCTTCAACAGGAATATGACTGCCATTCCATATTTCCCAATATAAATGTTACATTAGAACAATGCTATTGACAATGCATCCAAACATAAGAAAGAGGGTCGAGCACTCCAATTTATTGGGTAATGTAAAAGACTATTATATGAGTCGAAATGTTGCACTTGTATGTGTGCTGTTACCTAATATATGTAGTGCTTATTACTGGAAAATAATTATTGGAGTGCTGGACCCTTTTCTTGTGCTTTGAATTTCTGGTTTTCATTTTCTTTAGGATCTGTTAATGTATACTGGCTTTTCTTTTTTGAATTGTACTCTAAGCATCAAAACCAACTACTGTTTACTGTAGTGGTCTTGGCCTTGGTGCCTAGATGCATTTGATAACGTTTCTCTATGAGGAAAATCCTAGTGCAGCAGTTGGGTCCTCAATGATTCTGTATGAAGAAGCATTTGATAGACCTGAAGAGGCACTGTCACGCCGAACTTGCCTTTCCCCAATCCCTTCCTCTTCTTTTCCTCTCTTGGGATCTAGGGACTACTTTGTGTTATATCTTTTTCCTACGCTTGACCAGCTTTGACCTACTTACCGTGGTACTTTTCTCACAATACTTACCCTTTGCTCGGTGATCTCACGATGCTTCCTTTCACTATTGCCGAACATCCTGTCATTTAGACAAGTCTCCTGTGAAACTACCGAATTTCATCCTAATAGCATGCGTATATTTTGTTCAATCGTGTTAGGACACCTTTCAGTAATTTCTGTTCGGATCGGCATTTCATGTGCATGAATGAAATACCGATCCTATTTATGTCACGGCTGCATCTTGCAGCCACTTGGTAAATAGCTTCCTAATTTGCATGGTATTGGGGAGCTTATACTTCCTATTACTATTTTTTTAGTTCAAATATATGTAACCTTCTTGGATTTGGCTATTCCTTTAAAATGTGACATAAATCCCTAATTAATTTATTCATTTTTCTTTTAAAAGTAACTCCATTTGTAAAAAAAAAAAAAAGCACACCTCCCCTGTTCTTTTATCCTAATGGACTTCCTTCTTTTCAAGGTGCTATCAAGCTTCCAGGTACGGATGTGTGGCCCTTAGTGAGGATTTACAGGGGTGGTTTTCTGCTGGTGGAGTTTCTCTTTCTCTTGGGAATCAATACATATGGCTGGAGGCAAGCTGGTGTCAATCACGTCCTCATCTTTGAGCTCAATCCCCGAAACAACCTCTCCCATCAGCATCTCTTTGAGGTAAGACCTCCTTCCCGTTCCATCCTTATACTTTAAATGGGTGAGAGACAGCGCATTACACTGTTTTGTCTTGTGCACAGAAATATCTCACTTTTATCATTAAATAAAAATTTTTGGTAATCAGAGGTAACCAAAAAGGAGATTACCAAAATAAATGAAAGGCCAATGTGTGCAGATTTAAGGATATATAAAGGTATTAGATTCTATGATAAAGTGTGCTCCTGTCTTAATAAACATCTGTACATCTATCTTGCCTAGACACCTCAAAGCATTTTTATTTATTTTTTGCCCAGTTCAGAGAAAGCTGTAGTTGAGGAACACATTAATATTGGTGCATATTTGGCTTACTAATGGTTTGCTTTTATACGTTTATTTCTAAGCTAATTGGTGAGTCTTTACATATAATTTGTGATGTCACTGATATTCAGCCTATCCACTATTTAGCCCCTTTATTAGAATGTGTGTGTGAATTTCTCTCGATATTTGTGTGTATATTATTTATTTTAGAGATATTTAAAGAGTACAGCACACTCTATTTATGACTAATTTGAAATATTTTATATATACATACAAAAACATGAAAGCTTCATAACATTTCGTAAGCCTGCCACAACATCAGTGTTTCCTATGTTTTTTTATATTAATCCACCTGCTTTGGATATTAACCCTTCACGGCTGTATGCAGTGCCAAGTTTAAATCTGGCCCTGCAGTAAAGCATCCTTACAGAGAAGGGTGCAAACAATAGTTTGGTTAGACTCCAATAAATTATATACAACAAAAAGATTGCACGCACCTAAAAATTCACGTTTTATACGGGTGCTGATGGCAGCCCAGGTGAATGGATATCTAATGTAAGTTTGTTAATTTCATGAGTGCAGGCATTAGGTTGTTGGAAAAAGACTTGATAAAAATGTGGTAGACGGACGTTGTGAAAGATTTATGAAATGTTTTAATATATTGAAAGGCGTCTTTATTATTTGTGTGTTTTTACTCATGTTTTGGTCTTTAAAGTCAGTCTGAAATATTGTTACGTTGGTCCAGCAGCACCCTTCCAGGCTATGCTCATACAGGAGAGTGCAACCGTTTCTATTCTGTATACGTGTATTGCTGTCTGTATATCGTGTGTGTGTGTGTGTTATATATACATACATTCTGTGTCTACCAAGTGTTAACTGAGTAGAATGTGCTTGTACCTGAATATTCATGAGCTCCTCTGTATACAGTCATCCTTCCTGTGCAATCAGTGCACTGTAGCATGCTCAAATCTCTCCTATCTTAGAGACTCGCATATTGTCTTTCACAGCTTCCAAGAAATATATATCCAATGCCTGCCAGCAGTTCATCTACTACAGTTTTATTCCTTGGTATCCTGGTTTTATCTATTAACTATACTGTACTGTGATGCATATTAAATACAGTACCCAATTCACTAATATCTGGCATGACAACGGTGGATATACATCCTTATTTACACTTAAATGCCTGTTAATTATCATTTTCTTTGTTCTGGTTTGGACTTTGTATGTCATCCTACCAAACTAGACCCTAACATGTAATCTCTGTCATTTCTGTAATTGGTTCATTCGTAGATACAAAGAAATAAAATAGCATTCAATAAACTCTATTTGCAGTTAATCTGTATAATGCTCTTTGTGTGTGTGTGTGTGTGTGTGTACATAGCAATACACTCTTGAGTATTGCAACCAAGCCTTCTTAAACTGCCTTGTTCTCCCATGCTGTAATCTGTAGCATATCCCAAAATTGATGCATTTAATATTGCTATAATCATACAAACCTTAAACCAATATATCTTCTGCTTCATATCTGCAGAACCCCGTATTTAGGAAATATGCCTGTAGAAAGTTTTATTGATGACCCAAAGCCTGATAACACCAAATGTCCTCCTCATGCTTTTTATAAAACTATGAGAAATTGGCGTCTTAGATATTTAAGTAGCACCGTATGCAGAGATTTTTCAATTTGATTGCGTGTGAAGGCACAGTCATCTTGTTCTGGCGGCTCCTCTCGCAAGAGTACCACATTGAGGTCTATCCTACGGTCTCGCTGGATCGTCCTTAGACAAAGCCAATTCCCTGCAGCCGTCACTGGCAACGGATGTCGGGATTGACACTATAGCTCTGCCCAGAGTCTAAGAAAGTCAGGCGGAGGAAATATACTGAGACAAAGTAAGGATTACTTTGTCTCTGCATATCTCTTGACTGGCTAGGAATTTCAGTGAAATTCCAACAAAGTCAAAATGATTTTCATCTTCATGAGATACTAATTTCTCAGGGGGGTTACTGTGCCACTTTTAAGGGAGTTTGTTTCAGTGCCGCAAAAGCATTTGTCATGATGCACGTTCTGTGTGGCTGACAGATTATAGGATACCTGTAAATGTTCTTTCCAGATGTATACATACACATTAACTTGTCTTTCTGTTGATTGATCGATGCATTACTGAACATATTAAAGGAAGTGTTATATAAACAGTAATGTACATGTTCTGTTTATTATTTGCCATCATTCAGATTGCAGGCTTCCTTGGCATGCTCTGGTGCCTCAGCCTCCTGTCCTGTATCTTTGGATCACAATTCTATGTGTACATGCAAGTGAACCCTCTCCTACTCTATGGCTTCATGTTGCTGTTCCTTGTCAATCCCACTAAGACCTTCTATTACAAGTCTCGATTCTGGCTTCTTAAACTGTTGGTAAGTGTCCTTCCTTCACAGATTGTTATGCTTTACTTCCCGTTACAGGGCATTATACATGTTCCATTATGCTCCCATCCTCGTTAACTCTGTAAGGACAGAGCTAATTGTCCACATTCTAAACCAAAACAAACCTTTAATTTTAGCTATAGCTTTGTTCCACCATAATTTAAGTGTTTCTCTTCAAGTGCACCCATACTTAGTATATATCGTTCGTTAAAGGAAGAAATTGCTTTAATTTAATGAGACCTACATATATAGCTTCTCTTTTATAATTTGAATGCCTTTTTAAAAAGCTGTTTGCAGCAGAGAATTTCAGTGGTGCAAATAGCTCATAAAAAAGATGTGGGCCACTAAAAATTTCCACGGCTGACAGAGGGAAGCCCCAGGTATCCAATGATACCTGAGACTTCCTTCTGTGAACGGGGTTTTAGCCCTGCTCACACCAGATATGCAGGGCGTTCTATGCTGCCCTACAGGCTTTAAGCCCTTAAGGACCAAACTTCTGGAATAAAAGGGAATCTTGACATGTCACACATGTCATGTGTCCTTAAGGGGTTAAAGATCACTTTACGTAGGGCAGCCTAACGGTGTTAAGGGGTTAACTTAGATCAGGGCTGTCCAACCTGCGGCCCCCTAGATGTTGCTGAACTACAACTCCTATGATTCCCTGGCTATCTGTTTCATTGAAAGAATCATGGGAGTTGTATTTCGGCGACATCTGGGGGGAGAGGGGAGGGTAGCTTGGACAGGCCTGACTTAGATGGTACTTACCTGAATGTTCTAATATCTCGAGAATTAAACTCGCGTTTAACACCCAGTGCTGCCCCCATCATAACATTGGAGGTACAGATGATAAATACAGTATCACTGTGCTCTTCAGCCAATCAATAGAGCACACCTAAGCAGCCGTTTTCAGTAGGTCAATCCAACCTGTCAAAACAGATGCTTGTTTTATATGAGAAGTGTACATGACCTAGTTAATGTCGCTTATCTATGATCTATGCTAACTAGGGTCTCACTGCCATAGCTAATTTTTTGCAATTGAGTTTTATGCTAAATAATATATATATTTAAAGGACCATTATAGGCACCCAGACCACTTCAGCTTAATGAAGTGGTCTGGGTGCCAGGTCCACCTAGGATTAACTCTTTCTGCTGTACACATAGCAGTTTCAGAGAAACTGCTATGTTTACCTATGGGTTAGTCCAGACTCTAGTGGCTGTCTCATTGACAGCCGCTAGAGGCGCTTCCGCGCTTCTCACAGTGAAAAGACGCCAGCGTCCATAGAGACTGGCTGAATGCGCGCACGGCCAATGACGGGGAAAGGAGGAGGAGAGTCTCCAGCACCGAGGGAGTGTTTAACCCCTTAGTTTCCATCCAGCCCGGTGGGAGTGGGACCCTGAGGGTGGGGGCACCCTCAGGGCTCTATAGTGCCAGGAAAACGAGTGTTTTCCTGGCACTATAGTGGTCCTTTAATATACATTTAGAATAATATATGTATATATTTTTTTCTTAATCTTTGCATCTCCTAAAGTTTCTCTTTGCTCCACTCATCACTTTTACTATATTACTGTTTTGTTGGTAATTTTTGGGAATTACACCAGAGTGTGAAGCGACTTTTTACACCTTTTCTGCTTAAGCACCCAGATTGTATTTCATTTTCCTAAAGTAGCCAGAGTTTCAAAAGACAAAAAAAACCCACAAAGATAGATATATATGTGTGTGTGTGTATATATATATATATATATATATATATATATATATATATATATATATATATATATATCCTCTGCATTCTTTCTAATGTGAGTCTTCCTCCCGTGACCCTCTCCCTTTTGTTTCCATATAGTTTCGTGTATTCACTGCACCCTTCCACAAGGTGGGCTTTGCAGATTTCTGGCTGGCCGATCAACTCAATAGTCTGGCTGTAATCCTCATGGATCTGGAGTTTATGATCTGCTACTACAGTTTAGAGCTTGATTGGAATTCACCTACTGGATTGCTCAAAAAAGGTATCCAGACCAGTGCCTTTCTACTCTCATGGAATCCATATTAACTGCATGCCTTAAATTATAACACTAGTCGCAATACTAAAAAATACTATGGGTACACATCCTGCGTTTATTGTGTACTTGTTATGTAGATATGACTTTATTATGTTCAATTTTATTCTTTAAAGACAGATACTTATAGATATTTCCGCTAATTATTGTATTTTCCAAACTACCAACAAAAATAAAGATGAAATATATGTGAAGATGATTTAAGCTTTCACATGTATGGCGATATATATATATATATATATATATCCTGTTATTTAGACAACATCCTGTTATTTAGACCCTGAAGAAAGTCCCGAACAGCCACTTTTTGCTATTTGTGTCTATTGGAGCTCTGGCGTATCTACCCGGCGTTGGGAACAAGTAAGCGTGAGTGCAGGGGTTCCTCTATTTTTTTTTATATATATATATATATATATATATATATATATATATATATATTTATTTCCGTTGGGTGTTTGCGGATCGCTCCTGTGAGCCTGGAATCTGGCTAATACCTTTTCATGCAATGATGTGTTTATTGAGCTTCGTTAGCAGTTCTGATCCCAACCACAATCTAAGTTTAAAAAATAGGTTACCATGTTTCCACATAGTGTGAGGTTATGTATTTTTGTAGTTGTTTCACTGGCATCTCTATTTCTTAAAGATACCGGCATATGCAACACATATACATATGGAGTACGTGCTGTGGTTCAGTGTATTCCTGCCTGGCTCAGGTTTATCCAGTGCCTGCGACGATACCGTGACACCAAGAGAGCCTTTCCTCATCTGGTCAATGCTGGCAAATACTCCACTACCTTCTTTATGGTCACGTTTGCTGCTCTTTACACCACTCATAAAGGTAAGTGTTTTTCATGTTTGGCACAGATAGAAGGTACAGACAAGTACTTCAGCTGGCAGGTAGGTTCCTCCTTTGCAAGGAAAGGACTCCACCAGTCTGGAGCCTCTTCTTCTAGTATTATTATTATTATTATTATTATTATTATTACTGTAATTTTGAAAGCACCAACATATTCCGCAGCGCTGTACAATTTGGAAAAAGACTATACAATAAGAACTGACCGATACAACAGGTAAAGGGCCCTGCCCGAGCGCTTACAATCTAAAGGTTTAACTGGGGAGATGAGACAAAAGGTAGCAGAGGAATTTGTATGTGATGGCAGAGAGTTTTCTTAGTATAACTGCAGCAGCTGATAGCATGTGAAGATAATAAGGAGGTGATTGGCTGTGGTTCCAAACAGCTGGAAGAGCATGCTATATAGGTAGAAGGAACCAGAGTGGGCGGGAGGAGGGGCAGGGAGGTGGGTTGAGCCGAGTAAATTAAATGGGCTTGTTGCCAGGACGGATGTAAAGAGTAGAGAAGCGTTATTTAAAGGAATTTATGGCTAGTAGTGGTGGGGGGGATGGTTGAGCAGACTAGCCATTTGTCTCATGCAATTACAATATTTGACCAAAACAAATACTATCAGCCAAATTATTAATAATTAAATGTTACTGCAAGTACAAAATTATGCAGTAGTCAACTACAGGTACAACTAGTAACATTGTTATAGTAAATTAATAATGTAGTAACTAAGAGGAAGGAAATCTGGTAGAATAACTTCTGATTCTCAGTCTGTAGTATATTTGTTTATTAATTGCTACACAATCCTCTGTTCATCCTATGTGATGAGTGGACCTGATGAATGAATTCATCTATGTCCTTTTTTAGTATCCTGGACCATTTCTGTATTACCTTTTTGCATATTGTTTAATAAATACAAATAATTTTTTTCCCTTTTTTTGTGTCCAGAAGTTTTGTCGTTATCCACACACTTAGTGGCATAATATATTATTGCTTTTGTGACATTCGTCCATCCAATATACTAATTACCTCTTATAGATCTTCAAAACAGTAGTGTATTAAATTAAGCACTTAAAATAAAGTGAATATCGGCTTTAAAACACTTTTGTTTGGGAATACCGCTATACCCACACACGAGTTGAAATACAATTGTGGTAAAAGTGATTCAGAAAGGATCGCTAAAAACGTGTATGCAATTTTGTTACCCTTTTTAAAATTATGTAATATCACAGATACACTCCAAATACAGAAATGGAAAAAATATATAGTGCAGATGGTAATGTACATAAACCTTAAAATAGAGTTTAATAGGGTCAGAACCTGTAACTACTGGCTCATTAAACAGCACGTCTGTGCCTTTTAAGGTACCATGCCACCTCCCATCGAATGACTTTCCAAATGTGAGCATAGGGAAAGAAAGCGAGTAGACTCTAGTTGTACAGTATATACTAAACCTGCATATGTAAAAATTGGCTTAAGTCTCTTAAGCTCACTTTACTCAGATCCCACAAACCCTGGCTCTGGAGTTGAATACATGTTGCCAAGTTGGGGCCTGGCATAAACCCTAACAGGACCACCACTGGAACTGGAAACCACTTTTAAAACAAAAATTTAATTAAAAACCAGAGTCATGGGGGTGGGGCCTGACTGCCATGGCAGAGAATCGCATCTTGCTTGAGCTCCTGTCCTACTCTAGCAATACAAGCTGTTTTTCGCTACATCAAGCACAAAATATCACTCTCCCAACGACTCACCTCCTTCCCGACCTGACTGCAGCACACTGCGGAGGTTGGAAACGTGACAAACTCCCCGGCAGCACAATCTGAATAATGCGGCTTAGAGTGCAACGGACGAAAGAGGCGGTCAATCTCCCAGGCCGGAGTGGTTCAACAGCTTTAATCACTATGCAAGTGCCATGTAACCCCATCCCCCCAGACCAGCGGGGGTGATCCCGGTCCAACCCTGGGAGGATCACCTGCACTACTGGGCACAGGGTGAGAGACCACAGAGAAAGCAGGGAAATCAAGTGAGCCACCCAGCATGGCGGACGCCACGTGGCACCAAGACCCTGTCGATGGACAAAGCGTCCTAACGACCAGACTCTATAGAATCTTTGACATATTCTGGCAGGACCTGGAGAAAAGGAGGCATCACACCACCTCTGAGCAGCAGATAGCACACTCACCATCACAGCAGGTCGTGCGCCCACAGCAGACACCCGCAAGACAAACAGACTTGCCGACACAAGCAACGCCATACCGGTGTCCACCTAAATGGTGGGAAAACAAGACACCCAGACCGCGACGACGGATCAAGTCGCAACTGACCGTGCACCGCTCCACACCTTCTGAACTGGACACCGACGCGGCTCCAAAAGTGAGGAAGCTCAGTCAAGCACACCAGCCTGGGAGATGGCACGACTGCTTGCCGCCCTCGCTCCGGACTGCGGCCTTCTCCACAACAGACCCCTCAAGGCTCCTCTCACCCTAGGGAGCACAACACTCAGCGTGTCAGCAGACTCACAAAGAAGGCCCGAGCTGTACCAACGACCCAACACGGGACTTATGATTTCAATGACCTGGGGGGCAGTAAAGATTGGGGTTGGTGGGGGGGAGTACCTTGCAGAATTTGAGCCACAAGCATAGATACGGAGTGGGATGAGCCACCCGACTCCAAGCAATGCCTTAGCAAATGCAAGCCTCTTATCTCCCACACAATAGGGATAAAATCTCACTGGTATCTACTCATGTCATTCACCTTGTCCTCCTAACATTAGCATGTTTCACAATCTATTTTACACCCATACTTACCATGTCTGATACAGCATAACTCAACATTTCCCTCTTACTATATAGCCTAGACATGATCGGTTTCACCTGGACTCTGTACTATACTATAAAAAACAAATGTACTGCATACTCAAATGCCATATAAATCTTACACTTTGTCTATTTGCTTGTTTGACATTGCTGTTGGGGCATTGAAAGAATGTCTGTAAATCATATGCAAGCAAAAATAAAGAATATTAAAAAAAAACAAAAACAAAAAGTCCATGTAGTGGATGCCAAAACGCGTTTCGCCTGGTTGAGCCTCCTAATTCGGGTGATATGCAGTTCCAGAAGTTATCCATTTTTAAATGTTGGTGCCGGGTCTCACCTTGCGGCCAATCTCTTCCCTTGTTACAGAATCCCAACCTTCGCCTCTGTTGTAGTCCTATGTATTAAAGATCCTATTGATTGTGATTTCAGGATTACTTTGGTGTTATAGGTCTTTTGTTTTGTTAAATTTCAAGGGTTATCCCCTATCGTAGAGCATCTGAGCTAGCTCTCTTTTTGACCCATTGGTTCATCGTTTTGCATACGGACTATAAATGAATAATGGCCGTACCGAGGCTACGGTCAGCCTATTCACAGCCCAGTTCATAGTTTTGTGAGCATGTGTGTACAGCAATATGACTGGCCAGCAAACTTTAGACTAGAACTGTAGAAGGCGTCAGGGCCGGTGCGTTCATAAGGCGTGGGCCATGACTTCCACTGCTCTTCTCTCAGACTCTGCTGGGGAGTCTGGGAAAAAAATAATGGAAGTCATGCCCCCGTCTCCTGACATCATCAGGAGAGGCTGACTGACTGATGTCCCTGGCTGCAGGCTCCAGCTCCTGTCTCACCTGACCACCAGGGAAAAGGTTTCCCCTCCCTGGTCCAAGGTAAGACTCAGGGAGGGGAGGTGGGGGTTGAATACATTTTTTTTAACTTTAAAACTTTCCCTATCCCCCCCACCACAGCCCATTCCTCCTCCCTCTCCTCCCCTCCACCGCTGCCCATTTCCTCCCCCCCTCCACCACTACCCATTTCCTTCCCCCCTCCACCACTGCCCATTTCCTCCCCCCCTCCACCACTGCCCATTTCCTCCCCCCACCACTGCCCATTTCCTCCCCTCAACCCCAACACAGCCCTTGCCCCCACCACCACCAACACAGCCCCTGCACCCCACTTCTACTCCTTTGACATCGCAGAGTCCTTTTTGTTTCCTCAAATCACATAATTTATAAGACCTGCTGCTCGATGCTCTGTGCACCATAAACTGCAGTGATGCATAGTTTCTGTGGGTCTTAAAATAACCGCTTCTGCTTATTTTGGAGACAGTGGTGTTAAAAGTTGAGCACCCAGTAATTTCTGAAATGCATTTTGTGTGCTCATTTTTTCTATGATGGATGAATACCCCTCCCCACAACTGTTGACTTATCATTCTCTGTTGCGCACTATACTCTTCTCTAGAGCTATTATTTATTGCACTAAATATGGAAATACATATCCGCTGTTGAAGGCAATATATTTTTTATTCTGCTGTATGATCTGAACAATTTAATCATTGTATAACCATTCTCTGCACGCTTCTCCAGAAGAAAATTGTTATATTTGATATGTTATCCCTGTAATATCTTTTGCTACAGTTATTGCAGCGTCTCATAACCTTGTTTCTGCTACCAATCCTTATATATTTTAATTCACTTGGCGAGATATGGGGATGATTGCTGCTTTTTTTTAAATGCTACTATATGATCGGTAACAGAGTAAGGTAGATTTTTATCTAAAGTGATGGTATTTTTAGGACTACAAGGGTTGTACAGGTTAATTTTAAATAAATAAGAATCAATTTTATTTTTCATGAAGACTAATATATATTTATATGTATGTGTTTGCATATATTAAATATTCTGTGAGTGTATATGTAATATAATTTTAATATCTAGTGCTACACCTATTTATCATAATACAGACAAATATCTAGCGCTTCTAAAGGCAAATTATGAGCGGTTACTAATGTGTAAATCCTACCACGGGATATAATGCATGGCCATACGGATATTTTTCTAAAGTTAAATGGTCTGCCTGAGCTTCTCTGTCACCTGGATGAAGCATTTCACAGGTGAAGGAAGAGATAACTAGATAAGTTGTGGAAAATCTAACCCTATCTTTCTACTCCCTTGTGTAGCCATGATGTGCCAGTAGAAGTATGCTCATTAAGTACCTCCAATGGGTAATGGTGGAATGATGTGTGCTGTGTCTTTGAGACCTGTAGATATGTGAGTGTGATGTCTGTACAAGATACCAATGAAAACAAAATGGGGCCAATAAGAAGCATGGAAAACCTGTTCTAGGGAATCGTATAATGGCCATTTATTTTCTAAAGGTAAAGCTGGAGATTGGGAGTTGGAGACAGGGTAGAAAACCACGAGAAGGACAAAGGGGGTTGAAGCAGCACTGTCGTGACAAATTTACATTTCTACTATTGTTTCCTCTTTTCTTCTGGTCTCAGAATCTGTTCTTTTCTTCACTTCTGATCTAGTTTTCTTTAAAACCTTTTGTATTTTTCATAAGCTTGACTTTCTTTGACCCAAGGAGGGGCTTAAGTCAGCTCAATTTCCTGTGTCAAGGAGGAGGGTGAGTACTTCCTCTGATACAGGAAATGTACTTAAATTAATCTCCTCCTTTAGTCAAAGAAAGTCATGCGTAGGAATAATACATATGACAAAGTAGTCTTTACTTTATCTTATGTTTTAAAGAAAACTATGTCAGATATGAAGAAAAGAACCAATTCTGCAAGAGGAAGCGATAGGAGAAAGATATGTTCAGCATGACCGTGAAGGTGTGGGATTGCCATCAGATGGACTGTAACAGCCCTCATGTAGTAAGACTGTGCATGATGCATTTTGTAACAGAATTGCATTTAAGAATCCTTGCAAACCTCATTGTTTGTGGACATGTCTTACTTTCCTCCCCATTGGTGTTTTAGCTGAAAGCCATATACTGCTGATTGAATGATCCAGCAGCACAGCCCGAGTGGAACATTGTGCAGGGTCTGCCTTCACATGGGTAGAATAGAAATACACGTCTAGTTTGCCCATTTCTTATAGTTAAACTCATGATTTCATGCAGTACCAACATGAGGGTTAATGGGGCTGTAGAGGCTTTTTTTTTTTTTTTTAAATGAAATGGCATGAAGATATATATTCACCTACGTTCACGTATTAATATACTAGTTTGAACAAGTTAGACACTCAGCACCATAACCACTACAGTTTAATGCTGCCTCAACTTATAATTGCTGACCATGTTTGAACAGATTTGTATAGATAATGCAGAAATGAAACGAACACATGTACAGCGCTACAGAATTTGCTGGCGCTATATAAAAAAGTAATCTGCGCAGAAGCAAAGGGTCTGGCTTTTTGTGCCCAGAGAGCCTGTTTTTTTTTGTTTGTTTTTTTGTCAAAGTGCACAAATTGTCTGGTTAAAAAAAACAAAAAAACAGAGGGACTGCACCCATAGCCTATCTGCACCATATCCACTACAGTATTTGTGTTTAGTGTGTTTTAATGTGGAGAGATTTTACTGCCCTCTAGTGTTATATCATTGGAAATGAAAACAATGTACCTCCTTTCATAGTCAGCATTAAATATATAAAGGGGCATATGCTTTTGTGTACAGCAGGAGTGGGCAAACTAAAGCATTATTGCAGTTGCAGTTCCGCAACATCTGGGGATCTACCTTTTGGCCAGCCCTGGTGTACAGGTTGAGTACTCGCACACTTAAGTATATTATTTTCTGTGAAAGCAGTGGAGTTGTGTAAGAGTCTTATTTATTTAAATATAGTAAAGTTCAAGACCGCAAACATTACCCCAGGGTTATCCATATAGCCTCAGAGATTGTAAGCTTGACTCAACAAGACCTTCTTCACCCATTATGTTCTGTATGTAAACTACTTGTCAAATATTCACATTCTGTAATTGTAAGGATAGGTGAACTAGGTGGATTACACTACCACCACAAGAATCACTCAGTGGAGCGCTAAAGGGAAATGTCTTACCCCTATTTGGTATTGGGGAAGTCAGGTGACACTTTTTGCCGTTGTAGAAATATAAGAGACAATGTTGTCTAAAATGAGAGAATTCGACATATAATGGTGCAGCATGCCAGTGGAATCTGGGTATAGTGCAGAGGGGGTATATATATCCAACTCACATGATAGCCTAGGAATCGGCTCGAATCTCAACCACTTGGGTATATATGGTTATACCAAACCCTTCTCCAGATCCAAAGCTCACAAATGTTTAGATATATGGAGACAAAAAGTAGAATGTCCTAGTGCAAATATGTTTAAATGAAGACAGTGATGAAGGTGATAGTGCTTAAAATTGCTCACCTGGGATAGAGCCAGTTATACAAGGCTCTATGTATAAAAGCACCTCTGCCTTTAAGGGAGGCAATGCCCTTCTTTGTATATAGATGCAGGAAGCGTATGGAAGATCCACTGGATAGATGCATCAAATAAAATAACAATTTATTAGGTATTATAAAAAAGAAAAACTACAATGAGTGAAAATACCATATATTAAAATCAATAAGGTGGTGTTCCTTGATTTTAAAGGTGACATCTTTACATTCAGGTGACATCACAAAGATCAGGGTAAATTATTATACAGTGCAGGGTATTACATTCAGTTTTGTCCCAGAGTTTGATGCTTTTTTCGTCTGACTGTGCAATCTACTCTTACTTAACCATTTATTCGCTGGAAATAAACACATACAGGAATTTCCAAAATTCTTTAATTACAGAGAGCCAGGATCAATTTCCTTGGTCTTTGGGATCTCTGAAATATCACTGGAGGTACACATTTTGTCCACTTCTTTGGAAACAACTGCTTGTTAAAGGAATACTCCAAACAAGTGCCCTGGTACCCTTACAGAGTAAAAGTGTAGCCCTTTATGGACAATTTTATAACTTACCTGGATAACTTGCTTATTGACATGTGCTAATTGCTGCTTCTCTGGTTCCAGAAGCTTCGGTCACTGAGGTAAGCCTGGCTGTGCAGGACCACTCTCATTGGTGCTCTCTGCCAATGTCACACACAATCACGTCTTGGCTCAGTGGAGCTACTGAAAGCTCCTAGCAGGAAATTTCAGTACCAGGGGAGGCAGCAACAAGCACCCGGCAAATGGTGTGACCGCTTAGTGTGGGAGGGTACAAGGGTACTCCTGGCAACAAAACTACTGCAGTGTGTACTTGTGGGTCTTGGAATGTTCCTTTAAAACCTATACTTAAGGGGGGCGTGGTTTGCAGGCGAGCAAGATGGACGTGTCCATGTAAAGCTCTGCTGCAGCCACGGTGCCAACTGCTAACAAAAGCCGAGATACATTCGCAAAAACTACCTGCAGCGGTGGGGGACCCATGATGGATAAGAGGGCCCCGAGGAAACAGGGGAAAAAGGTGATGGAAACAGGTAAGACCAGGCACAAGTTACACAGGTTCTGTGTTTTCTTCTTCATTTTAACCTTATTTTCCTTTCCTGTTTCTTGCTTCTTTCTCAGTTCTAACCCTTTATTATTTCCCTTGGGAGGGGGAACAGGTGAGGGCGTATCTGCCGGCGAGCTCTGTCTGGATAGTCGGGGGCCGGGCCCCCATGGTACCGAGATGGGACGTGAGGTGCAGTCTCCTTACCGGCCCATTAGTGGGCTGCTGGGAGGCAATGGCTTGCCTTCCTTTAGGAAAATATGCCTTTAAAAGTGTTGTCATTGAATGTTAAGGGCTTGAACGCTCCGAGTAAACGCCGCCTTATGTTCAGGGAACTCAAACGCATGAGCCCAGATATTGCCTTCCTGCAGGAGACGCACCTCTCCGCATCGGCTAAATTCGCCCTGAAGGATCACACATTCAGGACAGTCCATGAGGCTAGGGCTTTAAATAAACGGAATGAAGTTGCTGTAGCTATACACCACAGGTGCCCGCTTCGGGTGGAAAAAGTGGTAGCCGACCCAGGTGGCCGTTTCGTTCTGGTTTCAGGGAGATTATACTCCCACTCAGTGCATTTCCTCAACATCTATGCCCCAAACGACCCCTCTGTTGATTTTTGGGATGGAATAGCGCAGATGGTGAACACTCTGACACACGGCATGACGGTGGTGGGGGGAGACCTGAACGCCACCCCGTGTCCCGCGGTTGATAGGGGTCCTGGCGACGGGTTGCCGCGGTCTCACGGGAGGGGTAGTCAGGATAAAATACTACGCACTTTTATGCATAGTACAGGCCTGGTCGATATCTGGAGAGCACATCACCCAGACGACCGTGACTATACTTTTTATTCAGCACCCCACGATACATATTCAAGGATAGACTTATTCTTGGTGAATCCCCACACGGTCCCCAAGGTTTCGAAAACTTCAGTAGGTTCGATCACTTGGTCGGACCATGCTGAAATCACGATGACTCTGCATAAATTATGTATGGCATCTCCGTGGACCTGGAAATTGAACACCTCTCTGCTTCAAGATCCAGCCGTGGTGGAGACCACGCGTAAGGAACTGAATGAGTACTTCACTAGGAATGCGGACTCCGGTCCCCGGCCGGCTACGGTGTGGGCCGCTCACAAGACGGTTATCCGGGGTATACTGATCCGCGAAGCCACGCTTAAAAAAAAAAGTAAAACGCAATTATTAACATCTCTCCTGGAGGCCCTGGGGAAAGCGGAAGAAAAACATAAAGCGGTCTCATCGCCTATCACTTTGCAGGAAGTAAGGAAATTGCGGGCTTCGGTCCGCGAAACGCTCCTAGACGAGACTGCCAGAGCTATAGTCTGGTCCAAGAGGACTTACTATGAAAAATCAAACAAAATGGATACCTTGTTGGCCAGATCTCTTCGCCCGAGACAGAATCACTCCCATATTACAAGAATCAAAGACGCTTCGGGTAAGTATTGCACAGATCCTACTGATATAGCTAAGGTTTTTACGTTTTACTATGCCAAATTATATAATCATTCCAGCGGGGCTACAAGCATCCAGAGGAGTGACACTGACCGTACGCGGGCATTTATATCACAATTGAAGCTACCTACGTTGCGGGGAGAGGACTCAGCTGCCCTCGGAGAGAGGATTACAGCCGAGGAGATTGACGCTGCAATATCCGCTTTAAAAGGTAACAAAGCTCCGGGCCCAGATGGCTTCGAAGGCAGCTATTATAAGATATTTCGAGAGGAACTTACACCCCACTTGGAAAAGTGGTTTAATGACCTTATGGAGGGAGGAACGCCAGATAGGGACATGTCAATAGCAGATATCGTGCTGTTACCAAAACCCGGCAAGGATGAGACTGTCCCGGAAAACTTTCGCCCGATCTCTCTGATAAACCATGATTCTAAAATCCTTGCTAAAATACTAGCACGCAGACTGAACCCCTTGTTAACACGATTGATACACCCTGACCAAGTGGGCTTCGTGCCTGGTAGGCAACTATTTGAAAATACTAGAAGCAACATCGACCTTATATGGCGGCAAGCAAATAGGGGGATCCCGACTTTGATACTGTCACTCGACGCGGAGAAGGCCTTCGATAGGGTAAAGTGGCCTTATCTATTCGAGACCCTCCGACATTTTGGTATTCCTGACCCCTTTATAACTACGATAAAAGTAATGTACACTGACGTTAGGGCTCGGGTCCGGATTTCGGGTGCAAAGATGGAACCTTTCAGTTTGATGAATGGGACCAGGCAGGGCTGCCCGCTGTCACCTCTGTTGTTCGCCCTCTCCTTGGAGCCCCTCTTACAAACCATTAGAAATAGCTCGGAAATCAAGGGGATCGTGATCCGGGAGCAGCGATATGTGGTGTCTGGCTTTGCTGACGACATCTTGCTGACCCCGACGGATCCGATAAAATCTATGGAGGCACTGGCGACAGTGTTGGAGGCCTATAGTGAACTGGCCGGATATAGGGTGAACTTAACTAAATCAAGTGCACTTCCCATAAGTATGAGCGACACGGATATAGCCCACATCGGAGACATCTATAGGATTCACATAGCAAACGATCATATAAAGTATTTGGGGGTTCGGCTGACAGCGGACCCTGCCCAATTATTTCAGCAAAACTATGTTCCCATGATCCGCACCTTGATAGGAGACATGGAGAAATGGATAGATAAACCGATCTCTTGGATAGGTAGGATTCACTCAGTGAAAATGAACATTCTCCCTAGGATTTTGTTTCTATTTCAGGCTCTCCTGGTCCGGCGATCCAAGTCTGATCTGGGGGCACTCCAGCAGGCCATTGGGAAGTTTATTTGGCAAAACAGGAAACATAGAGTTTCGCGTAACGTTCTTTACAGGGCAAAAGCGAGGGGGGGCTTGGGTCTACCAAACCTCTATTTCTACTATTTAGCGTCCCAACTAACTCAAATAGCACTTTGGCATGCTCCTTCGGAAGAGAGGCGGTGGGTCGACCTGGAGGCCACCCTCATGGGTTCCGATGTCCCTCAATTCTTTATGTGGGTCCCTAGGGACCACAGACCATCGATACGCATCGAATGCTCAGCTATTGCAAGTTCTCTGAAAATCTGGGACGCAACATCAACCAAATATGGTTTATCCCCCCACCTGTCCCCGTTGGCCCCTTACTTGAGGAATAGAGCGTTCCCCCCAGGATTGGAAGCTAGGAACTTTAAGGGCATAGAGAGCACGGGGGTACAACGACTATGCCATCTCTGAGGGGGGTGCTCTTATATCTTTCGATGAATTGAAGTCCAGAGCTACTTTACGTCCCTCTGATTTTTTTCGTTACCTCCATCTAAGGGACTTTGCCCAAAACCCGCAGATTAAAACAAGCGCCTTAACCCCACTCACGTTTTTTGAAAGAATGTGCATTCAAGAACAATTCCCGAAAGGCCTCATCACCAACCTATACGCGCACCTAAGTATGACCACATCAGAATGGGGGGAGCTTCATTACACGACCCAATGGGAAATGGATCTGAATGAGGAACTGGAAGGTGTTGAATGGCAGGAGATATGGGAGGCAGCGGCGACCTCATCTATTTGTGTCACATTTCAGGAACAAGACTATGTTCAGGTGGTACGCTACCCCGGCAAAGCTTTGCTGGATGAATAAAATGGCTACGGATTTATGCTGGAGAGGATGTGGCCAGAAAGGGACGTATCTACACATGTGGTGGGCCTGTCCAGAGGCACAAAAATTCTGGAAACGGGTCGCGGAATTACTGGGGAATTTCTTTGGTAGGGTGGTCAAGCCAGACCCCTGGGTGTTCCTTCTGGCCAGGTCGATGGAGAACTGGTCCAGATCGGAACAAAATTTACTACATAAGGTGACCCTGGCTGCCAGGAGGGCCATGGCCCAAGTGTGGCTACAGAGAGAGACCCCCCCCTCTGGAAGTGGTGATACAAAAGATTAAGGACACATACATTAAGGACGAGTTAACTGCCAGGGTCCGTGGCACTATGAAGAAATTGGAAAAGATTTGGAGCCCGTGGGTGGCTAGTGGGGTGGGTGATTAGGGGAGTGGGGGACGGGCTCGTTCCCTGCGTACCCTGATGCACCTCTACTGACGCTAGGATGCATAGTACACTTTCACTCCCCCTTCTGAAGCGGGACCCTCGGGATCCCACGAGATGTCCACGGTCTATAGTTTTTCGCACATGCATGGCGGTCCTCGCTTAAAACTTACCGGCTTGTGGCTATCCGGCTGCCCAATCGTGTCGGCATCAACACCATTCTCGGAAGATCACTATAATACCCCCCCCCATCCCTACTCTCTCTTTTTTCTTCTCTTCTACCCTTTCGATACCTTTCCTTCGGTTAATCTTCACTTTTCTAAATTAGTTAATCCTTTCTTTGTTTTTTCCCACTTAACTGACTGCTGCCCAGTGACCATATGGCTAACTGGAGCTATATTCGGCGGGGCGGATTGAGGGTTGATTATAGGTAGGCTGTTAGTAAAATAGTTTTACATAAATATCAACCTTGTACACTAGGTTTCAGTTCATTGACCTAGCCAAATTCGTAATGCATTCTAGAGGTCACTGTGGATAGATAGCGCAAAATATCACCATGTAATTCACCGTCAGTTAGGAATCTTTGTTTTATTTAATATAAAATGGGTGGGATGCCGCAGTAACCAAACTCTCATGGACGACAAACATATGTTAGATATGCTGTATGTGATTGGTTGTTAGATCTTGTAATAATGTTTGCTATTAACCAGTGCTGTGTATTGTTTGTTGACTGTGATATTGTTCATCTTTGCATCATGTTGAATATTCTGCTGTGGTATCTGATCATTTCATAAATAATAAAAAAAAAAACAAAAAAAAAACCTATACTTAAAAATGTAATTAATATAATAACTATCTCTACAAGGAGATAGTGTTACTTCACAGTGCCCAAAGAGAAGCTGCTGCTCAACACTAAAAGTGGAATACTCCTTACCCACAATAAAAAAAAAAAATATACAAAAAAATGAGTATAAATATTATACCAAACAAGTGGAGCGCTATAAGCAGTGGAGGTATTCACTCACCCCTTTAGTACAATGACAATCTTGAATATTAAAAGACCACTATAGGCACACAGACCACTTCAGCTTAATGAGGTGATCTGGGTGCCAGGTCCAGCAAGGGTTAACCCTTTTTTTTTATAAACCTAGTTGCAGAGAAACTGCTATGTTTGTTAGGGTTAATCCAGCCTCTAGTGGCTGTCTCTTGACAGGCGCTTGCGTGCTTCTCACTGTGAAAATCACAGTGAGAAGACGCCAGCGTCCATAGGAAAGCATTGTGAATGCTTTCCTATGAGACTGGCTGAATGCGCGCACAGCTCCTGCCGCGCATGCGCATTCAGCCGGAGAGGAGGAGGAGAGCTCCCCGCCCGGCGCTGGAGAAAGAGGTAAGTTTAACCCCTTCCTCTCCCCAGAGCCCAGCGGGAGGGGGACCCTGAGGGTGGGGGCACCCTCAGGGCACTATAGTGCCAGGAAAATGAGTGTGTGGTCCTTTGAAGCTTGGATGTACATATAAAAGAAAACAGGAAAAAACAAGAAATATAGTGCAGACAGTTCCCAAAAATAGACAATTGATGGTAATAAATGACTGAAACCACTCACATGGACAGGAGCCTATGCAGTATTGGCTCCGTAAATAGATCCTTTATGCTCTTTGGGCAGCAAACACACCCCTTTATCCCAGGCAGTATCACTCCAGGAATATACAACGAGAAAGAGAACAAAAAAACGGCTGTGTAGAATAGCACATACTATATTAACATAAAAGGTGGAAATAGTTGCACTCGCCTTCACCAGAGCCCTGAAATCCCAGCTCTGAGGTTGGTAGACAGTGTGCTTTTTTTAGGGGGGATAGCACTCTCCCCAATGGAGTTCCTGATGGCTAGAAAGGACTTTGGACTAGAGTGTAAAATAATAACATTACATTTATTATTAGTACAATAAAAACAGTACAAATACGTACTAGAAGATAAAAAATCCAGTTGAAGTCCAATTAAAAGTCCAAAAAATCAGCTAAATGCGTTTCACTCTATGAGCTTCCTCAGTAGCTGCATAATAGCCTCAGGAATCCTTCTTTTTAAATGTTTGAAAGTCCACGTGGATCCTAATCTTGGGGTCACATGGTGCGTAATTGGCCAATCATCCGAGCAGGTTCCTTCCTATATTATGTGCTAGGAAAGACATCTGTGGTGGAAAGGTCCTCATTTGGTCAGTGTTGTCAATCAACAATAATGTTTAATTACATGGTGTTCATTGGTGGTAACATAATTGGGTGTCCAATGGTGTAAATGGTTAGCAGAAGTGGCAGCACTGGATACTTCCGCCCTCCATTACTAACATAGAGATCAATAAAAGTAGTAGAAACAACACTTCATAAATGGGCCCATTCGGGCTTGTCGCTCCCCCTCAAAACGGGGTGCAGCATCTGTAGAAGACTGACTAATTGAGGAAATACCAAGCGCCGATCGGTAAAAATTTAATTGTTTTGCTGTAATTGTATATCAAGCATGTATACAAGGAAAATGAATTCCACCAAACCTTTAAATTGGGTATATGATGTAGTGTAGGCTAAAAATCTTTTAATTCCGGGCACATTCAATCTCCACTATCTATACACCGTGACTAATCTGAGGTCCGTGCTCCATCTAGTGTTTTAGTCAGGGAAGATCAGGATTAATTGTTTTCATCAAGTCCCAGATATAATCCCGGAAGGAACATTCTGATAAAATCTGCAAATCCTGTTCCTTATGGATATTAGGCCATCTTTTACAGTTGCTTAGGTTACCTACTGAGACTCTAAACAAGAAAATATCCTTTTCATTGGTTATATTTTGGTGTGATTCAAGTATTTCAAGTTGCTGTATATTTTTTCCTGCTGTATTAGACTAATATAAACGTTGCTTGGTATACGTATAGATATGTAAGCCTGTTTTGATTCATCATAATTCTCTGTTCATATCTTTTTCTTCTGCTTATACACAGATCGAGATCACAGTGACTTCCAAGTGTTTTTCTACCTGTGGATTGTCTCCTATTTTGTCAGTTCCTGCTACACACTCATATGGGATTTGAAGATGGACTGGGGTCTGTTTGACCGTAACGCAGGAGAGAATACTTTCCTACGGGAAGAAATTGTGTACCCCCAAAAGGTAACATTTTGACATACATGTAAAGGAAACTTTGGTATCTCCTAAGTTTTATCTAATGATTTGTGTTTAGAAGGCATGTTACGAACTCTGTTGGAAGTCAAATCACTGTTTAGTAAATAAACCCCATGGTAAATTTGCATGGCCCTTACTAATGTTGTCATCCTTTCCTTATATGTAATGTTCCAATTCCCCCCTCTCTCATACTTCTCTAGGCATACTACTATTGTGCAATCATACAAGACATCCTTCTCCGTTTTGCCTGGACCGTTCAGATTTCAGTCACCTCTTTAAACCTCTTCCCAGACGCTGGAGATATCCTCTCCACAATACTTGCTCCACTTGAGGTCTTCCGGTGAGAATATGCATTTATAAAAGTTTGCAAAAGTTTTTCCTTATTTTACTTTGTTCATTCCGTCCTTTTCATCAACCGTCACAATTCTGCTCAGTCTTGAAAATATTGTGTGATCGCACATTGCAACAGATACTGCAAAAACAAAATAGCACTCCTGTAGTAAAGGGCGTGATGTATTTTTTTTTTTTTTTTTTTAATTTAAAATGATGCTGTTACTCAACAGTGGTGTTGAAATGCATGTGTCTCAGATTTTTAAAAAAGTACAAGAAAATCATACATCTTTATAAAAAACAAAAATTAAAATAACTTTAGAAATTCTATCTTGCTATGCTGAACATGATGGAATGTAACTTTATTTTTAGCCGTTTTGTGTGGAATTTCTTCCGTCTGGAGAACGAGCACCTGAATAACTGTGGTGAGTTCCGAGCCGTGCGTGATATTTCTGTGGCACCCATGAATGCAGATGACCAAACACTGCTGGAGCAGATGATGGATCAAGAGGATGGCGTGAAGAACCGTTGCAAGAGCAAGACATGGAAACGCAGCCAGAGTATATCCCTTCGTAGACCACGACTGTCATCACAGTGAGTTTTGTGCTTTGACATATAATTGAGGATCAGGGGAGGTATTGTAGTAACCTTTCCCTGTGAACCTTATATTATTATTAATAGATGTTATAATATTTCTCTTCCTATAAAATCGAAATCACTTTTTAGTCTATCATTTCTTACCCATTTTTTTCTACCACTCTCCTCACGACCACCTTGCAAGCGTGCTCTTTCTCCTTTACCCCATCTCTCCTATATTTATTTAGCCACAGTAAAATAATGTCATATGCCATGTGTTCATACAACATGCATATAAAATAAAGTAATATTAACCACTTAACGACGTTGGGATATGTCAGTACGTCCTGACTATACTTGGCTTTAATGTCGTTGGGACATATTGACACATCCTAATGTTTAGATGTGAGCAGGATTAAATCCATGCTCACACTACGGACTCCCAAGTATCAGTCGGTATATGTGACTCCCCTTTATCAACTGGGACTACAGCTGTGTTCACAGTGCTACATAGAGCCATTTAAATCCATTTTAAACACTGCTGGTGAACAGATCATTCAGCCACAGTATTTCTTGGCTGGAAGGTGCTCAAAGGAGAGAGCCCTAGGTTCTGGCCAGAGTAATTGTTGCTGGGTTTTGACAGCTGTCTAGCACCTATCACAGTGTAATGCTGAAACCAGCCAATAGATGGCAGCAACAAACAGCATCACTGTTTTAACCAAGAAACTCATCTGGTGAAATAAGTACTGGGTTTCCTTTTGATGTAGGGGTATGGTCAGTGGCGGAACTACCGCGGTCGCAGCTGCGACCAGGTCCGTCACTCCAGACGGCCCGGTCGCCCTGCCGACCCCTGCAACAGGGGTGCCCACTGGCATTGTTGAGCATAGCAGGAGCATGGGCCACCTGATGGCAATGAATTACCTGGGGTTACACTGGGGCACTTTAAGAACACGACCTGGCACCATTGATGTCTGAGCGCCCGCTGGGAGGAAGCCATCACTTCCTCCCAGCATACACAGAACAGAGCCGTGCGGGAGGAGATCGCAGGGAAAGGAGTGTAGTGAGTCCAGAGCTTTGACTCCCATCAGCATTAGGCAGCCATTGGACCCCAGGGACGTCGCCCTCCTGCATCTAAAGGTAGGAAACAGGACGGTGACTAAAATGTTTAAGTTTGTGTGTGTTTGAATGTGTCTGTATGTGTGTGTTTGTGAGTGTATGTTTGTGAGTGTCTGCATATCGGTGTGTGTCTGTATCTGGATATCTGTGTGTGAATGTATGTGTGTGTCTTTGTTTGTATGTATATTTTTGTATATATTTGTATGTGTATCTGTTTTTTCTGCGTGTGAGTCTGTATGGGTGTCTGTATGTGTGTCACAGTTTATATCTGTAGATGGTCATTCTGTGTATCTGAATGGTTGTCATTAAGTGTGTCTGTGTATCCGTATGTGTGCCTGTTTTTCTGTGTCAGTGTGTGCCCCTACTTATCTGTATGCGAGTCACTGTTTGTATCTGTATCCGTGTCATTCTTTGTATGTGTATCTGCATTTGACTAGGTGTATTTTTCTGTATGTGTGTCTGTGTATCCGCATGTGTGCCTGTGTTTGTATCTGTGTATCTGAATGTGTCTTTCTGTGTGTCTTGTATTATACAAATGGAGGGGCAGGGGGAGTAGGGAAGATGTATGAGGAGGGGGGCCCCAGGGCAATTTTCGCACCAGGGCCTTTGGTTTCTAGTTACGCCTCTGGGTATGGTAATTGTAGGGTTGGAGTTAGGGTTTGGGTAAAGTTAGGGTATGGTATGATTAGTGGTAGAGTTAGGGTAAGGTAAGGGTTAATGTGGATTCAGGATTTGGGTAAGGTCAGGGCAGGTATACTCTGTAAGCATAGGGTTTAAGGCTAGGATTTGTATTTAGTTAGTGTAAAGGGTAGTATAGGATTAGTGCAGGGCTTCCCAAACTTTTATGGGCCGAGACCCACTTTTCAAAACAGTAATTTTTCGAGACCCACTTGCTTTTAATGCATATTTTAAAACACCATTAACACCATGGAAATCTGCTTTAGATGCATACAATTGGCACACCATAGGAATCAGCTTTAGAGGCATACAATTGGCACACCATGGCAATCAGCTTTACAGGCATACAATTGGAACATTATGGCAGCTTTAGATGCATAAAATTGGCACACTATAGCAATCCGCTTTAGATGCATACAATTGGCACACTGTGGCAATCAGTTTGAGGCATAAAATTGGCACACCATGGCAATCCGCTTTAAATGCATACAATTGGCATACCATGGCAATCCGCTTTAGATGCATAAAGTTGGTACATCATGGCAATCTGTTTTAGATGTATAAACTTGGCACATCATGGCAACTTTAGGTGCACAAAATTGGCACACCATGGCAATCAGTTTTAGAGACTTACAATTGGCACACCATGGCAACAAGCTTTAGAGGCATAAAATTGGCACACCGTGGCAATTGATTTTAGATGCATAAACTTGGCACATCATGGCAATCAGCTTCAGAGGCATACAACTGGCACACATTTGGCAAACAGTCAGATGCATAAAATTGGCACACCATGGCAATCAGCTTTTAGATGCATACAATTGGCATGCCTTGGCAATCTGCTTTAGATGCATAAATTGGCATAACATGGCAGTTTTAGAGGCATAATTGTGGGATATCATGGCCGTTTTAGAGGCAGAAACTTTGCACATCATGGCAATCAGTTTTAGAGACATACAACTGCTTACTCAGACTCAAATCAGAAGTGCTGTTGTCGTGCTCTTTCATCCAGGCACCTCACGTTGATTGTCCCAGTGGTGGAACTAATGTAGAGAGGGCCCTGGTGCAAGTATGTTTTCTGGGCCCCCCTTTAGTGCAAGTGTGGCCAAAAGGTAGATCTTCAACAATGCTATGCCTCATGGGGATCTACCATTTGCGAATCATTGCATTATATTTGTGAGCATTATTTGAGCGTTTGAATGTAAGCATGTTTTTGTATTAAGTATATGTGTGCATGTATGGATGTATTTGTATGTACTGTTGCCATTGGAATGTAGTGGTGTATTTGTTTGTAATGTTTGCGTCTGAATGCATGGGTGTTTGTATGTAGTGTAGGACTTTAATTGCAGGTGTGCTTTTTGTGTGTAGTGTTGGTGTTTGAATGAAAGGGTGTTTGTAGAGCATTTTAGTGTTTTAATGCAGGGGTGTGTTTGTATGTAATGTTTGCATTTAAATGCAGTGCGTGTGTTGTGGATGCAGTGTGTGTATATTTTGTTTATAAAATATACATATACACAATGTGTTTGAATGTAAGCATGTTTTTTGTATGGAGTATGTGTGCAGTGTATACACATATATACACACAGACACACAATGACACCTAGTTCCCACACACAGATACAAAGACACTCATGTACACAGATACACACAATACACACAGATACACATACACGCAGAAACAGGAGGTGAGTGACAGTGTGGTAGGGAGTGTGTGTGCTGGTAACAGTGTGGGGGCAGTGGGAGGGCAGGGTTAGAAAGGGTTACAGTGGGCGGGCATGGGGAGAAATGATTACAGTGGGGGGGGAGGGAGAAAAGGCTACAGTGGGGTGGCAGGGAGTGAAGGGATTACAGTGTGGAAGGGGCAGGGAGTGAAGGGGTTACAGTGTGGGGAGGGGGCAAGGAGTGAAGGTGTTACATTGTGGGGAGGGGGGCAAGGAGTTGAAGAGGTTACATTGTGGGGAGGGGCAGGGAGTGAAGGGGTTACATTTGGGAGGGGCAGGAGTGAAGGGTTTTCATTGTGGAGAGGGGGCAGGGAGTGAAGGGGTTTCATTGTGGGGAGGGAGGTAGGGAGTGAAGGGGTTTCATTGTGGGAGGGAGGCAGGGGTGAAGGGGTTTCATTGTGGGGAGGGGGCAGGGGTGAAGGGGTTTCATTGTGGGGAGGGAGGCAGGGAGTGAAGGGGTTTCATTGTGGGGAGGGGGGCAGGGAGTGAAGGGGTTACATTGGGGGGCAGGGTCTGGGGGCTGTGTCCTACCTGTAATAAATTCCAGTGTCTCCCTGGTGGTCCGGTGGGTTAACGCTCCGCCAGGTGCAGAGCTGCAAACCGTGTAATAAGTCTCGCGAGCTCCCAGAGTGTTGCCATGGTAACGCTCTGGGAGCTCGCAAGACTTCTATCACACAGTCTGCAGCTCTGCACCCGGCGGAGCTGCAGACTGACTGGAAGGAGCCCGGCAGCATACAGGGCAAGCCGCCGGGCCCCTTCCTGACCAGTCTGACTCCCGAGTCTCCCGCGGCCCTGGATGTGTGGGTCAGCGCGACCCACTGGGAATCGCCCTGCAACCCACACTTTGGGAACCGCTGGATTAGTGTTGACTAACAAAAACATATTTAAATCCTAGACTTATGAGGCATTCAACAATCGGGACTGATGTGTGAAACTATTTGGAGCGCTTTTTATTTAGTTGCACTGGATGTGTAAACAATAGAAGCAAAAATGGGAAAGGTGTGTGTGTACATTTTATTCACTTAATTTTGTATTAGTTATACAAATAGGATATTAAAAGAGAAAGCTCTTTCTCTTTAAATCACAATATGTGTGGGGACACTTAAAGAGAAACCTTTAAACTACAGTTGAACAAACAGATATCACAAAATCCAGGTTTTATTTTGATTCATAACTTAAAGTTCACTCTTACTCTATGATTCACAACTCTTGAAAGTTTATACAAAATGTTTATCACTAAAATGTGTTTAGGATGTTAATAAGAGGAACTGTCGCTGTCTATGATTATGCATATGATGTTTACTTATTTGATGTTTACTAGATTTAACAAGTAATTGAGATGTGCAAATTTAAATGTAGATATTGACACCTATTTGTCCTGCAACTAGGTGTTTCAGTGTTAAGTCTCTGTCAATCATTGTTTTAATCTTTGTCCTTTGTACCTAGCAGCTAGCATACAGAAAAGAGATGTGAAACAGGAAATATATATCAAACTGTGCTGAAAACTTACAGTTGGAATTCATCATTATTTTAATCATATTTATCAAAGTGATCTAAATTCCACAACTTTTCTGTCAGAAAAATTGGCAAAAATTTTCATAAATCTGTTGCATCTGTGAAGTCATTAAATATATAAAAAAAATTTAACTGAAAGTCAGATGTAAAAATGTTGGCAAAACTTTGATAACTCGCTCCCACTGTGTATATTTTTCCTTGTCTGAACTGTATTAAGACGTAATTTGCTAAATTGTTAATAGAAATGTAAAGTGTTAATGCACGTTATAGGAGATTTTCAATGTTCTGTTCAAAGGTGTAAATTCGAGAGAAGTGACAGTTTCACTTTAAAACCTGTCAATCTATTTTCACCTTTCTAATACTACCTTCTCTCTGTTTTATCCATTAGGAGTAAGGCGCGAGATGCTAAAATTCTGATTGATGACACCGATGATGAGGCGAATACATGAACAACACAATTCTTGGAAAAATCCAACCTTAGACCACTTTAATCAGGCTGTTACCCCGTCATTCTGGCTTCTCTTTTTTTGTCTATCTCTACAGCCTATCTTTACTGGGTTGGCCTCTTGCACGCCTGCCTTTTCCAGCTTAATTGATTTATTTCCCAATCCATGCACAGAGGTAACAAGGGAAGCTGCGGACAGACCTTTCCTTGCCAGAAGCTACCCTGATGGAAAGGACTGTCGGGGAGTCAAGGGGTTATACTCCAATGCACCAATCCCCATTTATGTAATCTCTTGCCTGATTCCAAACAGACTTCAATTACCTATTGATTTATTATTTTTTATTTTGTGCTCTTGTGCCACAGACATCAGCATTTTGCTGATATTGTTTGGGTTTTTGTTTTTTTTTTGTTCTTTCACAGCTGCTATTTTTTTTCCTCTTATTTCCCCTTCCTTGATGTTTTTCTTCACATCCCAACTCATGCGTTTGTTTGCAAATCATTATGGGTATTTTGTGTTCCCACCCCCCCAGCAGTGCTGGATGGGGTCCCAATGATAAGGGGCTGGGGGAGTGACCATTACATACAAGGTATATGTTCCTTCATTTACACTATCAACAATCCTTTGTTTTAAACCAAAGTTCCTTTATTATTATTATTTTTTCTTCTTACTCTTTATAAACCTCTCCCTGATTTCTTCTGGACTATTTTAGTGGATATGTTCAGATCCTTAATTCTTGTCTTAAAGGCTTGCAGTCATTTCAGAATCTGAGAGAAGCCAGTCCTGCCAAGGGCCTGTATTCTGCTCTTTGTAAGAGCTGAGCACTCCCTCTCATAGCCTCAACAATCTGCACTTGGGGACTTGTGGTACTTAACCACTTTGCTGCTTAAAATATAACAACGGTGGGGTAAATTGATGGCACCCTGCCTACAGCAGAGTGGTTAAATTTGACCCTTTCTTCCCCCCTTACTGCCAGACAAAGACATGTAAACACATGTCTAAAGTATTCTGTCCACGCTCTCATTGCTGCCTTTTGGGTTATACCCACATTTGCCAGCAGATCTTCCCACAAGGGCTGACAATAGGGTAATCAGTCTTAAACCCACCTCCTCCCTCTTCACCCAGCACTGCAGTAGATGCACAATGCAGTAATTGGGAAGGGGGTGGCAGAGTACTAATACCATTAACAGACATTAGACAAAATGTCACCCAGGTTTTGTTCTGAAGATGCAATCCATACCTGCTCCATGAGATAGGTCCAGAGTTATGACAGAGCTGCCTCCCTTCCCTTTAACCTGTTTTCTTTCTCCAGTTAGTGCAAGGACAATCTTTAAAAACTAGACCTCCTTTTTGGTTACAATTTACCTCTAGACCATCCTGCCTCTGTCAGTCCTACTCCCTTCTTCTCTTTTTTGCAAAGGGGATATTTAGAGGGAGCAGCGCCCAGAGCACTGCTGAGGTTTATGACCACTGCTTTCTTGTCTTGCTGTAGCTGTATACGTGCATTGCTGTTCAGCTTGGCTTTTGTATGTCTGTGCGCATGCTGTGTTCCTTCTCTGTCTAGGGGGGGAATTATGTGTTTATTAGAAACGGGTTCCACTGCTGAGTTTAGGGAGAGAGTACAAGTTGCTTTTCCAGTTCAACTCATTTGATCACGTCCTCCATTTTACGAACCACAGCCTTACAAGTAGACATGCAATTATTGTAAACTTTGCACCATTCACGCCATGCGCAGATGACGTTAACACTGCATATAGCAAAAAAAAATCTTATTTTTAGGCTAATGTTTTCTTTTGTCTGGCGCTGCCATGAAGCTTCTTTTAATTCCTTATGTGTTTCTAGGGAATATTTCCCTTCCAGAAATATATCTAGAACCCACCTACCATCTTAGCCATAAGCCTTAGTTAGCACATAAAAGTCAGGGAGTCTTCTCTTCATAGACCATGTATATCTTGCTGTCATCCTTTCTTAGGTTCTCAGAACACAGCCATATTTATTAGCAGTTCTTGGCCAGCCCTGGATTACACAGTTAATGTTTAAGCCAGTGTTGTTGGTTACACTGTTGTAGGTTTAAAACCCATAGTGGATGATGGTTACATTGTCTAAGATTATCTACTTGCTGTCTGAACATGCACAATCCAATCCTATATATAGATGTCTCTCTAGTTATAAAAAGTGCTGTGGACAAGATTTGTGATCTATGTCATCAAATCATGGCTCTCCTAGTGAGGAAGTGGTTTTAACAAGTTTTATTTTTTATTTTTTATTTTTTTAAGGCCTAATGCATAGGGGTGCTCTCCCTGCCTCAGACAGAGGCCCGACACAAACTTGGTAGCTGTAATGTGACAAACATGTTCTTGTGTAAGGTGTGGTGTAAGTTCATGTAACAAGGGAATAGTGTCTGGAAGAGGGATTTAGAACGTCAGGGAATATAGGGGAAACTAAGCACACTCCGTCCCTCCCTGCTGCACTCTCCAGCTCTCTGCCCAATGTGAAGCTCTCTTCCTGCTAGGTGTCTTTAATATAAGCACTGTGACTTGTTCTATTTCAGGTGCATTCATATCTCCCCTATGTCCCCTTCCTTTCATTTTGTCTTCATTGATTTTTTTTTTTATTTAACTTTATTTTTGTTTTTCTTCAACCTTAACCCACTATGTGACTTTCTTGTATTCCTGATCTTTTTTCCTACCTGCTGCACTACCTTTTTCTCTCAAAGTGCACAGGCCAGTTTTTCTTCAACCTTAACCCACTATGTGACTTTCTTGTATTCCTGATCTTTTTTCCTACCTGCTGCACTACCTTTTTCTCTCAAAGTGCACAGGCCAGTTCTTGCTTGCTCCCTATCTGTTACCGTGCTTATAGCTTTCTATTCCCCTTTGATGGATATAAAGAATTTTTTTTTTTTTTTTTTTTAATTCTGTGGAGTACTTTATGGTCAGTAGGAAAACTTGGCACAAAGTGCTTCTGATTTGTAGATTGTATAAAATATTTGTGGCTTTATGTGTTTAATTTTTAATTTTTTTTTTTTGGTAAAAGAAAAAGAAAATGATTATGGAGTCTGTCTTGATTTTTTTTTTACAGCATTTAGATGTTGGGTTTAAAAAAAAATAGTAACATTTTATAGGTCACATTAAGTTTTATAGTTGTGTTAGTGGAATTTAGTTGAGTTTACAATTGATAGGATATCAGTCTAATCTGATGTATTTGTTAGAAAAGCTATTTTTTTGGCAATCCATATAAGATTTGCATTTTCATACATTTTCAACAGAACAAGAACTTGGTTAAGTGGTCTAGATAAGCCACATGAAAAAGTTCAAGAAAATTAAGACTTGGCAGAAAAACATGTATCAATAGATCAAGTTTCAATAAGACCCATAGGCCTTGATTCTAATTTGTGCTAAGGTCAAATTTCTATAATATTGAACAATGTTCTCGTGTTAGCGAGAAGTAAACCGCTAGCAGAGGAAAAAGATGTCTGTCCCCCCTAACCTTTCCCAACTACCCAGCATGCATTCAGTGGTGTATCCTGGTTTTGTGCTGCCCTAGGCAGGACAAAACTCAGGCACCCCGCCTAACCCTTCCCCCCCCCTGCCCCGCCTTCTAAATATATATATATATATATATATATATATATATATATATATATATATATATATATATATATATATATATACACACACACACACACACACATTCACTGACAGATACGCATACACTAACAGACAAACACACACACACTCACATTAACACACTCACTTTTTTTTTTTTCTTTAATCCCCTCCCCCCCCCCTTACCTTTGGGAATGCTAGGGGGGTTCTCCCTCTCCCTGGGGTCTAGTGGGGCTGCTGGGTGGTCTGTTGGGCGGCGCTGGCAAGGGAGCACTTTCCCCTGAGCGCTCTGCTCAGCTCCCTCGCGCGCCGCAGAGTGATGCCAGGAGCCGGAATATGACATCAAGAATTAAGCATTTGACGTCAGTTGGTGCATCCCATTTGATAGCCCGCAAGCTCTGCTCCATCCACCAAATGAGAAATAAAGAATGGCACCCTACCCACCAAAAGCAGGTAATGCATAACGCCTGCATGGCTTAGGTTGAGGCGGCAGTCCTGGACATGTGTGTCTTAGTGGGACCACAATTCAGCATGTTTAGTACCGTTATTCAATAGGTACACTATCAGAGCTTTAGCAGCTTTTATTTCTTCTACTCTGGACATATGGTGCTTACTAGGTGCTTTAGAACATTTCCACAGGGCAGGTCCCAGTGATTTTGCTGCACTCAGTATGTGGCATATATTGATTTCATATATTTCAGTATGGGCAAAGTAGCAACGTGAAACAGGACATTTTCAAATGCAAATAGAGGTTGTATAGAACCAACATCCTATCTGCACCTTCTGTAGTCTCCTGGACCCCCCTCTTCACTATCCTTAACAGCATGCTCCGCTGTACTATTGGACCACCAGAAAATGTAATTCCCCCACAATTCACAAGCCCTAGCTTTCCTACCTCACAAAGTGACACAAAGTGTTGCATCCACTACATTTACACAGCATCCCTTACACACCATGCACTGAGTGTGCTTCCTGTGGTAGGACTCCTGTGTACAAACTCAGGGGCTGGCTCCTGAAGGGCCCATCCTTGAGCTGCATAAGGGACCCTAACATTTCTGATGGCAGCCTTATTTGGTGGTGAAAGAGCTTGTAAGGTATAAGAGCAGTGCTTTAGTCCACTGATCTTCAGTAAAGGATTTTTCCAGGATCCTTTCCCAATCTTGTTTGAATAGGTGAGACTTATTGTTCCAGCTATCCAGCAAATACTAATATAGGCTAGATATGGCCCACACTAATTCAAAAATCCCCATGCAGAAATCTTCATACCATATCAAATCCCTGTGAACCACAGTCAAATGTGATTTTAAAAAAATGTTGTAGTTGCATATATCAACTTTTTATAGAAATCTGTCTCCTATTAGTGCTCCAAGGCACTTAAGGCTGTATGAATCCAATATCCTTCTGATTGGGTGAAGATTTCAGGGTTTTAGAGGCCAAACTGGTGGACAATAAGCCCCCTAGCCAGGAGGCTATTGTTAATCTGGAGCAACAAAGGGCTTGGTGTTGTCGAGACACACAGTTCTCCCAAGGTGATACCATACTTTGAATGTTTGTGTTACTGGGGAACCTGGATGAATATCTTTAGGTGTAGTGGAGATTACATTCCAGTCCAAGGATGGCAATGGGGTTCTAGAGCACACCTGGTCTGTTTGGACCGGCGGTTTGTGGAGGTTGTCGTACCATTTCTGTATCCTCTGCATAGTAGCAGCCTGTAAATATTTACTAAAATCAGGCAGAGCAAAGCTGCCCATAACACTTGGGCGACAGAGAATGTTGTGTCTAGGAGATCACAAAGATTTTTAAAACAAATGCCATTGGCAAATTAATCGTGATCATCTGGGATAACCTCTGTGTAAGATGTTTATCTTGAGTACAGAGATTCTCCCAAACTTGAATATGTGCGGATAATTACGCCTGATGTCCAGTTGGACAGAGTTAAGAAGTAACATGTGATTTTTATTTTTTGATATAGCTTTTCGAGGTCACTTAAGATTTCTAGATATTTGTCATTTGGTCCCTGCTCCAGCAAAAAGGATATTGGGATTGTAATGATTTGAATTTAAGCTGCAGGGTTAGCAAATTTTGTTTTGACAAGACAGAAGGGTTGCTAACAGCTAACCGCACACACCACTCAAAATAATAAAAACAAAGGCACCAAAGTGGTTTTACCATTTTTTTTTATTTAATTATAGAGAAAATACCGGGGCTCTAATTTTTTTTGTCTTTTAATGCACAACCAATCCTACTGGTCCTACCATAAGCCTTGTTTTGAGGATTTAAAGGAACACTATAGTAGTAGGAAAGCAAATGAACACTCCTTTCTTTAGAAACAGTACTGATAAAAACTGACTCATCTGGTACAATGATTCGATAGAGAGTTAGAAGTATGCTTTTACTTAAGAAAAATGGGGGGGGGGGAATAACCAAAAAATTCCTAATCTCGGTGAAGTGGAAATCAATCCATAAATTGATTATTTTTGTGTATCTGCCCCTGGCCAAATTAAAGAAACAGTGCGTTCACGCTCCCTGAAGTAATTCACACCAGACACAAGTTTCAGGTTGATGAAGAACTTGGGGATTGTTTATTCAGAGGGGACGGCAAGTCCCTTTTAAAGCAAAACTACATCATATGCATTGTCAGAGATAACATGAAATAATACATCATTAATTGGTTAGGTGTTAAGTGGTTCTCTTAATGCTCTGCCTACAAGGGGTGATGTCACTGGCATCATGAGGGTCTCCCCCAGATTCCAGCGCCATCTTGTTACACGAGGTAGTTAGTCGATGTTAAGGGGGGGGGGGAGCTCCTAGCGGCTATTTTAATTAATCACATATAAGTAGAATAATGCTAATTATAGTTAGATGAGTAAATAAACATTTTACTAACTAAAAATTAGGTTAATATCTTTGTAACGGATCACCTGGCACCCCGACTGGGTACCTCCGTTGAAGGATGCTCCTAGCGCTTCCTGAGGACTCCAAGCACTGCAGCAGACACCACAATCACCGAACCAGAGAAGCATATACCTTCTCTCAAGCATATGAATGCTGTAGACAGTTGAATAGGAATCATACGAATAGGTTTACTCTCCTAGCAGTCAAACTGGAACAGCATACAATGAATCCTTCCCCCAATAATGAGACGACACTTCACTTTGAGGGTTAAAACAGGAACAGACTGTACTGGCACATACAGCCTCTTTTATTCCCAATCCACAAACTTAGTACTGCCCACAGGGTTTTACAGAACAACCAATCAATCTGTACAATACACACAGACACTCCCACACAAAATCCTCCCCTCTGACTGTGATATGATTACTGAATACAATGGTTAATCTAATTATCACAGCCAGAGAAATACAGTTTCATAAAACACATCACAGGGACCCCAAAACATGCAATAACCCCATAAAAAGTATATCCTTGGAACTGGGGGATCTGGGTGAACCACATATCCAAAATTCACCCAGATCCGTTCAGTACTTTGGAAAATACAGTTTAATGCAGATTCTGCAGAACATATACAGGCTAAATGAAAAACAATCACTGTATAATGTGTCCCCTGCTGTATAGTCCAAAACCACTGCACGATGTCTCTGTGCACCAAATACTGGCGAGATGGCACCGTGTTGAAAAGTCCAAACAGTGTCTGTGAGTTAAAATGGCAGCCATCCATTGTTCTCACCATGTGCTTCTGATACAGGAAATGGTGGCCACCCAGTAACTCCACAGTATGTCCCCAGATGGTTCTTAAAAGGGCCAGCAGCAGCACAACACAAATCCATTATGCCCAAATCATGTCTTTAAAGGGCAATACATCCCAGGGGCCATAGTCAATTGGTAGGAGGCTGGCAACCAGGCTTCTCCAGTGCATAGTGGCGATGTTGGTTCCGCCACAATCTTATTTCCACAACACTCGGTATACCAATTCAGAGTATGCCTAAGTATACGGTCATACGGTGAGAGCAATGCGAGTGTCTAAAGTGCCACCAATAATGTGAAATTGTGTGAATACAAAATAACAGAAATCAAATAGACATCCAATAGGAATCAATAGAATCATTATTTTATTTTTAGCTTTAGTGTATTTATAATCTTAATTTTAGTAATATTAGGAGGAGAGCACAGACAGTACTCACTTACCGACTGGGCTCAGTTCTTACAACTTGTGAGGATGAACTAGAGAGCAGGTCTATGTTCGGTGTAATTCCCTCGAACATACACCAGTTCACTAGTGCAGGGAATATCTGAAATCTATGCTCAGGAAAAATTACCAGAATATTGACCAGCAGAAAATTAACAATTATGAACTAGAATGAACTTTAAAATGATCTGATCACAGGAATGAAGAGGTAACATGCAAACTCCTGAAGGCGTGCTGAAGTCCCCAGTTAAGCTGGAAAAAAATAAAAACACATAAAAGGTATCTCAAAATGAAATTATAAGTAATGAAACACACACCATCAATCATTCAAGGTATTAAAGTTGTATAGCTAACATACATAATAATACGAACACAATCAACATCTAATCCCACAGTGAATAGCAAACGTCGTGGACAAAAAAGAAAATTAAACTGCAAAAGAGTAAAAAAAAGATGAGGGAGGGAAATATTCAACTCCTGTCATTAATAAATTTGAGATTATAGGTACATTAAAGCTAGCATAATCTTCAATTTTACCACACGACAGGAGGCGTCATATTTTAATTTTTTAATGATCTGAAAGAAAAGAAGCAGCAGCTTTGCCCCGAACCGTATGTTCTCCAAAAGAAGCATTGCCGCTTTTAGGGACACTATAAATAAATCGATAGAACATGGAAGTCGACGTGACTTGGTCCGATAGGAGATGGCAAAAGTGACACCCTCTGGTGAAAAGGTAAAGCTGTTGATGTCAAAAGCCTGGACATCAGGGGCGGAGCCTGACCATGCAAGGAAATGGCTCTGCCAAGACCCAGCCTAATCCACAGCCATCACTTGCAACTGAGCCCCCTAAATCCCCTTATTCCTCACCCTCACTCATTCTAACCCACTCCGATCCCCTAATACCAAATGGGTGGCGGAAGGAAATCGCAACATTCAGCGGTAGCACCCATCTTCTGTGCTAGGCCCGAGAAGGCCCCTGCACCATCTTTGACTCACTCCCAGTCAGACCACGAGTCAGACCATGGAGAGTACGGAAGACCCTCTCGCACAACGGGACATGAAAGGGTTCCTGGCGGAATTGAAAAAATCTGTTGAGGAAGAGCTGGACAAACGCCTGTTCCCGATAAAGGAAGGCATGGCAGACCTCACGGCCCAGGCCCAAGCTACAGAGCACAAAATGGAGAAGCTGGCAGAAAGTGTGAGCTCTCATAACCCAGACCTGCAGGATCTTAGAGAACAGCTTCGCCTCCGAGAAGAAACAAGCAACAGGTGGATACCGATTCCAGTAATCATCCAGGTGAGCGGATTACTGGAATCCGTATCCATAGAGCTCCTAACTGATACTCACATCGGTGTTCCAGACCCTCCTACCAGCAGCAACCGCAACGGACCTCATGGATTGAGCCCTGTGGACCCCCAGCGCAAACCTAGCATCCCCAAGAGATGACATAGTACATATGCACTTCTATCATATTAAAGACCACCTAATGCGAGCCGCCAGGGAGACCCCCATCGAAACTGAAGGTGCACAAATTCAACCTTTACAAGATTTGACGCCCACCATGCTACGAAGACTTAGAGAAATGCCCCCACTGATGCAGTATCTCACCCGCCATGGCCTGCGGAATGCATGGGGACCCCCCTTCAAACTCCTAGTCCAAAGACAACAGATTCCTCCCTTTTTCGCAGCCCGCCGAAGCCGCGGACCTACTGGACAGGCTGGGGCTACCGCCTGTAACCTTCCCTTCACATGACCAGCACCCTGCAAGACCACCTTTAGCACTGCCGGAACAAAGAAGACAAACACGGGAATCAGTCCAACCTCCTGCTGGCTCCCAAGCTTAGCACTTCACCCAGAGAGCCTACAGCTTCCACGGACCCAGGGACTAGAGACTCTCAAAGCTTTCCGGACCGACCAAGCATGACCACACCAACCCCAGCAAGCAGACAGGTGGACCGGGAACAAGCAGGAACCACCCTGCAGCACCACCACACAGCACCATCCAGGCAGCATCACAGTGCACTCACCAGACTGATTCCTCCAAGCTCTTACAGATATGGGCTAAAGTAGTGACTAACACTACAGAAATTAAAGAACCAGCAGTCGCACATAGTTGCAGAACACGCACCTAGAGACTTTGTATGTCGGCCAGGACTGCAAAGCAGAGGACAGCCCATGGACTAGAGCCGGCAGGCTTATAGGGTAACTTGGGGTTTCCCCCTGCTCCAGCACCTTCACACAACTACACGAATACCTTCCTACACAATGCTGACCTGCCTAGATGCACAAACTAACATCCTAAGAAAAAGTTACCTGCGCTCTCTCCTAAATCCCTATGTATATTTTAACAAATGGAGATCGTTTAGTTACTCCAATGGCCATTGGAAGGAAGTGATGGGAGTGAGCGCAGGACTTAACTCTTTGTATTTGTACAAACTAACACCCTAGCCCTGACCAACTCATACTAGCAGCAATCCCTAGAATAACACAGCTGACCAGAACACTTACCAAAATGTAAAGACCAAAACGGGCAGGACGGACACAGACACTGGAACAAACCACACATAACCACACAGTCAGGTATTAACACTCAACCGAGTGCAGAGACAGACAGAGCCTCACAATTATCAAACACAACACCTACCATAGGACATTTAGAGACCAGACATAGGGCACCGTGATAGGCACCCTCAAGATGGCAGTCACCAGCCTTAATGACAAGTGAGAACAGAACACCTCCAGCAAGCGCTGTAGTTCTGACTAGTAATGTTAATTGTTAAAATGAATGCATAATTGTTAATCTGCTCAACAAGGCACCACAATGTCAAACGGTCTTATAATAAGGGACGTTGGGGTAGAGGCAATGATGTTGTCTCTAAGGCCAGAAGTGTCACTGCCCTGCATCACGGAACGAAGATATGCAATATTGGGACATGGACAGCTGCACTGCCCTCATGATAACATGAACCGTCATGACAATGACACTGACAAGTAGGTACAGGTAGAGCACAGCCACAACATTTTCACGACTAACTCCACGGACGGCACCGCTGGGTCGGCCCCCTGCAATGACGAGACACAATAGCACGACAACAGAAGTCGTGCCAACTAATATCTTACCTAATGCTGTAGTGTTACTGTAACGGATCGCCTGGCACCCCGACTGGGTACCTCCGTTGAAGGATGCCCCTAGCACTTCCTGAGGACTCCAAGCACTCTGGCAGACACCACAATCACCGAACCGGAGAAACAAATAAATTCTCCCAAGCATATGAATGCTGTAGACTGTTGAATAGGAACCATACAAATAGGTTTACTCTCCTAGCAGTCAAACTGGAACAGCATACAATAAATCCTTCCCCCAATAATGAGACGACACTTCACTTTGAGGGTTAAAACAGGAACTCTTGTGCTGGCACACCCAGCCTGGTTTTTATTATAGCCTTTCACATACAGGAACGCCCACAGGGAGGTATAAAACAACCAATCACATATCAGTTACATCCCACATATTCCCTCCCTTATCCTGAGAGGAAACTCAATTACACATACAGTTAAAACATACTTTCTACCCAACTTTCATAACTTTAAAACCATACATCACATTCACATAAAATTACATATTCACAATCAATCCATTCAGGGGAACAACATATTAAAAAATGGCATGAATCCGACCAGGGGTTCAAAAGTTAGTAAAAGTATATTTTGGGCCCTGGCTGGCACATGGATATCTGGCTCAAACAGGTTTTACAGAGCCCTCTATCCTGGAGACAATGGGGAAAGTAATCCAATTATCCAGGGATAGAGGCAGACTCCATTGAGCACATGGTTGCAAAAAGACATAAAACACTTTAAAATACATAAAGTCACCTTTTACACATAACACACAGACATTTCAGATAGCTGGGATCTGAGCGCACAAAACTACCGAATAGCGCTCAGATCCTATTCACACAGTTCCATTGCCATGGAGCCGAAGTCTTTAACTACATGAATGGGCTCCATGGCATAGCTATCTGGGTTAACACATTCACATAAAGTCTGGTCCATAGTCCAAAGGCAAGAGGCGGGCAAGCAGCCCCCTCCAAGGACACGTGGCGAGGCCGGTTTCGCCACAGTTACTCTCTGTGCAGACATGTACCAATGCGCTAACCACAAGTGTGACACCGGCAGCACAGCCACTGTAATACTCCATATTACCAAAGTGTATAAAGCTAGGACACTCACCGGCATTTCACTGTTTCACAGGGCACGAATTGTAGCAATGCAGGTAGTGACAAAGCAGCCTGCTTAACCAAGCTAAGCTCTCGCGAGCAGCACTGACACCCTGGTCGACTAGACAATTATGTCATAGGCAACCACACACACCAATATTACTTTGAACCCTGGCAGGGAAATCGCACGATCGCACACCAGAGGAACATCAGAACAAAACAGCTGATACTAAATCCACACCACCAGGACCAATGAAAACAGGGGCCCCCACACGACCATGCCAAGCACAGTTGAGTTATTAAGGATCAGAACTAGCAACGACAACACAGGGACCTGACACCTGATAAGTTTAAGGTTTACAAGTTTATGTTGAAGTTCATAAGTTAAATGGTTATGGGGTGTAGCGGAGTACTGATTTCCCACAGACTATTTCCGTTGGTAATCCAAGTAGGGCTCAGGAACAAGTAGTACAACCCAAGAGAATAGCATCCACAGTCAGCAAAACAATCCAAGGATATCCCATCACCTTTCCAAATGACTGGACGACACACAGTATCAGGAACAGAACTCCTCTTTTATTCCACATAACCTGCTTATATGCATATTTCCCATGCAAGGGAGACACCCCCAATAATTAGTACAATAACCAATCAGATACACGTTACCTCCCACACATCTCCTCCCCTCAGCTTAACAGATAATCAAATTATACTGTACATACTTCCCCCCAGTCTCTGGATGTACCCCAAATATACCAGGTACACCCCTAAATGTGGTATCCCCTGATAGCCCTGATCTGGGTGAGCAACATATTAAAAAATCACCCAGATCGGACCAGGGGTACCGTTACGTGGAAGTGTTCATTTGACCGACCACACACGAGACAATAGCCGAAATCAGTTCCACACATTCTGGCCTTGCGGTCGGTCTCCGTTTGTGAGGTAAAAGACACGAAAATCCGTATGAATCCCCTTGTTCGGGAGATTCATTTAGCCGAACGGCGGGCTGTTCGGATGTTTTGTTCAGCAGTTTATGGAACCCTGGAGGTCCTAGCGCTGTTCGCTTAGTCGAGTGTCTGATTTGAGTTCCAGACACTCGACGACCAAACACCGCTGAGCGTTCGTATGCTAACATGGCCGCCACCCAGGGAATACAACAGTGTGTTCGTGCCTTTTTTAATAGGTGTAGTAAAAACGAATGGGGAGGTAAATTGAAGCCACGCGTCACACAAGGGTGGTCTGGTTGTTCAGTATTTTGGTTCGTATGTCGAATGAAGCAGTTCACTGAAGCCTTTGAGGCTTTTTACCGAACAACCAGACGAATGCTCATGTATACAATAAATCCACACGAAAGTTGCCAAATAAAAAGGGAATATGATGGACAGCCAGAAGGTCTCTGCTACATGGGGTAACACAATAAGACGGAAAGATAAGCTACAAACCCACAATAGGGTAGAATGCGCACCAGAGCTATAGACAAAGCTACACGATAATACCCACAGGCACACCACAGAACCACAACCTCTAACAGGATGAAACCTACCCACACCACTTGTCTAACTAGCCCACCTATGCACCCTACCTCCCCATGATCCACTCCTCCCACCTCGCCCTTCCCACGCTCAGACAACTGAGGCAAATAGGCAGGTCAAAGGCAAAAGACTTGCACACACTCCCACTTCATCACTCCCGGACTCACAACACCGACCTACCTCAGAAGACAGGAGTCCCACGCCCAAACACCAACTGGCCAGATATATATATAAACTATAGTCTCTCCCTCCGCCACCGCTCCATCTCTGCCACCCCTCTGCTTTAACGCTCGCTCTCCCTCCCTTACTCCATCTCTATCCCTTCCGAACAACCTACAGCGCAGTTAGAGCAGACTGAAACTAAGAAATGACACTGCCGGCTCTTAACCTCCGATTCACCACCATTAATATGAAAGTCCTCAACACCCCTGGCAAATGCCATGGCATACTCAGATGGACGAACCGCACGGCAGCAGACATCATCCTGAGAGACGCTCCCCCCCGACACTTCCGCAGATATTACCTAGCCAACTCCCTGGAAACTAAAACGAAGGGAGTCGCGATTCTACTTAGCAACTCCTGCCCTCTAGGAGACATCCAAACCCTCACAGACCCAGCAGGCTGATTTCTCTTCCTCACAGGAAAATAGGCATCCCAGATATGGCTTTTTGGGACCTGTTCAGAACACACCTACTCTGCATACCAGCTAAAAAACGGATAATAGGGGGAGACTTCACACCCCCGCCATCAATCGTAGAACACAAGACTGCCGGGCGCCAACCAGAACTAGAAACGACAAATTCTTTGCCATATTTTTAGAAACCACACCCCTACTAGACGCCTGGAGGACCCAGCACCTCTCGACTAGAGATTACACCTTCTTTTCCCACACACCAATCCTACTCCAGAATCGACGGATTTGTCATCTCGCCCACGATACAATCCTGGTGCACCCAAACACAAATAGGCAACATAGCATGGTCGGACCACGCAGAGGTTTCAATGACAATAACAATACCCAACATAACCCGCCCCTGTGCATGGCGCCTCAACCTCATGATACTCCTGGGCAAAGCAACCATCCACACTCTCACGTCTCACATTCGAGACTACTATCTGGGCTGATATCCATAGAAAATGCCCTAAAAAAACATGCCTCAGGGCCCTGACAGAGGCCTTAGCAGAACTGCACAGGCTCGAAACGCTCCACAAACGCCAACCAACCAAAGCACTACAGACCCAATTGACAACTACGAGGGACCAACTGAAAGCACTATCGGCGACCGACATAGCACTTAACCTCATGTGGACCAAACAGAAGTTCAACGAAAACAGCCACAAAGCAGACTTCCTACTGGTCCACTGCATCAAAGAGCGACAGGAGAAAAAGAAAATCTCCAAAATCTGTACGCAAACAGGAGAAATAAAGGACCAACCGACAAAAATCGCACAGGAATTCCTACAATACTACATCAATCTATATAACCACTCCCCTGAGCTCACTACATGCCAAGTTCACATTGATCTACGGCCTTGACAGACCTCTTTCAGACCCTACCAATTCCAATACAGAAACTGGACTTCAAACATTTACAAACAGCCATTTACAAATTCATTTGGTAATTCAAAAAGCCCCAAATTCAAAGATCGACAATGTATGTCCCCAAACCGCAAGGATGACTGGGACTACCCATTTCCCAACACTACTATCACACAGCTCAACTTTCTCACATTCAACAATGGCAAGCACCACCAGGGGCCAAGAGATGGTTGGACCTAGAACACAACATCCTAGGCTGGCACCAGCCATCTCTTCATATGTGGGTAACCCAAGCACATAGGCCACTTCCACCATCCACATCAGAGACGATCACCCACATGCTGGCGCTATGGGACAAGCTAAACCCCAAATACAACCTATCCTCCTACATATCCCCGATCACGCCAATCTATCGCAACAAACACTTTCCACCAGGGATAACCCCAAAACATTCCATCAACTTTGACCAGAGAGACATCTCCAGGCTCCTACACCTGTACCAGCAAGGAGAAACAATCGCCTACAACAATCTCCCCAATGCAGAATCCCTAAAAACCTCAGACTACTTCCGCTACCTGCAACTGAGGGACCTAGTCCATCAGCCCATGATCAAACAAGCGGGAACATCACCCCCGACACCATTCGAAAAACAATGCTTCGATGCACAAATACACTCTGGACAAGCCTCCAACACATACCTCCCAAATTAACCTCACATACGTAGCAGCATGGGAACGAGACATCGGACCACCAAAGGTACCGCACGTATGGGCCGAAATATGGGAAGCGATAGGCTCACTGACAGTGTGCGTCACGTACAAAGAGCAAGCCTACAAGACGCTCTACAGATGGTACATAACACCGTACCAACTCCACAAAATGGGGAGATAACCACACCACTCATAGCCCCAACCCACAGCCCCTCCAGAATAAACACCTTAAGACACGGACAACCTTGTATCCGTAAAGCATACACCAAACAACAAGACATAGCCTAAACCCACAAACCAGGACACAGAGAAGTACAAGCAAGGCAAAACAAAAGCCCACATGACAGATACCTGCACACAAGCCCGGACCGACACAACTCAACAACGTGAGACCCGAGGTCACGGCATCCATGCCCCCCCACTCAATATCTTTCCCCCTACGTGTCTCTCATCTCTTGTCTTCTCTCCCCTTCCCTTCTCTTCTCCCACTCTGCCCCCTCCTCTCTCTCTCTTTTACCACCCACCTTTTCCCCCTCCTCCACTACACGCCTCAACAATGCGCCCCCTCCACCTCCTTCCCTCTCCCCTCGGGGTGCTGGGCGCGCCACCCCACCCACCACCTCAAGCCAACAAGGGGGGGATATGATAGAAACATTTAAATACATAAAGGGAATCAACACAGTAAAGGAGGAGACTATATTTAAAAGAACTACCACAACAAGAGAACATAGTCTTAAATTAGAGGGGCAAAGCTTTAAAAATAATTTCAGGAAGGATTACTTTACTGAGAGGGTAGTGGATGCATGGAATAGCCTTCCAGCTGAAGTGGTAGAGGTTAACACAGTAAAAGAGTTTAACCCCTTAAGGACACATGACATTCAAGGGCAGAGCCAGCACCAGCAGATTGAAATAAAGGTAGATTTGTACTATATTTAGGGTGAGTCAGGCGGGGCTAGATGGTGTTTTTGACGCTATAGGGTCAGGAGTACATGTTTGTGGTTTTTTTTTTTACCCTGTAGTGTTCCTTTAACATCTGTGAATGCCCAGGGCCCACAAATCCCAGAGGAGGTCTTTAGTCTCTTGCGATAATCTGTGGACATTCCAGGATCCTTTGAAAGAGTTCAGGCCACTAGGGGAAGCCAGTCTTCGATCAGGAGCAGGTGTAGATTCCCTTGTGGGTTGTGAATAGGCAAAGGGAAGGATGGCAGCAAAACCGGGTTCATATGAGTGAGGTCCAAGAGATTGGGGAAACCAGGCATGACTCTGCCAGAAAGGAGTGACTAGTAGGAGAGACCTGATCTGAAACAGTAACAGTATAATGGCAAACGGAGGTAACGCTTGCAGGAATGCGTCCACTGCTGCACAATCTGAATCCGGCAGCCAGCTGAAGAAGGAGGCTGAAAGTTCGTCCGAGATGCGAAGAGATCCACTACAAAGCTGCACCTAATGATATTCATCTGGTGAAAAACCATTTTGTCCAGCGTCTCTGCTGTCCCTCCAGTCTGCCTCAAGTGAGAACCAATCTCCTGTGAGGTTGGTGGCTCCGGGAAGGTATTCTGCTTGAAGCATGACGTTGCTACGAAAGTAGAAGCTGTAGATGTCTTTTGACACCTCGGAGAAAACACTATTCATATAGTGCACAACAGACATATAGCACATCCAGAGAAGTATACAGCAATCGGAAAGACTCCTCGCAAGATCCTCGAAGGATCCTGCTATTCGCTCCAGGCAATTGATGTGCAGGCCTGCTTCCAATTTCGACCATGGACCACCTGTTGAGGTATCAGTGCAGGCCACGCCTCATTCCCATAAACTGTATGCATCCTTCAGATCCAGACACGCAAAATAACCTGATTACGTATATATTAGCAGTTAAAATACTAAAATGATGCATAAACCAGCGTCCATTTAAGGCTGGAAGATAAACATCATACAAAAATATTTGTGTTTGTTTGAGCTTCTTTAGTAATTTATTGAAAAGTGTATAGTCCTTAATTAATAGCTACATGATAGATGTTAACAAATAAAACAGTCTATTTTAGGGATGTGCATGGGTAAAAAAAATTGGTTCGGTATGGCTCGGCACTCCTGAAATTCCGGACTTCGGCAATTCTCTACCCCTAACCCTACTGGGGTTAGGTTAGGGTTAGGGTTAGATTTCTGTCATCATTCCCTTAATTTTCCCTCCCTCTCCTGTTTTGCCACTTTTCAGAAATCCGATGCACTTCGGCACTTCCAAAATTTGGCTTTAAACGAATTGCACATGTCTGTCTATTTCACATGTAGCCCGGGCCTGAAGCTTCAAAATGATCCGACTATAGTTCTGTGCACACAGTCCATGGTTGGTTTACTTTATATTGGTTCTCTGGGTGTTTTGTTTTTATTATTTATTTTTATTCATTTATAGGCATTATTACCAGCAGAGCTGCATTAAGCCTGTTTCCATGTAGTATGCATTTTTGCTTGGGCACATTCAGCATAAATTATTAAAGTGGCTATGGTACTAGGGAGCTGTCCCTGGAAACAATTAGATTCCTTGATCTTTTCTTTTCAATCTGCATCCACATACACATGCAGACGCCCATAGCTTTCCCATCCAGCCAGGAATCTGCCTTGTAATGTTACATTTGCAGCTCATACACGAATACTGAACCTAGAAACCTCAGCTTAGCAGACCAGAGGATGCTGGTGCAGCAGCGGACTCAAAGATCGGGAGTTTTTGGAGACTGCGGCCTACTCGAGAGAGGAGTGGGGTGGACGGACACCGCCCTTCCCTCTCCCCCGGCTTCCACATACTGGCTCTCTGATGTGCTTGCCGGTCCCGTTTCCCACCCCTTTGGGCCGGTGGAGGTTATCCCAGCCCCCACTGGAGCATCCGAAGTAGCAGGGAGAGAAATGCTACGACTTACCCAGCAACCAAAATCCCGTGCTTGGAAGCTAAAATGGCTGCCAACCATGTCTTCAAGACACCATCCAGGCTGAGAGGCCTGCGTGTGGACTCCCAAAAGATGAAGCTGGATGACCTCTGCTCCCATATATAGGCTGCGCTGCAGCAACTCCTCACCACCAAGACTCCGACAGTCCACAAATTGGAGAAGGTCTCTCAGCTTCTCACACCTACATCCCAGCACCCGCATAAGAGCACCCACTCACAAAGGCCTTGAGGGGACGAAACCCTACGGACCAGCCTGCCACTCTGCAGGAGCACCCCTTGCACTGCATGGACTCAGATGTCTGCTGCTGACTGGGGGCGCAAGACATGGGCTCATGCTGTTACCAGGGAGTGGTGGGGCAGAACAGGCAGGGTCTGCCTTTATCCTGGGAAGTCATCACTATTATGCTTGGCCAAGCCGGAGGTCGGGGTGTGGGCTGAGGGAAAAAAATGTTTAATGTCTGCTATGAGGGTCTCCAGTGGCTTTCCTCAGTTGAAGTGCTCAGCTCATTTAACTGGCCTAAAATACCTTTTGTTGACCCAATGCATACAATATGTATTTCTGCTATCTCTCTACGACCCTCACTTTTATCCATTCATCTACTCTTGTTTTCCCATTACACTATCCTTGATGTTTAAGCAGTGCTATAGCTTCCCCAGTACAATCCACAGTTTACTCTTCTCTGTTATGTTATTTATATGTTATTAATATGTTTCCTTATAATATAAAAAACAGTGCAATTAACTCTAGGCATCTCAAATTGCTATCATATTCATGTCCTGTCATATTAAATGTCTACATGTGCATGCTTGTCAAAATATGCACTGCAAAAATAAAGAATTAAAAATAAATAAAAGGTAAAAGATTTGCAAGGACAGCAACCACCATAACCAGTACAATTAACAGTAGTGATTCTGATGCTTTGAGGATCCCTTTGTAGGGACAGTCAAACTAGTCATATACTTAAAAGAAATTGTGGCCAGCCATGCCCATTTTTCAGTGTGTAAAGCTGCATAGCTGGATTAGCCATTAGGCAGCCATCTAGAGTCCATAGGTTACACAGAGGTCCAGTCTCCATGAAGATATTAAGCCAAGTTTGGCCACATTCAGCATCAAAAAAAGAAATGAATAAAACACATGCCTATCTTTAATATATGATAGGATCCTTCGGCTATGTGGGTCGGACAGTGTTTGAAAACCGACAGTTAATCTCTATGGTCTTCCTTGCCTCACTCCCTGCACAGAAGCTGGGAAAACAAACAGTAGGTTTTCTAACTATACTAAAGTTAGGAATTAATTTTTCCTCATTTTTGTTTTCCATAGATTTCTTCCAATACACAATTCGTCATCAACATAAGGCTTATTTCTCCCCTATTACTCTACTATTTTATCAGCAGGTGATATAATGTATCACACTGGTTCTAAATCCTAACAGCTTCTGTCATTCCATCGGAGGGTCATTGCATGTTTTATAATCCTGTCGTGGTTTTTTTTTTTTTTTTGTTTTTTATTGGGATTATGAAATCAATCAGTAATATTAAATGCTGCATTAATCCGGGAGGCACAGAGCAGATGCCAAGATCAGGCTCTGCAGGAATGAGACGGGCACATCTACAAATGTAGAATAATTCGTGGCCACTTTCCTTAACTGCTACATTCATTAACTGGAGGTAAGGCAAAGCATTTAATGAATATTTGGAATTACAGCGGAAACAATGGATTGTGTCTATGAAACTTTAGCCGTCTGAGACGGTCTGTCATCCTGGGCTGGTGGAGTGATTGTCTACTTTATATAATCTAATGTTTGCAATTACATGATTAAGGTGACATTTCATTTTGTTGGACTTTGTGTATCAGTAGTCTGAAAGAATTGAAGGTATTTAGTTTCTAAAATAGTATTTCTCCATCTCCAGTACTTTTAGCATTAAATACAGCACCAGTTTTGATATCACTATCTGTACTGATGAATCCATTGTTTGTTAGCAATTCGTTTCTCTTGGCGTTTTCAAATGTAAGTGAAGCTATTGCTTATTAGGGAAACTTTACTCTAAAAATAGAGACATGGATGTAATGCAATTTGAAAGAATTTATTTTTCCTTCGATCATGCTGGTTGGTGTTCTGTAGATCTGTAGATGTAATCATGATTTTTATAAAGGATTTGTTCTCGTTGCATCTTTTTGTAGAACAATTTATTGCAGATTGCACTGCACTATGGATTTCAGTACTATTTTTGTGACTATTTGTATTATGGATGTTGAAAAATATGCTAGTTTATTTTCTAAAGACACTTTATAGCCCTACCTGGTGGGCCAGTTCTGTAAATCGCTCATCCTCTCCTACAAGGGCAGTCAAAGGTCAGAAATAGGCAGAAAGGATATATTTGTGGAAAAAGAGGGTATCTCACCGCATGATGAACAGAGGATTTGTTTATAGTCCTGGTAATTACATTTTCAGCCATGAAATCCTCTAATCAAGGCCACCATGTTCAAAGTTATTTAAGAAAACAACAAAAAAATAGTTTTCAGATGAAACAATTCCATGTGTATGTTGTGTACAGTCCATTGACAAACATTTAAAGGACCACTAAAGTCACCCAGATTACATAATTTCAATGAAGTGCACTTGGTACAGTGGTCCTGTACTTTTTAACCTTCAAGGCAAAACAAAGCCATTTTGCACAAACGGCCCCTAGAGGCGCTTCTGCTACAACAACGGTTCTCGTGACATTGCAGCACATGGCAAAGTATTGAATTCAGTGCTTTCCTATAAGAAGGATTAATGTGCTTGAGGCGCTTGCTGCGCATGTGCATCAGCCTCAGTGCTCCCCTATGAGGAGCGTTGGATTGGACCAGTGATTAGGTGCCACATCCTCGATGGGGTTGCAGCAAGCAGAGAGGTCAATGGGCTGAGGGTGTCTCAGCGATGGACAAAGGTGGATAAAATAATTTTTTTGTAATATATCTTAATTGTAAACGGTGGGCAGGTACCAATAACCTAACTATGGACTAGGGGACTATAGCGCTAGGAATACAGTTTTGCATTCCTAATGCTAGAGTGTTCCTTTAAATTGCTCAAATTTATTTTGATCTAGAAGTTTGCTGTTGATTTTGTTTAGAAGAGTGTGTTCCAAGAGGAGAGGGAGGTACAAAAATGGAGGTTTTAACAAAAGTATTTATAAGTAGTCTAAAAAGGTTTGACTTATCAATGTGCCTTTTTTGCATCAGAAAATATTCAGAAAAGAAGAGTTTAAAGGGACACTAAGGCGTCAGGGACACAAACACAAGTATTCCTGACACTTTTGTGTTTAATCCACCATTTAGGTGGTCCCCCCCTTTAGAAAATGTTAAAACTCAGGTCTGCCTGACGATGGCCCCACCCCATAGAGAAAGCATTGGATTGGCTGAAATCGCTAAGGAGGCGGTGGGGGTGGGGCCAAAAGACATTTTGGCCAATCCGCACCTCCTCATAGAGATGCATTGAACAAATGCGTCTCTATGAGGAAAATTCAGTGTCTCCATGCAGAGCGTGGAGATACTGAACAGCAGTGCTGCTTACTGTGCAGCACTGCTCCAGTAAGCACCTCCAGTGGCTATCTGAGGCGTCCCTAGGTGGCAAAGTAAACACTGTCTTTTCTCTGAAAATGATTATACTCACCAGAACAACTACATTAAGCTGTCGTTTTTCTGGTGACTATAGTGTCCCTTTAACGTTTAGGCCAATATAGTTTATAGTTGAAGTTTTCTAGTTTTGCTATTGTGATGGTAGTCACCATCACCTGGACTTTCAGACAGACTATTTATGTAGGTTGCTGGACTTTTCTTATGTTTTAGTCACCCTGTATCCATTATAGGTGCAGGGTGTGTGTAATGTAATTATTTATATTGTGTGTGTGTGTGTGTGTGTGTACACCGTTAAATTTATTGCCTGCTCTCCTGTACTGCTGAGGATTGCTACCACCTAGGTGGATTTGGCTATGGAGCTTGTGTAGTGCCCTCTGCTGGTAACAGCAATATGCACTACCTGAATAGCAAGGCTGGTTAATTTGCATGTTTGTGTAGATTTGCATATTGCTAATTCTGCAGACAGGAGAGATATTTTCTGTTAATTGTCTTCCCCGCCTCTTTATAAATATGTCATTGTGTTATAATAAGTTGCTGCATGTTGTCTGCTATGGTTTGACAGTTTGTATTTTTATTTAGTTGTCACAGCAATGTTTATGTAATGATCATATGGGCTAGTTCCAAGTAAAATTAAGTTTCGTATGTTAGTTTCTTTTGGGTCTTATGTACTGTGTGGAATTGTAGGGATTTCTGTGACAGTCTTTGGACCTGATTGCAGGATCCCGCTAACCCTTGGCTAAAGCAAGAGAGCTAGGCCTGAGAGCCCCAAGTGTCTTTTTATATAAAGACAAGAGCTATAAATACCATTGCAGTTGGATGTGGATACCTGCCAGGCAGAATGGATGATCCCAGCCTGGAAGCAGGGTTGCAGTGTATGAGGCAGATGGGACGATACCTGCCTGAAAGGAGAGCTGCAGCCTGGTCCCCAGGACCCCAGTCAAGCTAGAGTTCCAGGGTCCCTGCAAGCGGCTATGAAGCTACCTGGGTGGAGGTACTTGGTCAGAGTACAGGAGCACCATCACAGCTAGTCTGGTCTAAAATTTGAAATTTAAAATCCACACACCTTAGTAACTAATCCTGAAAATGCTCACTTGTTTTAACAATACAGTCATTTTTCATTGTATCCATGTGTGCAGGGCTGGCGCCACCAGTGGGCTCTTACCCTGTCCTGAGCCACAGCGCTGGGCGAGCATTTTAGAGCTGCCCCCTTCAGCGCTGGGCGCCCAGAGGAGCCTTGTCACAGCGGGCCCAGGAGGTGGCCATTCAGGGCGCCCCCAAAGCTGTCCTTTAATCGGTATGGCAGTGAATGCCGGAGGAGAGGAGGCTGGTGGTGGCAATGTGAGTGGCGAAGGAGGCTCTTCTTGCAGCTTCCCACTCCTCCCTCGCACGCCATCTGATGCCAGGTCCTGGCATACTAAACAGCGCTCTGGAGGAGTGAGGAGCTGCCCCACACTGGACCCCAGGGAGGTGTGAGTGTTTGACTGTCAGGGAGTGTATTTGTGTGTGTGTGTGTCTGTCTGTCAGTGAGTGTATGTATGTCAGTGAGTGTGTGTCAGTGAGAGAGTGACATGATGGAGCGGCAAAAGGATCTTTGCCTAGGGCGGCAGAAATCTTTGCACCGGCCCTGCATGTGTGCAATAGTTTTATATGCAACAACAAAAAAGTCATCACAGTCACGACTTAAATATAATTTGTTTTAGGGTGGCACAAGACTCGTCTTGTGTATATAAATATTTGAACTATGAGTGTCTTGCTATGTTCACGACATAAGCTGCTGAGACCTGATAAAATGGAATTATAGGACATTGGGTTCCAATGCTAAAAGATTTTCTAAGTCTGGGTTCACCTGAGGAACAAAGTATATATAGCTCTGGGAAAATAAAATCAGGGACTAGCTCAATGTTTTTTTAAATCCTCATCTCTACATGTATGACAGCCATTCCATTCCAGTATCTGTTGAATTCCAACACAGGCACACCTCTAGTTAATGAGTTACCAATGAGGTCAAGGGTAGGCACATTTGGCACTCCAGATGTTATGGATTACATCTCCCCTGATTCTTTGCCAGCATCGTGGCTCTTAGAGCATTATGGGTGGTGTAGTCCACAACATCTGGAGTGCAGAAGGTTTCCTACCTCTTGATTAGGTGATCACCTGAACCAAATCTCACTTATTAAGGAAAAGTATAAAAAAACACTGCAGTGCACATCAATTCTCTTGCAACAGAACCACGGGATGGAAAGAACAGTTCTAGTGGTACCTCAACACTAATTGGAATAAAAAAATTAAAAAAAACTATTGCCAATGCCAAAACAGTTCAAAAGAAGGTTTTTGAGTGAGGAAAATAAGTATTCATTTCTGGCTTTGTTGACAGAGGGGTGCAGTGAGCATTAAGTTGCTTCCATCCTTACAATTTCAAAGACAGCAGTTCTTAAGAATGAGGTCATGCATCAGATATTGGTGATAACAAAGCTACAGACTGGCATAGGATGAAAACGACTTTCCAGTGATCAGCAATGAATGGTAAAGTTAAGCTGGGGTGCAGTGCATGGTGAATATAGTTTGAAACAAGCACTTGAATATTTGCACCAGAAGTGACATAAAATCACCAAACAGCAATATGAAAGATTGGTGACAAGCATGACAAGGTGCATGAAAACTGTGATTGAAAATTAAGGGGAGTCCACCAAATATTGATTTCTGAACTCTTGGAAGTTAAAACATTAGTATTGTGTTGTTTAAAAATCTTTTTTTTCTTTGGCCAATTGTCATTTATTACAAATAATAAAAACAGTTTTATTTAAAATTTTGAAGAAAATGTCAATAGTTTAGAATAAAACAAAAATTTTCATTTTACTCACACATACCTAAAATAATAAATCTAGAGAAACTGATAATTTGGTAGAGGCCTCTGAATTATTTTCTGAAAGATTTTATATATATATAAATGTTTCATATATGTTGCCTGGGTGCTCAAATATAAGCCATAAACAACTCAATGAAATTCAGAGAAAATTGTCAGTCACAGGACTTGTTGAAAAAAATGTGAACGCTTTGTTTATTCCATTTACAAAGCGGTAAGTCCACATTGTGGACTTACTTGAGAAAGGACTTTGTAAATGGTGATAAAGGGGGGTAAGGCAGAAGACGTGCAGCGTCCACCTCTGCCAGCTCCTCTCTGTCCATCTCGTAAGTTCATTTTTTTGGTAGATAAAAGTAACATAAAAATAGAATACAACAGATACTAGATTAAAGAGGTGCAGTGCAATAGCACTAATGTATCCCTTTAACAGGAGTCTAGGTCAGAAAATACATTTTGGTCTTCAGCCCATGAGCAATATTTGAATCATTGTAGGAATTCATGGTTAGGGTCAGGCTGAGCGGTTGCTTGTGCCAAATGGAAAGGAAAGTTGTAATATACCGTGAGAATTGCATCATCTCAGACAGGAGATATAGGATATCCTTACTAATGTCAGGATACTTACTACAGTCCTATTTGCAAATCAAGGGCAACAGTCCAGTATGCCCAGTTTATTTTGAACTCCTACCCACCAGCACCTGCCAGTATCTGTCCAGGAAAAGGCGATTGGCTAGGTGCCCATGTGTAGTTGAGCTGACATGATGCGTGCTCTGTAACTATTATGTGCAGTGTCTATATTTTTCCTCAAGCATGCCATCGAAACAGGAAACTGTAGAGGCAAGTTGTGCTGCGAAAAGAGGGGTGGGGGCATGCATTTAAACCCTAAAACTGCTTATGGAGCTTATATCTAACTATAACAAGGGCCACATTTAAGAGTTCATGCTGTGTATTGCTAATCTATCACCTATTATACTTCAATCTGTTTATTAATCGTTCACTGGGCAAGAAGCCATTAAATCGAATGTTTTGTCTTAGTGAGTCTACATCATTATTATGTACACTTAAAAAATAGCTTTGTCAGATGAACCAAAAAGGCATAAAAATAGTCCAATCAGTGTACTGAAAAATATATTCAGGTGGAACTCTGAATCATGAATGAAACAAAAGTCTTCATTCAGCGGCACTGTCATTTGTTTCATGTTCTGTCTATATGGGAGATCCAGAGTTATGGAATCGAAAAGCTTGCAGAATTCAGATGAATTACAAGTTTTACAAACTACATAACCCCAGCTGCTCATATCATAAACTACACCCTCCTATCTCTCACTTTTCTTTCCTCTAGAAAGGGTGGGAAAGCCATGAAGTTCTCAGATATGCAGGTTTATATATGTAGCAGTTTATGGAGAATAATGGAGTCAACACATTTGAAACCGTCTAAACCAAGTGAATTTATGGAACTGGTAGCTCTGTCACAGATGCATTTAATCACACCAAATGTATAATTGTGAAAAATCCATATATTTGAGAGGTTACCTCTCTTAAAATTAAATATTTACAAATATAAACAATGTGCCCTTTAGTAGGGTTTAAAATATATATATAATTCAAACACTAGTCTTTGTAACATAATTACTTGAGCCAGCTGTAGTAAATATCATGCACTAACCTTATTAATTTCGCCTTTATTATACACAGCAATGAATCTGTAGCTGTTGGTCACAAATGTCTTTGAAATGAAGGAGGTTTTTTTAAAGCGTTCTAAAGTACTAAAAGTGGGACAATTGCCATAGAAACCACTGGAACCGGTGATGCTTCCCATCTTATATTTTTAGACCAATTTTTAAACAGAACACTTTGCTTACCATCAACCCTACAGGGAAATGTATCAAGACAAAACAGTTATTTTGGGGCAACGTGCTTAATGCTGAGTGACAACTGCCTGTGGTTTCCATACTGATTTCTCTTATTTAGCAATTTGACTTAGTGCAAAAACAGGTGTTATTCTAACTCCCCTTTGAGTTTACCTTTGTGCAACCATCGATGATGGACCACCTACAAAGCGGGGACATACAAAATAAAATCAACACAAAAACCTTGAAATATCCTGAAAAACTGGAAAAATCATGGTTATGATGGCTGATTGCTGGTGGATTGATATAGTCAAAACGACAAGTTTGACTACTTTTTTTAGATCCAGCTTTGAATTTACAAGACAAGATTTCTCTTTTAGATCTGGTCACCTACTTTTTAGAGCAGGAATAGAGACAGGAACAGAAGAACTCTAGGCAACTGTACCACTAATGACTCCCCCCTAACTACTGTAAATATATACTATAAATAGGTCTACTTACATCATGCAGTGCTCTCATTGTGCAAAGTAGTAAGCTATACAGCTGTACTTTCTTAGTGTGTATGCACTGAGATTTAGAAGGAGCTTCAAGAGGAACCAAGCCTTTATACACCTTTAGTAATTGAATAATGGATCAAGAATTTTACCTGATGGACTCACTCCGTTCTATAGAACATGAATTACAGAGGTGGAATGTATTTATTATTAATTAATAGTCAATTCCATCCCGGAGTTCCCTTTTTAATTAGGGTAAGTTTCTCTAATGAACTGTGTTCCATCAAAAACTTGTAACTTGTACAAATAACTAATCAGTTCTCTTTGTTTACCACCCAAGTAAACTCAATAAAACAATTCTGAAATACTACATTTCCTTAAAGAACATATATGTAAATTACACTACATTGGCTCTCACTCGAGAAAGGTGGCTTAGGCATACCAAATGTCCATACATAGAATACATCAAAATTATTCAACCTCCATTGAAAATCAGGTTTGTCAAAATGTACAGCCTTTTAGCTATTTGCAATGAACAAATCAAACAAAAGCAATTAAAGAGTTTAACATAACAAATGCTTCAAGTGGTTTCCCCAATTTAACTGAAACTGCAACTTATGACTTCTCCAGTCTCAAAATTATTAAACCCCTTCGTGGCAAGTATCTTTAGTACTTAATAGAGCACACTTTTACTGTTATGACTTGCTGCAAATAACATGCATAGCCAGACAGCAGCTTCAGTCAGCATTTCTGAGGAACGGTAGCCCATTGCTCATGAGCAATTGCTTCCAGTTCAGTAATATTCTTGGGTTTGCGTGCTCCAGCCGCATTCTTCTACCTGCTCAATATTTCAACAAGTAAACTTTTACTTTTTACAATGAGTAATGAAGAGAAGGCTTTGTCAGAACATTACTTCTTTACTTATATTGATCAAGCATGGTGTTAATGCTTCCAATATCCACTTAAAAGTAGATCAGTTCAACAAAATATATGGTAAATAGCATGAAACAACCATGCCATAAAGTTCCTTGGAGAGCACCATATACATCTATTCCATCTACTAACTATTTCTTCCGTTCCACCTATGTCCACTACGTGATGAAGGATTGGAAAAAGGAGACCCAGAAGGCCCCATTCTTTTAGCAGTGTTGTGCTAGTTTTGGGGTGGCAATCAAATTCAGCTTGCCATTCCTTCAGATCAATAGCTTGGTAGGGTATCCCCATTGATAAGCTGTTTTGTGGTTCCTGAATGTTTTCGTAATGTTAATAAACTCCCTCCTTCTTGCCATAGTAGTAGCTGACAGATCCGCAAATAGGGAAATGGACGCAAAAGCCTTTGGCATCGCTTGGGCTTTTTTAAAACGGCCATCAGGAGTATGATAGTCTTGCATTCTCACCACTTCCGCGATTAGATTTTTAGGCTTTGGGAGCCTATGAGCCCTATCAATCAGCAGCTGCTTTTCACCAACTATTTAGTGCTTGGGCAGCCCTTGGATGCTAGACATCTTAGTCATTATATTCTCGTTTTTGTTTTTATTCTTTCTTTCTAAGTATGTGTATAATTATTCTATTTAAACTCTGCCCTGACAGCATTTAGAGGAGACTAAGGAACGGCTTTCTAAAAATATCGAAACTCCTCCAAGAGCTCTGGTCAATGGAATTCACAGATAGCTTGACAAGAACATCATTTATTGCTTTTATCTTTCCACTGTTTAATTTTATACAAGAATGTAATGTGATGTCATGGGTAATGTATGGCTATGTTTTATATTTTCATAGAAGGCACGTTGTGGGAGCAAACACGTTGATTACATACAAAAAAATTTTGTCCAACATATTAGGATCTCATAATCTGTAAGCCCACGAGAACTTTGTGTGAGGAGTGTGTCCTCTTTTTTTTTTCTTTTATTTTACAAAAAGTGCAGATTTCAATAGAAATTGGCACTTTTCTCAATTAACCTTGTTACACCCCTGACATTCAAGCAGAGAACAGGTCCTGTTACTTCCTGGTTTGTTTGGCTCAGTGGAGATAGAGGCCAGAGCATCTGCCTTGCAAAGACTTCTCATTGAGCTGTATTGGGAAGTCTGTGATTGGACAGCCACAGAAGGTCTGGGCGGGGTTAGAATGGGAGAGCTTGCAAAGGCAGCAGACAAGAGAAACAGGAGCTTTTGCAAACTGTATTTAGATGTATCCCCAATGAAAATAAAATGCATAATTATATGCTTGCGCGCATGTTTTCATTTGAGTTACATCTACTAAACAATAATAATTTTTTTGTCCATTTAAACAAAATCTTTAAGTGACTTCAATACCTGATGGATTAGAAATTTCATCCAGGGTAAAGCATTTATTTTACAGAATAAAATGTTAATATTTTACAGCAGAATAAACATACATCATTATAATGAGCTTTTTTCAGATCTGACCTGAACGCAAAAGATGTATTCTGGAACTGCGAGAATTTTAAAAAATAAAATAAAAAAAAGATTGCTTAGACAATTATAAATTAAAAATATGTGACACACCGCACACAATACAAGTACATTTTATGTAAAAATGCACAAATCAATTGGGTATAATTTTCAGTAGTAGAAGACTAAGTCATATTGATGGATCTGGGCATAAGTATTTGATATAATATCCAATGGTATGAGACAAAGTAAGGCAATTTGTGGTGGTGATCTATACAGTCACAAGTTAGCTGGATCATCTCTCAGTTTACCTGTGTTGGCTCTACATTCAACAGATCTTAGAACTGGAGTTACATGTCTGTCTGATATGGGATAGTGATCCCACAAAGAACGAAAAGCTACAAAGTAGTGCTCAAGGCTAAAGATACTTTGTAAACCAAGAAAAGCTGATACCCCTGGTAGAGACGATTATTATTGGGATTTATATAGTGCCAACCTATTCCACAGCACTTTACAATTTTATAGAAGGGGGAATTTTAGCAATAAATGAAACCATTACAAAATGTTACAGAAACAATAGGTTACAACTTAGAGCCATGAGAATTGTCTAATAGGATATGATTGGTTTTAACATGATCCTGGGGATATCAAATCAAATATTACATTTAATGACTAATACACTAATTGGTGGTAGATAGGCATAATAAAACAAGACATGTAAAAATAAATCTCCAAAGCAGAGAACACATGATATTTACCTGCTTATAGTGGCTGGCAATCTCCTCCTTGTCCTGTGAGTTTTACATATGCAGTGCTCTGGGATAAACCTATCCACACTATATGCAGAGTTCCTAAAAAGAGCAACACCTGGATTCCATAAATGGGACTCTAATCTCCAAGCAGGGATACATAATAGAGCCACATAGGGTTGTGTCAGTGACAAAGGTATGCATACAGTCAGCGGCAGAGGCGCATGGACAGGAAGTGCCTTACCATCAGAAGAATCTCGGACTGAACAAACATGTTGGTTAAAATATAATGAATTTTCACGTCACATCAACGTTTTCTAGACAATAGCTGAAAGTATTTCCCAGACAAAATTCAAAAGACCAAAGCTTTTCTCATTTGGCTCCTTTATTCTATAATGATACAATACAAACTGCAAAAAGACAAAGATTGCCCCGTGCATATCCATGGCAGAAGGCGGTACATAATACGCAGTGATATATTTATTTTTGGAATTCTTTATTTGCACTCAACTCACTGGTGTGGGGTACTGAGATCATAATACAGAGACAGACATCAGAACATAGTGCATGAATAGGACATATCAGCCAGTGGCAGCAGAAGAGAAGACTAAATTACAGTCTCTGGAGCGCATATTCTGTACAGTGTCAAGTCTCTAGCATTGGTACGGGTATGGCCGCCAACTGATGGCGAGGAAGATAAATTAAATAAGCATCAATACACAGAGGGATCTCTAACGGTACAAAAGAGCGCCGATATACTCACCCTGACCTCGGGAGCCGACCCAGAGACATTCCTCAAAAAATTAGGCATATTAGCCAATGGACACAGAAAGCAGCATGAGAAACGCAACACTTAACTATAATAATAATAATAATGTTTTTTATATGCATATAAGCTTATAAGGTCAAGGAAAGTTTCTCACTATTCTTGCTACCCCTAACCCAGCACTCCATGCTATTAACCTATAGCCCTAGGTATCTGACCCCACATATATATGGGATATATAGGTTAAGCCGGAAGATTGTTGAAATCAAGCAACCTCGAATATTAAGCAACCTCTTTAAGTAGAGATCTCCGTAGAAGAGTAGAAATGTACAAATTGTTCCCTCACCATGCCAGAGCAAGGGTTTCTCTGACATTGTGATTGTTGCTCTGCTTGTAGCCCAACGAAATGTTATCTGATCCTGTTCTAACTTATATAATAACACATATAATGGAAAATTGTATACTGTGTGTATAAAACCTAATAAAATACAAATTTTAAAAAAAAATAAGCATCAATAAGCGGGCTGTGATACCTGTCTTCTAGCTAAAATCTGAGGTAAATCCTGGTCTCGAGGCAAAATGCCAAGGTATATTTACACCTCTGGGTCTCGTGAAACCACGCTCTCTACGTTTATGTGAGAATAGAGTTTGGGAGTGAGAGAGCAAATTGCTATGCCAACTCCGCTAAGCACGTGGTCCACCATATCAAAAGTAGTAAATAAAATCATAGAGTTTCCAAAAGAGAAATAAAATAAAGAAACCAAACTTATAACCATGTACAGCTCTGATCATTGGTGACATGTTGGACCAAGTAAGTATCATGAAGCTTCAGGTAGTGGCCACAGCCTAAAAGTCTGAAAAGGCTCGCTGAGGGATGAACGGGGTAACCTTTGTGGGGTCCCATCTGTGTGTTGATGTGGAGGCCTCCATGGCCCAGACTGCGGCGGTGAGTCCTGCGGAAGGCCCAGGGTCTCCAATAGAGTAGCTGCTCCCTACGGATCCTGAACACGATGGGTGGAATCGCCGTGTAGGACTAGAAAAGTTCCCGAAGGAGAGTGGTGAAGGGTTGCAGTAATTTCTGCAACATGTCAGCATAGAAGAATAGGGCAACATTTTCAAAGGTGTAAGGAGAAGTCCTCTCCGGGGCTGCCTGCACTGCGGCCTTATCTAATATTTTTGAAAGTGCACCACCAGGTTTCTGGGCGCTGCCTCTGGGACCCTCTGTGGTTTGGGGATTCTGAAAATTCCATAGACAGTGACATTCTTGGCGTACCTCAGTGACAGTAAGGCCAACATCAATCTCTGCAGGAAATGTGGGAGCTATAGATTTATTAACCATTTAAACACGCAAGCACTAGACATTCCGAGCCTTTAAGATAAGAAATACAAACAGTGTATAATAAAATAGAAATGATTGGGCTGTAGTATAGTTGAATTGAAAAAGTAGCTGATGTTATCAATTGTTTACCTGTACCTATTTTACCTAATTATGTCATTACTGTGCAATTCTCCACAAATTTAGTGAGTAATTTGGTGTGAAATAAAAAAAATTATTGTAAAAAGAGTTACCCTTCTAATAAAACTAGGTTAAACACAGTCAAAATTAGTTGTTAGCTTTGTTAGTCTGTCAATATATAAAAAAGAAAAATCACATGAGCAGGCACACCAACAATATGGAGCTCCAAGAAAGGTGGGACATTGGGATAAAAGGGCAGAGGGATCTGGGCCCAATATAGGGACTGTCCCTCCTAAATAGGGACAGTTGAGAGGTATGGAATTTAGAATCTGCTCTTCTGTGTATGCCTCATAAAAAAAAAAAAAATAAAAAAAAAAAAAAACAAGACAAACTAAGAAAGGGTTAAACATGAATACAAATGTTGGCCTCCACAATTTATCTAGAGGATGTCCCCATATATCTCCTGTTCAGGGGGTCTGTATACCGTAATTGCACTTGTCTCTTCTTAAATAACTAAAACCACATCCTCCTTACTCCACCAACTCTTTGTCAGAGTAGCAAACAGACTAAGGCTTTTGGTCCAAACAAAGAGTACTAATGTGACACTGATGACTTAACAATTCTCACTAGTAAATCATAATTAATGACTATAAAATAAAATACTTTTTTCCCCCATGTAAAAGTCTTAAAATTGTGATTAAAATCCCAAATATATCCTTTCGATTGTAAACTCCTATGTGCAGGGCCCTCGCTATCTCTTGTTCATTTAAGTCAGACCTTATCGAATTGTTGTTGAATTAAGTTGTGTCCTTTGTGAACCAGTTGTACAGCGCTGTGGAGAAGGCTGGTACTTTATCCAATAATATTATGTCTATTTATATAATATATATTGCTTTTCTCGCCTTTTATAACAGTCAAATGGTTTGTTGAGTAAACTGTGAATTGTGCCAAGTTATAAAACTTAGCACAACATTATCAGTAGTTAGATTTGTATTTATTTATAGCAACACGGCTATTTTAACCTATATGTCGCATCTCAGTCAGTTATCAGGATTATTTACTGAAGCATGAATTATGGAGGCCTTAATCTGGAAATGTCAAATTATAGGCCAAAACAGCAGAGATTAAAACATGGGTGTGATTAAAATATCCGTGCATTCTAGAGTTTAGTTCCAATTTGGCCCTAAAATATGAATTTTCTCCTGTTGGTTCCCAAAAGCCTGCAGTTTATTGCGTAATATTTATCTCTGTTTAGTGAATAAGCCTCTAACATTTTCTTAGAAAGATCTGGAATTCTGTATTTTTTTTCCTAGAGGCTTTCCTATAGTATAGTGTTTCATTCCACACAATCCTGCTATGTCCTTTCCCTGGGCTGTGTGTGTATTTAGTCACTGCATAATTACTGCTCCTCTCTGTGAATTGTAACTTGGCAGCTGATTCTCCCTCCCCCTTCCATCTATCTTGGTATAGTAACACCCAGATCTCCATGTGTCACAGAATATAGTGCCAGCTTGCACCCCCTCTGTGCCAGGAGGACTCCAACTCCAGGCTGGCTCTCTAACACCTTTTATAGGCAGCTACCATGAGGAGAGTGTGTTTGGGAAACTGTATCATACAACCCTTGGAAGAAAGAGGGAAGGAGGGAGAGAGAGACAGAAAGGAGAGAGGGAGGGACTGGTTAGTTAGATATTTACTGAGACTGAGCAAAAGGAGGAGGGGAGAAGTGGGGGAGAAGAAGAGGTCACAGCCAGACTGGGGGAGAGAAGGAGAGAGTGGAGGAAGGCAGTGGAATGCAGTGCAGAGAGAATAGAAGCAGTGATAAGGAAGAGAGGACTATTAGATGATGAGAGAGTTAGACAAAGTATCGCTAAACTTCCTGAAACATCTGGCAGCGTGCTGAAATTCCTGGGGCAGGGGATGGAACACAGGAGCCGCCAGACAGAGAGAGCCTGAGTCCAGCACAGATACAGCACTGTCTACTCCTCACTTCCCGAGATGTGTCAGAGAGGCAGATGGAGCTGGTGGTGGCAACGTGGGCTACCGGTGCAGGACTCCAGCCAGGTGTGTGAATGGATGTCTTGGTACTAAACCTGCATTATTTCCAAGGGCCCAACACATGGAGACAAAGGGAAGAACCAGGGATACTCAGCTGCTTTCTTTGCCACAGTGGGTAAGTGAAACTTTAATTTCTCCTGTCAGGGATGGCCAAAAGGTAGGTAGATCCCCAGGAACATAGTGCTTTGGCATTTTAAGTTCTTCAACAGCTGGAGATCCACCATTTGGCCACATAGGTTATTTCAAACCTGCTGAGATTGTTTCCATTTTGTAATCCTATACTTAGGCCAGAGGGGGCAACCTGCATCCACCTGGTACTTGGTGGGATCTCAGCCAAGATGATGGGAGTTGTAATCTAATCTAAACTAAAAGAGTCACAGTGACAGATGTTGCTATTTGACTGTCATGCATGTTAAGTGCTGGCACAGAATGGGTTAGTGGCTCATTACCAAATATGTGAACACGTATTCATCAAACTGTGAATTGTTGGGAACTGAAAGAGCGTATTGTGCCTTAAAACTCTCTCCCAGGGTTATTTACTAACGTGAGAATTCAAAGTGAATTTAAAATTTCAAGTCCAAATAACCGAAATGGAAAAGTTCTCCAAGATAACAATGTTTTCAGTTAAGCTACTCTGGGCTTAAATTTGAAAAAAGTACTCTGAATTCTCACTTCAATGAATAGCCCAGTCTGAATTGTCTGGCTTTTAGGTAAATGGGCAGATTCTCATGACCACTGTATGGAACTGCCACTTTTATTTTATTTTCATGATATTTGGGCCTTCCTTATGGTGCCTTTCTTACTAGTTAGTAAATTTTACAGTAGTGTAATGTCTGCACATCATAAGGGGAATTAACTGACTTTACACAACAATTCAGTATGCATGCGTATCCACAACATACCCATAATACCATGCAAATGACCACAAACAGCATTGTCACTTTTCCAGCCAACATTTTTATAGGTTCCCCTAAGTAACGGCCCACTGTATTATGTACGTGGTTTAGCTAATTTGAAGATGACGCAGTCAAGGGTTTTATTACGTCTCAACAATTTAGAATCTCAATGAGAAATCTGCGGTTTTATCACTTTAGAACATTGCAGAACTTTGAGATGGGTTCCTTGAGGGTTAAAAGTTTGAAGGGACTGAGCACAGCGTATTTAATGCGCTTCTGAGTATGTTTATATATTGACGATAGAAAGAGTTAATCTGCTATAGTTTTTTTTTTTTCGATTTGCGTTTATCAAATAACTCTTCTAGGGAGGTCAATGTGATGGCTTTAAAATTTTTGTAAAAATTCTCAGAGTCCGCTGTTTATCAGTCCTTATGTGCTTTCATCTTATGAAGAATCACAAAAGTTTTAACTTTGAGTTTAAACACAATTTATTTTTGTCAGAGTAACGATTTTTATACTGGTCACAGTATAGATTAGAATATGGAGGGGGGCATGTTGCCATTAGCTGTCTGGTGCCAGCATTCTGTGCGTGCTGGCGTCAGACGCCAGATTTACATCAGATTCACATTATCCAGGCTAGAACACTAGTTCTAGGCTGTATGACACCCCAATTACGCAGCCGGAGGTGGAGTTACATCTACACCTAGCGCAGCAGAGAGACTAAACTCTGTATGTGTAACGTTTCATTGTGAAATTTTACACATACAGACTCCAGGCACCATCACCACTTCATATCACCTCTAGACTGTAAGCTTGTGTGAGCAGGGTCCTCTTCATCCTATTGTTCCTGTAAGTTTTTTGTAATTGTCTCATTTATTGTTAAATCTCACCCTCCTATAATATTGTAAAGTGCTACAGAATTTGTTGGCGCTGTATAAATGCCAATAATAATAATAAAAAAAGATCAGTGAAGTGATTATGGTGCTTGGAGTAGCCATTTAAGTTAGTGTGTCCTCAATCATTGGGGCAGGAAACCTTATATTTATTAAGCCTCAGGCTAATGGACACAATCCGTTGTTTTATGATGCATACATCATTGCTTTTCCCAGTGCAATAAAGACCCTCTGACAGAGGGATGAGCCTAACTCACTCCTTTCAGCTACAGATCAGCCCTTACACCACGTTTTCTAAATTAAAACATGCAGTGTGAATAGATCTGATACAAGTTTGTTTCCTTCTACGGTAGAGTTCAGTTAGATCACCAGCCACATGGCGCTCATCTTATAGGACACATTTGAACTTTGAGACTTGTATAAATTGTTAACCATGTGACCGTTTTAAAAACGATTTTGAATTTAATTAATTTGCTATTTTTATATTTCAACAAGCAGATTATGTGCAGCACAATGGGTAAAATCTTCCATGCATTATTCTGGTAATGCCATTTTACTCGCACTGTACAGTGTGGGGGGGGCCCCTAATCTCCAGGCAAATTCAAATCTTGGCCTGTCTGAGATTTGTGGGAGTCACTTGTCTGTTTGCTGCTGCTGCCATGTTAATTCAGCTCTTCCTTATAATACTGGCAGGACAGGAGCGGAGGAGACAGAAACATGATTCCATCTCCTCAGCTCCCAGCTTGCAATTTCATTATTATGAGAGGAGCTTAATTATTGGCTGCAACTGGCCAGGAATATAACTCCCATGAACCTTGGGTAGGCTAAGTGCTAACCAGGGCCGGCCTTAGGGGTGTGCGAGCTGTGCGGCCGCACAGGGTGCCATGGCAACAGGGGCGCCGGGCGGCCAGCACAGCTCGCACTCAGTCACTCACATGCCGGCCCGAGTCATGTGCAGAGCAAGTCAAGTGCATTATGCTGCGCACTTGACTTGCAAATTATGAAGAGAGCAGCGGCCGGGAGAGAGAGGAGGTCAGGAGCACGGAGGAAGAGCATGCTCCGTCTCCACAGTCATCCCCGGAAGGATCCGCACAGTGAGTGTGAGGGAGGAGGTCAGTGCTGGTATCAAGGTCGGCAGACTGGGACACTGTCAGGAGGTTCCAGGGAGCAGCAAGCTTTAATGTGAGTCTGTTTATTCTTGTTGTAACTATTGCTTTTTTTTTTTTAAATTAAATAGATTGTTGTTTTTGTGTGTGTGTGTGTGGGGGTTTGCAGAAGGGGGAGCAGAGGTTTTCTCGCTGGGATTTTGGGGAAGGGGTTTTGTAGAAGGGGGTTGGTTTAGGGAGGAGCAGAGGTTTTATAGAAGGGGTTAGAGGTTTTGTAAAAAAGGGGGTAGGGGTTTTGGTGTAGAGGAGAGGTTTTGTAGAAGAGGGGGCAGGCATTTCTGGTGAAGTGGCAGGGGAAAGGATTTTGTGGAGGGGGCATGGGTTTTGTTGAAGGGGGACCAGGGGGTTTGTAAAGGGGGCAGGAGTTTAGTATAAGGGGAGCAGGGGTTTTGTATAAGGGGAGCAGGGGTTTAGTAGAAGGGGAGCAGGGGTTTAGTAGAAGGGGGCAGGGGTTTAGTATAAGGGGGCAGGAGTTTAGTATAAGGGGGCAGGGGTTTAGTATAAGGGGAGCAGGGGTTTAGTATAAGGGGAGGCAGGACTTTAATATAAGGGGGGCAGGGGTTTAGTATAACAGGGCAGGACTTTAGTATAAGGGGGGCAGGAGTTTAGTATAAGGGGAGCAGGGGCTTAGTATAAGGGGGCAGGGGTTTAGTATAAGGGGAGCAGGGGTTTAGTATAAGGGGGGTAGGGGTTTAGTATAAGGGAGCAGGGGTTTAGTATAAGGGAGCAGGGGTTTAGTTGAAGGGGAGCAGGGGCTTAGTATAAGGGGAGCATGGGTTTTGTAGAAGGGGAGCAGAGGTTTATGTAGAATGAGTGCAGGACTTTTGTAGAGGGTGGCAGTGGTTTTGGTGGAGGGGGAAGGTTTTTAGTGATATTATGTGAACATTGCTGTATAGTTGATATATATAATGATAGCATGTGTTTTGTTAAAGGGGGAGAAAAAAAATTATAGAAGGGTGGGCAGGGGTTTTATTAAAGGGGGAGCAGGGGTTTTGTAGAGGGGGCAGGGGTTTTGTAAAAAGGGGGGCAGGGTTTTTGTAGAAAGGGGGGCTGGGGTTTGTGGAAGGGTTTTGTAGAAGGCGGAACAGGGCTATTGTAGAAGGGGCAGAGGTTTTGCTGAAGGGGGGGGGGCGCCATATGTTGGGCTCGCACAGGGCGTCTGATCACCTAAGGCCGGCCCTGGTGCTAACCCTAACCTTAATTACATTAAAATATATTTATATTTAAAATTCATAATTATGGGGAAATTCTGTTCTTTAAAAAAAAAAAAAAATGTAAATTATAAAATCCGTTCATTTTAAAAAAATTTTTTTATATAAACTTACCAATTCAGGCTTCGTTATAATGAGTTCAAAGAGAACTTGGTTGTGATTCGTATTAAGTTTACAACTCAATGGATTCCACACAGTTCCCAGTTAGTGAATTAACCCTGTATGTCTCCCTTGTCGTCAAATTTCCTTCCTGACCCACTGAGCTAGAGTGACAGAATGTAACTGTTATGTGGCTTATACTTACGTTCAAAAACCTCTCTATATAACCTTCTAAAAAAATGTACAGAAATTACATTTAATATAAAAATTAAATAAGTTGGACATTACATCCCAGCACGCAGAAGTATTTATATTGTAACAGTGTATATTATTATTGGAATGTCTAATAAACTTACCTTATCTAAACTTCCGTGTCCAGGGCTATGTGAGCGCTTGCTTGCTCTGGGCATTCCTTCAGTAGGGCTGGATACGAGCAAGGAACTACTGGCGTTAGTTTTTTTCCATTCCTTGTCCTGGCTGTACCTGGCTAGTTCATGTAAATTAAAATATAAAAACTAGTGAGATTTAAATAATAAATAAATAGCAGACCCCGTAGCTAACTGTAAGTTTATTAAAGGTTTTTCTTTCATATTGCTGTTACACCGTAACTACGTTTAACTTAAGAAATACAATAAACATTGCATCCATATATCAGATAAACACCGAATACACTTTAACATTGTGTAAACAGATTCTAAAACCAGATACATTTTGGAAAAAAAATAAGTGTTGAAACGCAAATATTTAGTCTTCAAGTTCTCATAGTAACTGAATCTGGTGATGTGACTCTGAATATAACTGTCACATGGGCGCTGTCAACTGTCTGTACGTATAGCACTACATTTGCAATCTTAATCAATGCAAATAAATGGAAGGATTACTTTAGTAAATTAGATCACCAGCCTCTGTGTACAGGGAGTGCAGAATTATTAGGCAAATGAGTATTTTGACCACATCATCCTCTTTATGCATGTTGTCTTACTCCAAGCTGTATAGGCTCGAAAGCCTACTACCAATTAAGCATATTAGGTGATGTGCATCTCTGTAATGAGAAGGGGTGTGGTCTAATGACATCAACACCCTATATCAGGTGTGCATAATTATTAGGCAACTTCCTTTCCTTTGGCAAAATGGGTCAAAAGAAGGACTTGACAGGCTCAGAAAAGTCAAAAATAGTGAGATATCTTGTAGAGGGATGCAGCACTCTTAAAATTGCAAAGCTTCTGAAGCGTGATCATCGAACAATCAAGCGTTTCATTCAAAATAGTCAACAGGGTCGCAAGAAGCGTGTGGAAAAACCAAGGCGCAAAATAACTGCCCATGAACTGAGAAAAGTCAAGCGTGCAGCTGCCACGATGCCACTTGCCACCAGTTTGGCCATATTTCAGAGCTGCAACATCACTGGAGTGCCCAAAAGCACAAGGTGTGCAATACTCAGAGACATGGCCAAGGTAAGAAAGGCTGAAAGACGACCACCACTGAACAAGACACACAAGCTGAAACGTCAAGACTGGGCCAAGAAATATCTCAAGACTGATTTTTCTAAGGTTTTATGGACTGATGAAATGAGAGTGAGTCTTGATGGGCCCGTGGCTGGATTGGTAAAGGGCAGAGAGCTCCAGTCCGACTCAGACGCCAGCAAGGCTGAGGTGGAGTACTGGTTTGGGATGGTATCATCAAAGATGAGCTTGTGGGGCCTTTTCGGGTTGAGGATGGAGTCAAGCTCAACTCCCAGTCCTACTGCCAGTTCCTGGAAGACACCTTCTTCAAGCAGTGGTACAGGAAGAAGTCTGCATCCTTCAAGAAAAACATGATTTTCATGCAGGACAATGCTCCATCACACGCGTCCAAGTACTCCACAGCGTGGCTGGCAAGAAAGGGTATAAAAGAAGAAAATCTAATGACATGGCCTCCTTGTTCACCTGATCTGAACCCCATTGAGAACCTGTGGTCCATCATCAAATGTGAGATTTACAAGGAGGGAAAACAGTACACCTCTCTGAACAGTGTCTGGGAGGCTGTGGTTGCTGCTGCACGCAATGTTGATGGTGAACAGATCAAAACACTGACAGAATCCATGGATGGCAGGCTTTTGAGTGTCCTTGCAAAGAAAGGTGGCTATATTGGTCACTGATTTGTTTTTGTTTTGTTTTTGAATGTCAGAAATGTATATTTGTGAATGTTGAGATGTTATATTGGTTTCACTGGTAATAATAAATAATTGAAATGGGTATATATTTGTTTTTTGTTAAGTTGCCTAATAATTATGCACAGTAATAGTCACCTGCACACACAGATATCCCCCTAACATAGCTAAAACTAAAAACAAACTAAAAACTACTTCCAAAAATATTCAGCTTTGATATTAATGAGTTTTTTGGGTTCATTGAGAACATGGTTGTTGTTCAATAATAAAATTAATCCTCAAAAATACAACTTGCCTAATAATTCTGCACTCCCTGTATGTGCTAACTGAAAGTAGCTTCTAACCAACGTTGGAGAAGCAGGAATCTATATCTCTATTCCTTAGGCCCAATTCCACAAACCAACTAAAATAAACCACTTCCTTTTAACTGAGAGCGACCCATCCACCTTGGTCCCTTCTAACTATATAGCATGCACTTCCAAGGGTTTGATATCACAGTCAATCACCTCCTTATTCCCTTCACATGTAACCAGTCACTGCATTTATACTATTCATTATCTCTGCCATCACCTTCAAATTCATCCATTACTTCTTATCTCATCTCCTCATTTTAACCTTTAGATTGTAAGCTCATGGGCTAGCTAGCAAGGTACTCTGTATAAAAGATCTTCAGATGCTATATCTCCCCTCATGGGCAGGGTTTTCTTTACGATTTGCGTTGGTTTCGTTACCGTGCAGTGTCTTTTCCCCAGTTGTACAGCACTGCGGAATGTGTTGGCGCTTTACAAATGCCAGTAATAAAATAAATAAATGTGTTTTAAAATGAAATTTATATTTGCTATTTATAAAGCACCAACATATTCAGTAGCGTTGTACAACGGTGGAGCAATTGTAAATGTTATTGTAAAACATTTTGACATACAACGCTAGAGGAGGAAAGCCCTGCTAGGGCATGTTTACATTTTAGTCTCATGATATGTGTTATTGTTTCTAATATGAAGCAGCCATTTTATCATGTTTTTGGTTCTTATGTATTAATTATCATATTGCACAAAACAATGAACACACTAGCAAATATCACAGTCTGTACTCTCACAAGGGGAGCTGGTAGAAGGGGTGAGCCAAGGGCCAAAAACACCGATATACATTTTTTTTTTTTTTTTAGGCCTTTGAAGTCGTGGCCTTTAAGCCAGTTTTCTTGCCATGCCCCATTTTATTCTGCGTCCACACTAATCATCAGAAAATGTACTCCTACACAGTATAGATGGGCTGTTACATTTTTACAGGGTTATTCACTAAAGTGGGAATTCAAAGTAAATTTAAAACGTAAGGACAAAATAGCCGAACTGGAACATTTCTGTTTGGCTACTCTGGCCTTAAATTTGAAATGTACATTGAATTATTCACATTGAATTTTCACTTTTATCTAGGAAATTGTAGTCCACAATTAACGTTTGACTTTGACTAGACGTCATTTGATGGAGTAGTCCACAGACAGCTTGGGAAATGTAGAATAACTGTGGCCATGATAAGGATTTTGTTCTGCAGCGTTGCTAATGGAGAAGAAGGAGTTCTATTTACTCAATGCTCTCACTTAATTCTCCAGCTCAGGGTGGTTTTACTTGCCAGTAGCCACGTTACGTACTCTCATGCTTGTTGAAGTGACATCTGATCCGAAATGGCAGAATGTGCTGTGGAACGTATTTGTTTTGCCCAAAATTTGGTCCTACAGGAGATAAAGTTGTCCCTACATTGTCTCATATATATATATATATATATATATATATATATATATACACACATACATACCTAAATATACTTAAATGGGGTACTGCTGGGGGCCAATACGTACAGTAAAAATGAAAATCCAGCGCACTCACTTATCTACTAAACAGTTATTTTAGTGCTGAACAGTTTTTTTAGTTTTATTAAAAACACCTAATCTAGGCAAAAAATAATGGTGGTTTAGTTGTATATATATCGTGTGATTGACATGACATGAAAAAATATATATTTATAATAATACTCTGCTGCTCTAAAGATTTAACGTTCTTAAAGGGCAACCATCAACCTTGATTTGCTTTATCTTTAAACTGAGTTTTAAATATTTTAAACATTCCTTCTCAACTGCACTTTCTTGCCCTTGTACTAGCAGAACGTGGTGAGTTATGTTTTGTTTATGTTTTTCCCCGTTTAAACATTGCGTCATGCCATCAGAATATACTCAGGGCTTAAAGTTTGAAGTCGTATACCACTAGCCAGGCATTACAAATTACTAGCCCCTGCACCCTACTCAGAGGAGTTAATCTCTACTTATTGGGGACAAATTTTAACCCAACAATGGCTAGTGGCAAGTGGATATTTTGAACCCTGTTGTATCTACATGTACTTTACATTGCTACCATATTTTCTATTAAATTTACAATCATTTTAAATCCATAATTTGCTTGTAAATAATTTTCTTTCCATGTTCTGGTTTGGTTTTTAGCTTTCCCTGGATTTTAGCAAAGATGGCAGCTGAAGTTAATATGAGGGAATGTCTCGCTCAAATAGACAAAGAAAAACGGAGAACTTCTAGAGTCAACAAGAGCCCAAGGAAAGGGAGGTCTTCATCTGGGGGGAGTGGAAGCATTGAGGATGTGGGTAAATCAGGGGTGGCACAAACTGAGGTGGTCGCAAAGACATCAGTTCTTCAGGGTAAAATTAAAGCTCTAAAAGAGAAACACAAGGAGTTGAAAACCAAAGAGTGTAGCAAAGAGGAAGGAGACCTGGCAGAGGATGTCCTGGTGGTTCCTCAACTGCGTACATATCTGACAGAAGATGCACTTGAAAATAGTAGCCCCGGAAGATCCGTCAATACTGGACAGGAGAATTTGGGTTCAGAGAAAGATTGGGGTGACTGCAGGATAGATGGTGCTGAACATAAATACAGTGGGCATTTGGCAATGAGCTTTTCTGATATGAATCTGAACACCAATGAGATGAGCTCACAGATATGGCCTGAGGATCGACTGCCATCCTCTTTCCAGGAGAAGTTAGGTCCATCACAGTATACGAACAACCTGAGCCTGGCTGAGAGAGTGGAGAGGAACAGACAGGACCTAAGATCTAAATTCATCAAATCCACGCGTTACGATGTAGCGGCATTGCATGGAGATGGGGATGATCAAATACACCTATCCAATGACCCCTGTGAGTAATGTCCTTTACCGGGATGAATGGTGTTCGAGTGATATTGGGGGGTGTTTTGCAATTTGTTAGAATGTGGTACAACACATTTTTGTTCTTATGGAATCTACTTCTTTGGACTGTAGGGATATTTCTTGGGAACGTGGATGGTGACTCAGGCGTGTCACTGCCGGTTTCAGAGAGCTGCAGGTAAGAAATATAAATTACCTAACTTTACCATACACTTCATCCTTTCTAGAATATTAAAGGGACACTAAAGTCACCAGAACAACTACCACTTATTGAATTTGTTCTGGTGAGTAGAATCATTACCTTCAGGCTTTTTGCTGTAAACACTGTCTTTTCAGAGAAAATGCAGTGTTTACATTACAGCCTAGTGATAACTTCACTGGCCACTCCTCAGATGGCTGTTAGAGATCCTTCCTGGGTCATGGCTGCCTAAAATGCATCCAAACATTCAGTATCTCCTCCCTCTGCATGCAGGCACTGAACTTTCCTCATAGAGATACATTGATTCAATTCATCTCTATGAGGAGATGCTGATTGGACAGGGCTGTGTTTGAATTGTGCTGGCTCTGCCCTTGATCTGCCTCCCTGTCAGTCTCAGCCAATCCTATGGGGAAGCATTGTGATTGGATCAGGCTACCACTTCTGATGATGTCAGCAGACAGTTTGTTTTTCTGAGGCAAACAGCATGCAGATCTACATACACAAAGATAAAGCACTGCGCTTACAGCAGCAGTGGCTTAGTATCCAACAGCTTAAAATACATAGTAAAAACAAAGAAAACGTTACCTGCGCTCTGGCCTAAATCCCCATGTGCATTTAAACAAAAATGGAGGCTCTTTAGTTTTATTCTAATGGCCATTTGAATATATAAGCTCACCAGCCACATCAAGGCAAGCCTCAATAGGTGAGTTCCTACACTAGCCATTAGATATGCTGATATCAGCCAAGAGTCTCCAATGAGACAGGAAGGGGTATTTTATAAACCCTTTAACATTTAACCCTTTATAGGGCTTCTGCACATACAATAAACTTTGCTGATATCAGACAAAGTGAGACAGAAAGGGGTGTTTTATAAACCCTTTAACATTTAACCCTTTATAGGGCTTCTACACATTCAATAAACTTTTCTGGTATCAGACAAAGTATAGACGTCTCTAATGAGACATGAAAGGGTGTTTTATAAACCCCTACATACTTTACCCTGAATAGGGCTATAGCATACAAATCGCCTTGCTGGTATCAGCTAAAAGGCAAATTTCTCTGATGAGACAGGAAGGGGTGCTGCCCCTACATACTTATAAAATCTACATCTTCATACTTGAATACAGTAAGATTTTGCTATATTTATGGAGGCATGAGGGGCCCAGGGGGGCTAGATGGTGGTTTTAACACTATAGGATCAGGAATACATGTGATCCTTTAAACTAATAACAGACCACATTAGAGAACTTAACTGGAGTACACAGCCTGTACCTCTCCAGCAATGTATTACTTCTTTCTTCAGTGAGAACAGTGTGTCCTTATAATGCCATCAGACTTAAAGGGTTACTGCAACCACCATGGCCACTTCTGCTTTTATAAGTGGTCATGGTGATGATAGTCTGTATGTCCAGTGTTTTTCCTTGAAATGGTGCACATACAGAAATATTTGCACTGCTGTGTTGGGGGCTTGCTACATCACCCCGCACACGAGATTTAGGCAGACCAGAACTGTTCCAAGCTGTCTAATGTAATTTCTGAGCAAAACATATGTCTGTCGTCAGCGCAAACAGCACACTAGTGACAGATGTAATGAGCATATACCTTGCAGGTATCGCCGGGAGTGAGCCTGCAATGGGAAGCCTTGATCTTCGTTTCCTTCTGTGTACTCCCCTCCACCAGCTTTGCTAAAATGCCACTTTTCTAACATTTTATGTTAAATCCCTTCTTCCTTTTTTAAATTTAGGATAGTAAGTTCTAAATAGCTATTCTCCACATATATCATTTGATTATATTCATCCATCATCCCCCTTCTCTATTCATCCATCATCCCCCTTTTCACTGGTAGGAAATGCCTGGGTAATTACTGAATGGGATCACATTGGTTTAAAGTCAAGGCTACCGTCCAGACTGATTGTTCATGTACACACACTGTATAAAATCACTTGTGTTATGGCCTGACAGAGAAATAATTATCCAATTGTATTGTATGAATATAGTAAATATCACCATGAACATCTGCTTGGTAGAGACAAGAATAACCATTTGCCCCTTAATTCAACCTGCACCAAGCTTCCAGGTGTTTAATCAACAAGAAAGTCTTTATTTATAGTATCAGACATAGTGGTTCCCCTTACATGTGGCTCCAGGTATCTCTCATACACTGCTGCTATCCTGGAACCTGGAGACACATGGGACTTTTAAATAGTGTGTGTGACTGCTAACTTATGGTGACTGTTAACTTATCATGGTAGTAACTAAAAAAGCCAATTTGATGCAGGTAAAAGCTAGACCCTCTGTTTTGGTGTCTGGAATTGTAACATTGACATTCTATGTATGTAAAGATAAATATTACGGCAGCACTGCTGGCGAGAGCCTAGTCTTATGTCATAATTGTATCCACAAAACATACAGCCGGCTTGCAGCCCTATAAACAGCTTATTGAATTGTTTGAAGAAATCACATCAAGTAGAGATGACGTGTTCTCTCCACCGTCACTTTCACAAAGCTTTTTAACACAGAGACAGAAGTAATCATTGCCTGTAATCTTTAAGCCTAAACCATATGTTATAAATCACAGCCAGTGTCTATCAGTGTGTGTCCTTGTCTAATCATGTCAAAAATGGGTTATGTCCTAATATCACCTCCTGGTGCATTTTGTGTTTTATTTGAATGATCCGTCAGGGGGCACTGTCAGTGTCTGTCTCCTATACCACCCTTTATTTATTTTTTTTATACGGTCTGACGTTGGCTATTACACTTAGGGAAGTGGCGTCACTATAAAATCCACTCTAATCCTCTCCCAGGGAGCTGAGCGTCCGTCACGAGCAGGCCAAGCAGCTGTTGCACAGAGCACGAATGAAAGCTAAAGGAGCGAGTCCATTGCGAGCCTCTCACTGTGTTATATCTCATCCGAACTCGCAGCCTCCACTCAGGCGGTAAGCAGGGAAGGGGGGAGATGGACAGGGCATGTAAAGGAATTAAGAAAACCCTACAGGCTCATCAAGAACAACAGAAATAAATAAGGGAAATGGGGGAAAAGTTGATCTGATTAAGGATATGTCATGCTGTCGTATGTTTACCCATTGTTTAACTCCATCATGCATGTTTTCTATAATTTGCATTTGCGATGTCTGTTTTACTTAGATCTTTTTCAGTGAAGACAAATGTACACATTCCGCTCTAGAACAAGCACGTTAACCCTTTGAAAACCACTGACATCTAATGCCATCATTACAATCAGTGCCAGCATGGAATGGACTATTATTTAACCATTTGCATCTTTATATCACATGTAAATAGGACATTGCATTTCAAAAGGTTAAATTAAACCTCATTAATGCAGGGACAATACTCTGGTTTTACATTTAATGTGATATAGTAATCACTTCCCAACTGTATGTGTTTTTCTTGAAAATACTGACATTTTTACTCTATGTAATGCCTATATATTGGAATCACTTTGCAACAAAGCCAAAGAAATCTCATATTGCCGTGTGTCTGCCCCAGATAATAACGGGACTCGATTATAGTGAGAAACCAATTGATTTTTACCAAACCCAGATAACAGACAATCAATAGCCCTCACAGATTAAATGTATACTGATTCACAGCTTGAGAACACACTAATTAATCGTGGAAGTTCTGACCCCAAAAATGAATGTGACTCCTGCGGGTAAAAGACAAACAAAAAAGTGAAACCAGTCAGGAGCAATGTCCTGGAAATCCGTCTAGATAATAAAAATAAATAATACAATGACACTACATTTGTCAGTCTCACTATGGGGTAATCACTTTATTCCACGCACATGACATTGGTTGTGTCAGGCTTAGTGGTGTCATGTTGATTGGTCTAAAATAAATAATTTTAAGTTAATCTAAAATATATCATATACTGCCGACCCTCTTGGCAATCAGTACAGTGGATACCACTGTTTGCTGGTTCTGTATTAGCTGAGGTCTGTTCAGTATCAGTATCCGTTCTGCAGAAAGTTTGTTGTAACAGCATTCATTATCTGTGGATTCTTTAATAACCTTTAACATGATATCTGTAAATCCTTGTCTCAAATAATGACCTTTTTCTGTAGGAGCTATTTACAAAGAATAATCCATACTGATCGGTATGATGCATTATTGATGTCCTATTTGTTTGATGTCCCGAGAGAGTTCAACAATGGGATCTTAGTTAAAGATTTCCAACAAGTAACAGTCCAACTACTGGAAAACTGCCCCTCCGTGGGGCTTTTACACCAAGTGGATAAAATGAAGCCTCATCGGAGAGTTAGCAGCTGGCTAGAGCAGTGGTAATGTCACTTAGAAGTGGGAAACCCAGGTCCAAATCCTGGTCAGACCTCCTCACCAGTAATTGTCCCCTGTTGGGAAACCTAATGATATATCGGTCTTGTTTGTGCAGGGCCTTCTTCACCTTTAATTATCCTCTTACTTTAATTGCGCAGTGGAATATGTTGGCGCTAATAATAATAATAATAAAAGGTAGTTTCACGGCAGCTGGAGCACTGCTAACTTTTTTACCTTTGATGTAGCTTATCTATAGGGAAGAAAGAACAACTTTTTAAATTAGCATATACTGAATGAAGTAAAACCCAGACTGTGCTGCTCTCTTTCCAACATATCTAGTGAGAGACAGGGCCGGTGCAAGGATTTTTGCCACTCTAGGTGAAATTTTCTTTTGCCACCCCATTCGTTCCACCCACTCATGAAGACTTACTTACACTGACCCATACACACACACACACACACACACACGCTGACCCATGCAGACACACACAATGACCCACACACATACGCTCACATTGACCCATACACACATGGACTCATAAAGACACACACGCTGACCCATACACACACACTGACCCATGCAGACACATGCTGACCCATACACAGACCGGTACATACCCATACACACACACACACACACACATATATACTGACTCATAAAGACAAACACACTGACCCATGCACACACACGCACACACTGACCCATACACACACACCCATACATATACACACAAACAGACCCATAAATACTCATACACACACACAGACCCATAAACACTCATACACACACACAGACCCATGCATACTCATACATACACACACACAGACAGACCCATACATACACACACAGTCCCAAGCAGACTGACATACACAAACATACTGACTGAAACATACTGACACACATTCTATGAAACACACTGTGCATTTTCTCTTACCTTTATTGCACTTTGCATACCTGTCTTCTTTATTGCACACGGCACTGCACTGCCGACACTTTTTTGCTAAGCCCCATTTCCTGTTATTCTTCCGCTCCCTTGTCCCCACGTACAGGGCAAGGGGTGGGAGCGAGTGAATGACACATCCTTGCACTGCCTCGGTGCTTGACTTGGAGAAGAGTCCTGACTTAGCAGGCTGTGGTGAATGCTGGACTGATGTTCTACCGGGCGCTAGTCTACAAGTAAGTGCTCCCTAGCGCCCGGTAATGAGGCCCGCTATATATAATCAATCCCACTTGATAGGGGGGCGGCCAGACAAGCAGTAAAGCCACTGCTGGCGCCCCCCTTCAGTAGGCACCCTCGGCGGCTGCCTACCAAGCCTATAGAACGCGCCGGCCATGCCTAAAATGGATAAAACCTACTGGCAAATCTAGTCCTGATAACCACATAATAGTGTTGACTATCAGTCCATATCCTTCAGATGTTGCATCTGGATTGGCAGATTGTATACAACTTTATTAAAGCTATTTTTTTGCTTTATTTGTAAAATATAGGTAGAAATATGTGATCGGAAAAGAGAACTTTTAAAGCAGGACAGTAAATCAAACTCTGGGAATTAAAGAGACCCTATAGGTGTTATAACCACTTCATCTCATTAAAGTAGTTGCATTGCCTGGAGTCTCTGGGTGCCATTCCACTGTTCAGTTTAAAATTGACCGTGGGACAAATCCAGGGGTTTCAGACATGGTAACTATTTCAATGAGATTAAGTGGCTATGGTGCCTGTAGTGTCCCTTTAAATAAAAATGCTAAATCTTTAGCTATGGAACAGTTGTCATTAAGGCATTTGTCACTAAAGACAGAAGATTTTATCTGAAGCTAAGTGCCCATTCTTCGTAGTGCGCTTCTAAGTATAAAAAAAAATACAATGTCTTCAAAACTGGGTGACAGATCTTTTAAAGGTATGTCCGCCATTATTAAAACTTGTTTTTACATTTATGAAGTTGCTCTGTTTTAGCTAATATTACCTGTGGCTGCAAGGATCTGAGACAATGGCCTAAAAAAGTTTGCTATATTGTTCATGCTTGCCTGAAGAGGTCCTTTCCCATTTCTCTTGACTTTCATCTGTTTTCTTTTATTGCAGGACCCCTTGTATTTCTTGTACTACTACAGATGGGGGGTCTCTGAGTGACAGCTCCAGCAGTGACTATTGTTCGTGGCAGCGAGGCTCCCGGGGAAGCTCACCATCTCATGTTCGTTTCCAAGATGAGTCTGAATGGGATGCAGAGGAGCGCTACCGTGAACGACAGCAACAAAGTCCACAAACACTGTGTGTGAACACCACTCCACCAGTTAAACGACACTCCAATGGCCATGGTTCCTGGACACAGAATCCGGTACCCTCTGTGAATGAACAATGTGGAGCATGTGGTTCTTATCTAAATGGATCAGGAGTTAGTCATATTGCTGGAGGGACCTGCCATGGTTCCACTCCTCGAAATGTTCAGCTGGGTCCTAGAATAACTCAGGAAGGTCCTCTCAGCAGCATCACAGGAACCCGACCATCTCCTCATTGGATTCTCCCATCCCAGCCATGGCGAATACATTCAGAGCTGATCCGGGAGACACACATTGGAGGGGATTCCACTGCAGACTCATCAGGGGAAGAAGAGGGAAGCCGTTGCCAGAGTAAAAATAGTCCTAGCTGTACTATCAGACAAAACTTCAGAAACAAACCACACAATTTATTACCTAAGCCAGGAACCACGACATACTCCTCAAATCCAGAAATTGAAACAAGCAGTAATGTGCCTGGTTCTAAGTTACCAAGTGAAAGTAAGCCTAGCCTGCAGAAATCGATAATTGACCCGAGAGCAAAACATTACCCACCACCTATTAATCCAAACTCAAAAGCCAAAATTCCAGAATCAAATCTAGAAACACAATCTATACCCAGAGCATGTCAGCTGGATGCAGTAATAAAATCCAGGAATCAGCCAGTGCCACTTAATGTGAATACTAAAACAGCAATGAGGACTGTAGAACTCAGGAAAGAACTCAATCCTGATATTGGTACTGGAGATATTTTGCTCAATTTAGAGATCAGAGAAGGTACGAAGAAACTCAGTCTAACTGATGGAAAACCCCAGGCTGCCTCTACAGTACCTTGTATGAAGCAGATAATCCCTCCATTAGATGTAGACTCTGTTGAGGGTAGCCGCTCATTCTCTGGCCATGTGCCTGTGCCACCAGCAGGGAGAGCCCCCATGACTGTGCCATCCAGAAATACCAGGTTTACAATGCGTCCAGAAGAAACAGTTCCACGGGAAGCATGTTTGGTGGAAATGCACAATAAAAATAATGTTAAACATAATCCACTGCCAAAATCCCTTCGAAAAAATGTGGATGCTCTAGGGGACGACCAGCTAGTCTCACAAACTGGTACCAAAACCAAGGATAGTAAGACTAGAGAAAGTTCTCATAAGTCTAGGAAGCAAGTAGACAATGAAAAGTCTAACAGTGTCAAAGAGCACAGGATCCATAATAGAAATCATGTGCCAACTGAACGGACAGAAAGGGAACAAACTCACATAACTAAGAGACAAAGTGACAGAGAGCGACCTCAAATCATCAGAGAACAAGCTGATGTCAAAGACGACACGAACAGAACAATGATCGGCTCATCCAGGCAACAACAGATCAGCGACCGGCATCATACAACCAGAGAAGAGAAGTGTACTGAAAGCAGGGGGACTGTTAAACAACACTGTGTCAACAATACAAACAAAGGTAAGCCTTCATCACCTATACAAATGGTAAAGCTATTAATGGAATAAAAACCTGGACAATTTATGTGCATGCATATTCAGGCTTAGGATAAATATACTTGCGTGGCAAGCTGAAATTTGTCCAGATCTTGTAAATAAATAAATGACATAATTCAAACTAAGTTCGAGTAACCTTCAACTTCTATTTGATTTCACTGCAAGCTGTCTCAGCTCTAATGCACATTCCTCAATTCTTAATACTGGAAGCAAGAAGGGGGGGAGCCAGCAAGATGCATATTTTGCAGGATTCATATTTTCAGTTAAATTAAAGTGGCACTGTCATTGTTCGGGGACTTTGCCGAATTCTTAATCTTCCCCTCCTCCTCCCGAGGGGGCTCGTTATTGGGGGTCCAATGGCCGGGGAGGGGGTGGGCAGGTAAAGGTAGGATTTACTTACCTGATCCTGTCCCTGGCGGACATGGCCATCTTCCTCTGGCGGGTCCTCTTCAGAGCTTACGGCACTGCTGCAATCTCGCACGTGCGTGAGACTACAGCATTGAGGTCTATGGAGGATCCTGTGAGACCCTGCATAGACACAGCCAATTCCGTCCAGCTGTCGGGATTTACTCATAGACTCCGTCATAAGTCTAAGAAAGAGAGGCGGAGGAGAAATACAGAGATAAAGTAGTCCCTACTTTGTCATAGTATATCCTTGACTGGGTTGGAAATCAGTGAAATTCCAACATAGTCAAAATGAATATTTCATAAAGATTTTATCTTAATTATATCTTTAAGAAAAAACTCATGTCTTGTGGGGTGGGGGTGAAAGTGCCGCTTTAAAAAGACACTTTTGGCAACTGAACCACTACAGCTTAAAGGACCACTATAGTGCCAGGAAAACATACTTGTTTTCCTGGCACTATAGTGCCCTGAGGGTGCCCCCACCCTCAGGGTCCCCCTCCCGCCCGGCTCTGGGGAGAGGGAAGGGGGTAAAACTTACCTTTATTCCAGCGCCGGGCGGGGAGCTCTCCTCCTCCTCTCCGCCTCCGATCCTCCCCTTCGGCTGAATGTGCACGCGCAGCAGGAGCTGCGCGTGCATTCAGACGGTCTCATAGGAAAGCATTATCAATTATCAATGCTTTCCTATGGACGCTTGCGTCTTCTCACTGTGATTTTCACAGTGAGAAGCATGCAAACACCTCTAGCGGCTGTCAATGAGACAGTCACTAGAGGATTTGGAGGCTGGATTAACCCATTTATAAACATAGCAGTTTCTCTGAAACTGCTATGTTTATTAAAAAAATGGGTTAACCCAAGCTGGACCTGGCACCCAGACCACCTCATTAAACTGAAGTGGTGTGGGTGCCTAGAGTGGTCCTTTAATGTAGTGGTTCTGGGGCAAATAGCCTGTCTCTGCAGATTGAGCTGTGTATATTCTGAAAAAAGGAAGTGTTTGCACTGCTGCTTAACACCACCTCTACTGGCTGTCACTTGGAAAGCCACAGGAGGGACGTGCTGCATGCGGTCCTGCAAAGATTGAGTCAATGCATGTCTATAAGAAGATGCTGATTTGTACAGCTCAGTGATTGCTGTGCACTTGCCTCCCAATGATTCTCTACGCAGAGGTGTGGTGACGGCAAGACTGGTGCCTTGAGGGAAATAAGGTAAGCACAATAATCTAAAGTAAAACTGTAACAATAAGACCTGTTTGTATTCAGAATGCTTGAGCTTTCCTTTAAAGGACCACTATAGTGCCAGGAAAACATACTCGTTTTCCTGGCAATATAGTGCCCTGAGGGTGCCCCCACCCTCAGGGTCCCCCTCCCGCCCGGCTCTGGAAGGGGGAAAGGGGTTAAAACTTACCTTTTTCCAGCGCTGGGCGGGGAGCTCTCTGCCTCCTCTCCTCCTTCTCTCCTCCCCGTCGGCTGAATGCGCACGCGCGGCAAGAGCTGCGCGCGCATTCAGACGGTCACATAGGAAAGCATGCATAATGCTTTCCTATGGACGCTGGCGTGCTCTCACTGTGAAAATCACAGTGAGAAGCACGCAGGCGCCTCTAGCGGCTGTCAATGAGAGAGCCACTAGAGGGAATGGGGGAAGGCTTAACCCATTCACAAACATAGCAGTTTCTCTGAAACTGCTATGTTCATGAAAAAATGGGTTAACCCTAGCTGGACCTGGCACCCAGACCACTTCATTAAGCTGAAGTGGTCTGGGTGCCTAGAGTGGTCCTTTAAGCATTTCTTTTTGTTTTTCATTTTACATATTACCTACCTAATGCTTTAAAAACAAATTGTGGGTAAGTTCAAAGTGGGAGTATACTGTTAAAGTGCTTCAGCCACCTACAATGACTCTTATCATTTAACCCACTCAGTATAGTAGAGGGCTGTTTAAATGATTGTAAATGGGAAATTGTGACTTTGGAAGATGTTTGTTCTGTTGCATGTGGTCCCTACCAGCAGTCCAGGGTTTGTCTACTTTCCTACATCCTGGCCTGTTGGTGTGGATTGTGGATTAGGTAACTACTGGCCTACAATATTGATTGAGCCATTCCACTGATTATATTTTGACTCAATAAACAGTTGTACTAAGTCGACAACCAAGATGCTCAATTAGGGGCAAAGAATAACGGAGAGAAATGTCAACTTGGAGAATAATTTTTCCAACTAGTTTTGTCTAAATTTTTCATCTCTGTTGAGAAGTATTTATTTCACTGTTTAGTGAATAAACCCATTTCTAAATATCCGTACCTACCATGGCATACAGCAAATGATGGCAAAACCAGTTGTGGCATTTGTTCATTTCTAATATCTCATTAGGCAATGTAGTAACGTGGCACCTTAGAGGGCACAGGGTTTCTGGCAATCATTCTGTAAACATTAACTAATATTCTTCGTATATTTCCATCACAGAATCTCCGTTCAAAGGTGCCACAGTCTCCAACCCATCTCGTCTTTAAATTCTCTACATTTTAGAGTTTTCCAGCTGTTGCAGTAAGCTCTGAACACAGCAGAAAGCCTATTAAGATTTTCACTGTTCCGTTGAGTGCAGCCTGGACTTTTTCAATAAATCCTCGGCCCAGCAGGAGTTTAAGCAATATGTAGTTCAGCTCTTGTCAGTAATTCCACTCATCCTATAGGATAAATAGAGCATATGTCCAAGCTGATAGCAGCTGTGATCCACCAACTCTCTGAGTTAATGATTTATTGTGGCTTCCTGCAGAGGTGTTGATGCTGTTCATGGTATTGATTATGTCTGTCTCTCTGTCTGTCCATCCATACATACATCCAGCCAGATGCTTTAGTACAGTAATATAAACTCCTTTGAGGAATACAGTAAAAGCCCCCGTAGCCATATTCATTGAGGCAATCAGTGCTTCCAGTTTGGGCAATTAGCCTGCTATAACTATTATCTTAGTAAATATGGCACAGCTCCTGGTATGTTACCATTTGCTCCGTCATGGAAGGACATGTAACCAGGGATTCCCTTACTGCCTGATGTCATTGTCATGCTTTGTTAATCCGTATTGATGGCATGTGCTGATTGTTTGATTTTCTGTCCCAAGGAGATGACATCTTCCAGTCCACAAGTCAAGATGACTTCACTCATGAAAAGCAATTGGTACACGAGCCAGGGAATGAACGGTGAGTTAATGGCAGCATGGCAAATATACAAGAATGCTTAGCTGAAAACACCCGTCAACAAATAGAATACCACGTGTATACTGCCATAATTATAACAGCAACATGTACACTGCCATCATTATAACAGCAACGTGTACACTGCCATAATTATAACAGCAACGTGTATACTGCCATAATTATAACAGCAACGTGTACACTGCCATAACTAGAAGAGCAATGTTTACACTGTCATAACTATAAGACCCCCCACTCCCCCAGTCTGTGAGGTACCACAGGATCGATCCCTTGTTTTGTTTAGTGAGTGCAGTCCCAGTGCATGGATTTATGGGATATGTAGTTCATCAGATCTTCTGAGTGGAACTGCAGTGTTGGCAGGGTGTTCTCTGATTGTGTATGATCACAGTTGTGGTTTGGAGCTTTGCAGTGATTTGTGAACACTGTATGCACATTATGGGTGGCAAAAGAACGCAAAAAAGTTAAACTTCATCCTTTGACATCAGGCACAGAACAGGAATGGTTTTAGATGCAGTTATAAGACATTGTTTGCAATGACGAGGTGTCACACATTGAGCAGAGCTTGTTATGGTGCTGAGTGGGACCTTTTAATAAAGAGTTTTACAAAGTGAAAGAGCAATAATCTGAATGTAGCCTAGAATCATGATATGCTTTATTCTGACCATGAAATCTGAGGGTTTAATACGCAAAGTGGGTGGGCGCCCTAAAAAACAAAAAGGGGGGGACCTACTGTCCTCCCCCCTGGTCCCCACCCCTGAGCGGTGAGTGGGGCCCTAAAAAACAAGGGGGGGGACCTACTGTCTTCCCCCCCCCCGGCCCCTACCCCTGAGCGGTGGGTCGGGGCCCTAAAAAAAACAATAAGGGGGGACCTACTGTCTGCCCCGGTCCCCACCCCTGAGCGGCAGGTGTGGGCCCTAAATAAAAATTCACCCCCCCCAATCAAGGTGACTAGGGGTCCCAAGCCCCTAGTCACCCCCACCCAAATAAAACTATCCCCTACCTACCCCCCTCACCCAAAAAATAGTGAGGGGGGAATAAAATAACTAACCTGTAAACAAAAATTAAACTTGCCATTTGACGTCTTCTTTTTTCTAAAATCTTAATTTTTCAGCCCCAAAAAAGGCCAAATAAAAAGCAATCATACCCGTCAAACTTAAAATAAAATAAAAAACCTGAGCGCAAAAAAATCAATCCATCTTCACCCATAGAGGGCTCCGCGCAGACTGAGCTCTGCAGGGTGGGGAAGGCTTATAAAGCCTTGCTCTGGCCTGCAATTAGGCTAAGAACACTCTGATTGGTTGGTTTAAGCCAATCAGAGTGCTCTTTGTCATTTTACACAGCGTGGGAAAATTCCAAAGAACTTTCCCACGCTGTGTAAAATGACACAGAGCACTCTGATTGGGTGGCTTGAAATCCATCCAATCACAGTGCTCTGTGTCATTTTACACAGCGTCACAGGCTGCTCACTGTTTAATAGACATGCCCCTACTCGCGGTATAGCGAGTAGGGGCTGAATTTACTAATACTAAGTAATCTTTACTTAGTATTAGTAAAGTTGGCTGAAAGACCAATTTAGGTCTTTCAGCCTTTTAGTAGATAACTCCCTGATACCATGGGAATTGGGCAGTTATCTACTAAGGTTATCTACCTAACAAAGTCCCGAATTGCATCCTAACACGAATGGAGAAACTGTTCTCATTCTGTTAGGATGCAATTCGGCAGTTTTGCCGGCGTTCTGTCTAAGTGACAGGACGTTTGGCAATACTGACAGGAAGCATCGTGGGAACAGGGAGGAAAGGTGAAAATTGTGGGAAAATTGCTCTGACCATCGGAAATGAAGCACACTTTGCTCCTCCGCTGGTCAAAGAGTCCCTACTTTGTCTTATGATTTTAAAGAAAACTAAAGAAGACATGAAGAAAAGAAGAACAGATCCTGAGAGAGGGGGAGAAGAGGAAGAGATTGAGGAAAGGTAAGTTCGGCATGACAGTGCCGCTTTAAAGTTTATATTAAAAAAAAGTGACTGGGAGGAATCAGTCATAAATTCTACTCTGCAACACGGTGTTGCTGTATTCTGTAACAATTTTAGGATATTAATATCAGTGTCCATTATATAAGGTGTATAGGACACTTTACGTAATATTATAAAAACCAAGGAACACACTGATTTCTGTTGGTTTATTTATGTTAAATACAAATGAATTACATGGGATTATTACATAATCCAGGGACTGATCGAGGAGAGGTAAAATGCTTAGAGGAAGGAACTTCCTTTACAGATTAGCATGCAAGAAGAATAACTGCTTGTCTTAAAGGGACTCTGCAAGCATCTCAATGAAGTGGGCTGGGTGCCTGCCCCCCTCTTCCCCCCTATTTTAACACTGCAGATGAAAATATTGCAATTGTGCAGAAATATTGTCGTTGCAGGGTTAACCTGCCTCTACTGGGTATCATACTGAGCCACTAGAGATGCTGCTGCTAAAATAATTGAAATAATAGAGTAAAACTCCACTATTTTAATCAGTCTCATAGAGACCATCTGATTGGTGCAGCCTTGTGTTCTGCCACGCTTGCGCACTGGCCTAGGTAAAAACACTGGATTGGTTGAGATCATAGATCTCAATGATGTCAGCCAAAGAGTGAGAGCTGCACGGCTCTGCGAGGGAAAGGAGGTAAGTAAACTCACATTTCTAACCCTGGCAACAGGGGCCAGGTCACCTTGACAGTGACTTGGGCATTTTAGCGAATACACATTTGTATTTCTAACACAATAGTGTTCCTTTAATCATGCTTTACACTGAACATTTACCAAGAGTCAATGAAGAGCTTTGGACTGTAACCATACGGGATTTGCTTGTCCCCAGTCCTGTAGAAGATAAGTTGTTTACAGTAACGCCGTCTCCTCACTCAGTGTATGTAGATGCCCGTGATACTGGGAAAAGTCTCATTGAACTGTTTTGTAATATTTATTTTACTGTTTAAGCTTGCTGCGTCCATACTGTTTGAAGTTGCTCTGTTGATGTTTAAAGTGTGTGAGAGACATACAGATGTAAGTGCTATTTTTAGCACGACTCCTCTTATCTGGAGCAGCAGCGTATGCCAAGACGTAAAACCTTATTCAGTGTTTTCAGTTTTATCGAACAAAAAACACATAGGAATTTGTATTACCCGTAGAAAGCCAAAGTAGGTAAAGAATAAACAAGCAAACATTAAACTCCATTAAATGAGTCTGTGGTGTCTGATCTTATCCCATAAAGCCCTATTCAGCAGAGACTAATTGGATAAGAGGGTTATACCCAAGAGAAGTTCCTCTTATTACAAATAATGAGAGTAAATTCTGTATAAACTGACAGCAGCCGTAGCCCAGCTGCATGGAGTTTACAAACAGTCCAGTTCGCTGTTAAGTAATTCATGATGTGTGCATGGATTGGTAGATTCACAACTTGCCCATGAGCAGTCCACAGCTAAGCTCTTTCACTGGACAGGAAAGGGAGCTTAGTCATGGGCAGTGGGACAATAGCCTTGGCCATTGGTACACAGTTTGTAGGCAGCAGCCTCACAATATTTTTCTGCAGATTGTTATAGCAGGAGGCACATTGGGTTGTCTGTTGGCACCGTATTGGAGAACCGAGGCCCTCCCCTGAGCTCAGTCCAAGTTGTGAGAGCACCATTCCTACACAGCAAACACAACATGGCTAAAATTAGCATAGACAGCTTGGAAGTGAAGTATATAACTGCAGCAATTTATTCTAAAACCATGTGAGTACAGGGCAGTGTCTGCACCGTTAACTTTGCAATACTGTAATATTGATACGGTGCTTAGAGTGACCTTTTAAATGAGTCCACTATCTGATTCTAACGATCGTCAGAAAATTTACACTTACTGTAATTTTTTCCTTTCTCAAAACCTCCCCGAAAAACCACAGACTTAGGCGTATCTTATTTCCGTTGTATCATGAGTCCTAAAAAGACGCTGTGCTCATCTGGCATGAATGCATCAGAATATGGGCAGAACAAGTTGTGTAGGATTAGAATTTTTGGGGGATTTTGTGGTGGTCTGTTTTTACTCACTGGTACTTTCTAGAATGTACAGTGCCTGAACACTTATTTTAAAATAATACTGCAATTAATTAACCATTGCAAAATGATACTAATGTGCATCTAATAGTTACGTATTATTATTTTTAGGGCTTTTTTCCCCTTTCTTCCATTTGTCCTGTTTTTAGAATTAACCTGCAATTATATTGCAATTCTTTTATTTGGGGACTATGGGAATCATGCATCTTAAAGTCAATATTAATAAAATTAAAAAAAATTGCATTTACATCAAGTAGATGTCCGTTTTTACTCTTTGAAAAACATAAAGTCTATCAGTCAAATGAGCCTGTCTTATACGGAACACTAATGATTGGGCAACATTATTACCCTAACATACCATGATTACAGGAGACGTAAAGTAATAATAATAAAATGTTGACATACTGTATATTCAAAGATAGTTCTTAACAAAGTAAAACATCACAAAATGAGGCATATGGAAGAGAAAAAATTAAAGGGTAAAAATGTCAGCTCATTTAGTTTGTTACTGATTATTTAATGTGAAACCTGGAGTAGTCGAGGCTTATTAATATACATTTTTTGTATAATGTGTTTATATTTTAGTGGGCCAAATGTTCCTGTTATGCCTCTCAATCCATTGCCATCTCCGGTAAAGAAAAGTGACATCCGCAGTGGGATGAGGAAGCTCTTCTCTACGTTTGGGTTGACCTCTCGTCCCAGACTGGATCGATTTCAGTCGTCCAGTTTAGAGCAGATCTCTCATGCAGCTGTCCACAACGGAGATGGTGACGGAGATGGGGAAAGCGAGATGGGTAGTGTAGCGGTGAAACCAAGCAGAATTAAGAAGAGCCCATCGCTGCAGTCACTGAAACTGGTGAGTAGAGCAACAAAGTATCATAATGAATCCCTGCAGCATGTACCAGGTGAATACAGGCTGAGAGCTGATAAAGGGTCCCTTGGAGCTCTTAAAGCCTTTCAAGCCCTTATCTAACTTCAACACCTGCCTTATCGGTGCATATGTATTGTAGAGATAGCTGTGACACTTGTTCTGTGCCATCTGTAATGAGCTGAAAATGAGATCACAGCCATTAAATGCAGTGCAGCGCTGATTCACTGCTGCAGGAACTGGATATCTATTTCAAAGGTTTGCAGCAGTTTACGGATTACAGAGAATTGTTCGACGCTTCTGCAAATTCTGACAGATCATTGGCAACATGGCAGAAATAGATGGAGCACTATTAACAAACTATTTTCAAGGCATTATACCATTAGGTTTTGTTTTTTCTAAACATAGCTTCTTCTTTCCCAGTTAGTGTTCCCAAACCTTCGTGTACCTCAGTGGGGATATTGGGGGTGCATAAAAACTGGATGAGTGGAGACAGAATGAAAATTATTCTACTATTAGACAGAGAGGAGGGGCCTTAGTCATGGTTCATGGTTTTATATCTTGAATGTTTAAGAAATAGGCAAAGGGGTCAGAGTCCATGTGGCGGACCGCCTGGCACCCCCACTGGGTACCTCTGCCAATCACGCTTCCTAGTGCTCACCGACTACCATGAGCACTGCACTGGACACCATAACCACTGAAGTCCCCTTAGCCGCCACAGCTTAGCTGGGGTCTCGCTGTCCCTTCCCACCCTGGAATAAACGCCTGGATCCAGCTCTCAGTGGGAAGACCACTCCTCCAAGAGAGTATTGCTGTAAAGCCAATAAAACAGCAAGTGATATAGCAGTGATCTGGTTTATTGGAGCCACACATGACCTTTTATGCAAAAGCCTCTGCAAGGGGTTTCCAATACAAGAATAGGGAAATCCCTCCCATGATCCTTTGTGCCTGAGAGATAGTTTTCTGAGAAGCAAACATCTGTCAGGTACAAAAAACATACAATTTATAAACATCCCAAAAGTACCCCCAAAATCCACAGAAACCCCACAAAAGTTACATTCATGTATAGTCCCGATCTGGTAACCAACATATCCAAAAATCATCCAGATCGGTTCAGTGGTTCGGTTTTTCAATGGAAGTCAATTATTTATATAAAACCGAACGCAGGCAATTATGGAAGTCCATTGGTGTTCGGGAGTTTCAGTGTCCGCTTTCAGTTACATGAACTCGACGACCAAACACCACTGCCTGCGTTTATGCGAACAAGATGGCCACCACCTTGTGGTCGTTCATACGAATTTCAGCCACCCAGACGAGCTATTAGAACACTGCGGTGGAACTCGTTACAAGGTGTGTAAGGTGCTTAACAAGCACAAGGGTGGTCTCTGGTTCGTGCGGTTGTTCGGTTCCATAACAGTATAATCCCAAATCACACGAACAGAGCCTTTTAAAGTGTATTTTGCAGGGCCCATAGTCCTGAGGCAGGAGGCTGGCAAGCAGGCTCTTCCAGGAACCCATGGCGAGGTTATGTTCGCCACAGTCCAATAGGTCATTTCCAGACCTCTTTGTCACGTGTCTGAGTCAGGATGGGGAAAATTGGTAGCAAATGGTAATCCCACCCAGTTTTAGGCCAGAAATAACTCCTTCAGACCAAGACCTTCATTTTCTTCACGTAGAGGAAGAAGATAAGTAAAATCACTTGGGTAGAGAACCATAAATGTTGAAAACATGAAGATTTTGTTTAATTGGAAGTCCTTTGGAAAGAACAAAAGGCTTCGGCACAAATTTCATGATTGAAAAGGTTTTTCTCTAGACGAGAGATACATGGTTTGTTTAATATTGTTTGATTTGCACACATCAGCTGTGTTTGACATTCTGTGTTTGTGTGTTCTGGAAAGAGCTAGCTTGGTCTTGTTTTGTACCAGTAACCAGACTGCCACTGATAAGAAGTGGAAAAAGAGTAGATTAAAAAATATAAAAACACAAAAAGTGAGGAGTTGTGATAGAAGATATATATTTTTACGATGAGGTAGTCCTTACATTCCAGAAGTCAGTTAGCCTATCTTGGTACAGAACATCCTCTGTAGGTGGAGACCACTACATAGTAGGTCCCTGGTGGAAAAAAATGTCTAAGAGTTACTGATTTAAATAATAAAAAAAGAAACTAGACCATTAGTGTTTTTAAGTTTAATTGTGTTGAAGCTGCTGACAACGTTGGGAGGAGGGTTAAATAGCATGTAGCCAATGTCTCGAGTGTACAGGTCAATGGTGACTACCTCAAGATATACATTTCCATTGATACATGGCCAGCTCAGCCAATTCAGCACCATGGGACTATAGTGTCACTCACCAAGATAATACATGGGTCAGGTTTTGAAAGTATATCATTCACCAGTATCTTCACTGAGCCATGCATCGCTAAGTGCAAAGTTTAGAAGCTGGTGGCCCTCCAGCTGTGGAATGGACTCCTTGGTCATGGAGCTATGAATCCAGCTGTTAACCATTTAATTAGAATATGTTTTGGACCCTCTAGTCCTGGTACATGAGTCACATAACTGTTATTATTATGATGTATATATTCCCAATATATTCCACAAGTAATTACAATATTAATATTGGAATAAGGCCATAAATAAGAGACAAACAATTACAAACGTTAACAGAAAACAAGGTTATTGAGGTCCCTGTTAGAATGAATCCTAAAGGATCCATTAACCCAAAGGATTGGCATAGGGGAGAGGTATAAACACCTTTTGGGAATCTATAATACAGATGCTTATATAATTATTATTAATATTTATAAAGCGCCAACAAACTCCACAGCGCTGTACAATGGTTTTTGAGATGTAATTCAGCTTGTCACATCTTCTCATAGAATGGCAATCCACTGAAATAAAATGGGATACAGGTTCATGATGTGTAGCACTTTGTGTATCAGAGGGTGCATCACTGAAGACTTACAAAGGAGGGACACAGTCTTCTCAATGAGAGAGTGAACACACCCAGTTTGTTCAAATATTAAAGGACCACTATAGGCACCCAGACCACATCAGCTCAATGAAGTGGTCTGGGTGCCAGGTCCCCCTAGTTTTAACCCTGCAGCTGTAAACATAGCAGTTTCAGATAAACTGCTCTGTTTACATTGAGGGTTATTCCAGCCTCTAGTGGCTGTCTCCCTGATTTTCCCTGGAGGGGGGCCCTGAGTGAAGGGGGGACCTAATAACCATATAGTGCCAGGAAAACAAGTTTGTTTTCCTGGCACTATAGTGCTTCTTTAACACAATATGCCTCATGCAGTGCAATATATCTGTAGATTGTAAGCTCACAGGCTGTCTAACTAATCACTTTTGTATTGGCTTGTGTATATTGTACAATTTTTGCCCCAATTCTAAAGCACTGCTGAATACCTTGGCGCTTTACAAATGCCAGTAATAAATACATAATAATATCACTTTTAAAACAGCAAGGCACTCTAGTGCATATGATTGTATCTTTAAATAAATCATATTAGGAAGACTGCTTAGTTTCAATAAGTAAAAATACTTATTAACAAAAATAAAAATTAGTATAGGACACTCTTATGCTTTTCAAAGTCAATGAACACTTAAATGTAGTACTCCTCCTTTTCCACCAGATGTCACCATTTCACTTGCCACGAAAATCATCCTCTGTTCAAAACCTGTTGGGAAAATCAGACAGATCAATATCGTATGTTACTGGAGATGGCAACACAGCACCAAGGTACAGTGTCAATGCAGTATTATATACCCCCCATGGTTACACATACAGAATTATATACCCCCCCTGGTTACACACATAGCATTATATACACCCCCTGGTTACACACATAGCATTATATACTCCCCCTGGTTACACACATAGCATTATATACTCCCCCTGGTTACACATACAGCATTATATACACCCCCTGGTTACACATACAGCATTATATACACCCCCCTGGTTACACATACAGCATTATATACACCCCCCTGGTTACACATACAGCATTATATACTCCCCCTGGTTACACACACAGCATTATATACTCCCACTGGTTACACACACAGCATTATACACACACCCCTGGTTACACATACAGCATTATATACACCCCCCTGGTTACACATACAGCATTATATACTCCCCCCACACACAGCATGGTTACACACACAGCATTATATACACCAGCATTATATACACCCCCCTGGTTACACATACAGCATTATATATCCCCCTGGTTACACACGCAGCATTATATACACCCCCCTGGTTACACACACAGCATTATATACACCCCCCTGGTTACACATACAGCATTATATACACATAGAAACATAGAAACATAGAATGTGACGGCAGATAAGAACCATTCGGCCCATCTAGTCTGCCCAATTTTCTAAATACTTTCATTAGTCCCTGGCCTTATCTTATAGTTAGGATAGCCTTATGCCTATCCCACGCATGCTTAAACTCCTTTACTGTGTTAACCTCTACCACTTCAGCTGGAAGGCTGTTCCATGCATCCACTACCCTCTCAGTAAAGTAATACTTCCTGATATTATTTTTAAACCTTTGTCCCTCTAATTTAAGACTATGTCCTCTTGTTGTGGTAGTTTTTCTTCTTTTAAATATAGTCTCCTCCTTTACTGTGTTGATTCCCTTTATATATTTAAATGTTTCATATCCCCCCTGTCTCGTCTTTCCTCCAAGCTATACATGTTAAGATCCTTTAACCTTTCCTGGTAAGTTTTATCCCGCAATCCATGAACCAGTTTAGTAGCCCTTCTCTGAACCCCCTCTAAGGTATCAATATCCTTCTGAAGATACGGTCTCCAGTACTGTGTACAATACTCCAAGTGAGGTCTCACCAGTGTTCTGTATAATGGCATGAGCACTTCCTCTTTCTACTGCTAATACCTCTCCCTATACAACCAAGCATTCTGCTAGCATTTCCTGCTGCTCTATTACATTGTCTGTCTACCTTTAAGTCATCAGAAATAATCACCCCTAAATCCCTTTCCTCATATGTTGAGGTTAGGACTCTATCAAATATTCTGCCCTTGGGTTTTTACGTCCAAGATGCATTATCTTGCACTTATCCACATTAAATGTCAGTTGCCACAATTCTGACCATTTTTCTAGTTTACCTAAATCATTTGTCATTTGGCTTATCCCTCCTGGAACATCAACCCTGTTACATATCTTAGTATCATCAGCAAAAGACATACCTTACCATCAAGACCTTCTGCAATATCACTAATAAAAATATTAAACAGAATGGGTCCAAGTACAGATCCCTGAGGTACCCCACTGGTTACACACATAGCATTATATACACCCCCTGGTTACACACATAGCATTATATACTCCCCCTGGTTACACATACAGCATTATATACTCCCCCTGGTTACACATACAGCATTATATACTCCCCCTGGTTACATACACAGCATTATATACTCCCCCTGGTTACATACACAGCATTATATACTCCCACTGGTTACACACACAGCATTATATACACCCCCTGGTTACACACATAGCATTATATACTCCCCCTGGTTACACACACAGCATTATATACTCCCCCTGGTTACACACATAGCATTATATACTCCCACTGGTTACACACACAGCATTATACACACACCCCTGGTTACACATACAGCATTATATACACCCCCCTGGTTACACATACAGCATTATATACTCCCCCTGGTTACACACACAGCATTATATACTCCCCCTGGTTACACACATAGCATTATATACTCCCACTGGTTACACACACAGCATTATACACACACCCCTGGTTACACATACAGCATTATATACACCCCCCTGGTTACACATACAGCATTATATACTCCCCCTTGGTTACACACACAGCATTATATACATCCCCTGGTTACACACACAGCATTATACACACACCCCTGGTTACACATACAGCATTATATACACCCCCCTGGTTACACATACAGCATTATATACACCCCCCGGGTTACACAAACAGCATTATATACACCCCCCTGGTTACACACATAGCATTATATACTTCCCCTGGATACATACACAGCATTATATACACCCCCTGGTTACCACATACAGATTTATATACTCCCCCTGGTTACACACATAGCATTATATACCCCCCCTGGTTACACACAGCATTCTACACACACAGCATTATATACTCCCCCTGGTTACACACACATCATTATATACACCCCCTGGTTACACACAGCATTCTACACACACCCCTGGTTACACATACAGCATTATATACTCCCCCTGGTTACACACACATCATTATATACACCCCCTGGTTACACACACAGCATTATATACTCCCCCTGGTTACACACACATCATTATATACACCCCCTGGTTACACACAGCATTCTACACACACCCCTGGTTACACATACAGCATTATATACTCCCCCTGGTTACACACACATCATTATATAGTCCCCTTGGTTACACATACAGCATTATATACTCCCCCTGGTTACACACACAGCATTATATACTCCCCCTGGTTACACACACAGCATTATATACTCCCCCTGGTTACACACTCAGCATTATATACTCTTCCTGGTTACACACAGCGTTATATACTTATATAACCTCATACTGTACAGGAGTACACCTATAGCATTATAGGTGACCTCTGGTTACACATACGTCAGAGTTCACTCACCTTAGTTACACATACACAGCTAAATATTACCTGTTTTTAACAAGTTTTGTTTGTTATTGATTGTGGACAGACATGATAAAGAGGAAAATGAAAACGCACCGATCTACACACTAACTTGAAGGGCCCACCGCCAGCCACACTTACCACCCAAGTTAATTTCTAATATATTATGCCATACAACCCAAATTGACTGGTTTAAAGTGTCATAAGAGAATGATATTTATCACTTATGCTGTTACTTATGGGATCCTTCTGTGTTCCTATTGGTGCTTAGTAAATAGGACCATTTGCAATGGATTCGTTGTGGAGTCAAAAGTGAGAGAAATGTCACAAAACCTCATGGACATACATGTGTATTAATTCTGTATTGCAGGCGTGCTCTCAGTGTGGAAGATATTGGATCCCCAGATATGCCCCGGGCAGTTGGCAGAGTGTCAGAGGTTTACCCTGATGGTACCCGTCTTTTAGAACTGCAGCGCCCCCCACAGGGTAGTTTTGGGTTCACAATCTCATCTGGCAATGGCAGACCAGACTCAGGTGAGTAAAAGCACACTAGCAGATACTTCTTAAATGAATAAAAACATTGGACAGTATTCACAAATATCACTGTGAAACATATTCACACGTTTAACTGACAGCCAGAAATATAAATTTTCATCATGCCGGCGGTAAAAATTATTATTTTTGGATTAAAATGTGAAATTCACTTTAAATGTTTTAAGATTTCACACATTATGCCAATACACCTTTAGAATTACTGTTACATTATTCTGAAACTTGGTATATACACTGCTCAAAAAAATAAAGGGAACACTTAAAACAACACAATATATCTCCAAGTCAATCACACTTCTGTGAAATCAAACTGTCCACTTAGGAAGCAACACTGAGTGACAATCAATTCCACATGCTGTTGTGCAAATGGGATAGACAACAGGTGGAAATTATAGGCAATTAGCAAGACACCCCCAATAAATGAGTGGTTCTGCAGGTGGTGACCACAGACCACTTCTCAGTTCCTATGCTTCCTGGCTGATGTTTTGGTCACTTTTGAATGCTGGCGGTACTTTCACTCTAGTGGTAGCAAGAGACAGAGTCTACAACCCACACAAGTGGCTCAGGTAGTGCAGCTCATCCAGGATGGCAAATCAATGCGAGCTGTGGCAAGAAGGTTTGCTGTGTCTGTCAGCGTAGTGTCCAGAGCATGGAGGCGGTACCAGGAGACAGGCCAGTACATCAGGAGACGTGGAGGAGGCCGTAAGAGGGCAACAACCCAGCATCAGGACTGTTACCTCCGCCTTTGTGCAAGGAGGAACAGGAGGAGCACTGCCAGAGCCCTGCAAAATGACGTCCAGCAGGCCACAAATGTGCATGTGTCTGCTCAAACGGTCAGAAACAGACTCCATGAGGGTGGTATGAGGGCCAGACGTCCACAGGTGGGGGTTGTGCTTACAGCCCAACACCGTGCAGGACGTTTGGCATTTGCCAGAGAACACCAGGATTGGCAAATTCACCACTGGCACCCTGTGCTCTTCACAGATGAAAGCAGGTTCACACTGAGCACATGTGACAGAGTCTGGTGACGCCGTGGAGAACATTCTGCTGCCTGCAAGATTATCCAGCATGACCGGTTTGGCAGTGGGTCAGTAATGGTGTGGGGTGGCATTTCTTTGGGGGGCCGCACAGCCCTCCATGTGCTTGCCAGAGGTAGCCTGACTGCCATTAGGTACAGATATGAGATCCTCAGCCCCCTTGTGAGACCATATGCTGGTGCGGTTGGCCCTGGGTTCCTCCTAATGCAAGACAATGCTAGACCTCATGTGGCTGGAGTGTGTCAGCAGTTCCTGCAATACAAAGGCATTGATGCTATGGACTGGCCCGTTCCCCAGACCTGAATCCAATTGAGCACATCTGGGACATCGTGTCTCGCTCGCTTTTGACTTGTTTTAAGGACATTACATCAAAGTTGGATCAGCTTGTAGTGTATTTTTCCACTTTAATTTTGAGTGTGACTCAAATCCAGACCTCCATGGGTTGAAAAATTTGATTTCCATTTTTTAATTTCTGTGAGATTTTGTTTTCAGAACATTCAACTATGTAAAGAACAAATTATTTATTTTAGAAGAATATTTAATTAATTCAGATCTAGGATGTTATTTTTGTGTTCCCTTTATTTTTTTGAGCAGTGTATTTGTGCACTGAAGAAATGCTCATTTATGATGCTCCATATTGTAGGTTGCAATGTTAAAATGCATCAATTTCTTTCCATAACACATGCCACTCAATTCTTCACAAAGAAGTAGGTTAGGTCTCATTCACCAGTCTAGTGCTTCCTAAGTTTCAAAACAAAATCATTTTAACATTATTTACAGAGCAAACACATTATTTATTGAATGAACGATTACTCTGAGAAAAAGCATTTGGACATCAAAAGATGGTTTACTTAGGTTTTGATATGACTAATATATTATTTATGGCCTTTCACAATTATTTTATAATCCTTATGAAGCTTATGACAAGTCCCAATATTCAATATTAGAAGTGGCTGTGATAAATCTAAATAGTTCAATTAGGTAATAGCTGAATAACTGGAAAAAGGATCATAACAGATGGATATTAACCTAGATTTTGTATAACAATATTACCTGATGCTAAGCCATTTTTAAGCTGTATCTCTCTGGTTCATAGGTATTTATGTTCAGGAGATGATTGATGCCAACACAGCCAAACTGTACTCGGGTCTACTGCGAGTGGGAGATGAGATCTTGGAGTTAAACAGTACAAAAGTTTCAACTCTTGGACATGCCCGACTGAATGAGATCATGGGCCGCGAGCCCATCTTGTCTCTTCGTGTCCTGCACCAGAGACGGACCAAGTGCTGAATAATCTAAAATTCTAAAACCTTCTACTGTAAAGATCTTGCAAACAGTCTAGATTCTAAGTGGCGTGGCTCTCAGCATTTTTATACAGAGGGTAAAATATTTATTCGTTTTTCTTCATCCAGGACAATATTTTTATCTGTTGACATTTTTAAGTGTTTTTAAAGACTTGTTCCTCATGTATTTCAGACTTCAGTTCTATGTGTATCGTGTTTTTAAAGCGTCTGTTTACCAAACAATTTTGCACTGTCTTCTGCCACCAGATTTTATTTGTCCAATAAGACAGGTGTGAAACACAGAAGAAAGCTTGTTCCATTGTCTGTTTACACGTGAAATGTGCTTCCATGTAAACAATGGTCATTAAACGTATCAGTATTAACCTGGTAGGGCCCATGAAGGAATGGACCTTTAATTCTCTGTAATGGTTTGTAGCGCAGATCACACATCCACTTAGCCTTGTGTATTTATGAGTCCGTTGTTGGCTCCTCACTGCCAATATTTTATTATAATATATTAAATATTTCTCTTAATAATTGTTTGTTAGCCTGTGTCCTTTTGTGGTTGTAGTCATGCCCGATACAGATGTGTAGAATTTTTCTTTTTAACAAATTGGGAGCATGGTTTGTGTTCAGCTTCACCCATCATATGACATACAAGGCAACCACTGATCCCTGCCAAGTCTTCAAGGGGTGGTATTGCAGAGTGATCACGTTGGAGCTATCCTCACACACCTGTGGCTGAGTGATTGGAATATGAAACAGAAGAGTCCAGATAGCAAATGGATTCAGCTTTCCTACATCAGAACAGTAATATCAGCCATGAGAAGCTGTGCTTTTGTGCAATTTTTGTCTCCTCTAACGATGGTTCTCTTGAGGAACTCTAGATGCAACTAAGTATCAAAATTCTGAAAATGTTGTTGAGGGGTTCTGAAAATGCTGTCAACGGATATAAAGGTGCTAGCTCAGTTTCTATTCAAATGGCTCAAATTCCGATGCAACAATTCCTATATACCTGGGATTAACCTACAAATATGAACAAGCTGCACAGAACACTGATTCTAGATCATCCTTGGGGGTTACTCACTAAACCAGGGATTGTGAATAATTAGCAAGGGGATTTCAAATTTTACAAAATAGCTGCTATGAAAATGTATCCCATTTGCAATTCTTGTGTCAATTCTCCACAGCTGTGAGTTAAGTGAATGACACTCTGTATTGTAGAATACTGAGGGATGTATTCACTAAACACTTAACTGTACTTAATGGAAAAGAATTAGGTTAAAATGGTCAAGTTGTGATTCAGTTTTCAATTTACTACAATTCAGAGTTTAATGAATGGATTATACATGACAATGTGTTCTCATTTAATAGCAGCTCTAAAGCACACTGTGGTTTGAAGAAATACCTGCTTGATTGTGTATTGATATTTTTCAAAGTATTAACCAGTTTAGCAGAACATAATGCCATCAAGTAAGAGATTTTTAGTTGGGTAACATGGCCATAGAATGGAAGGTGTGTTTAAAAGGTGGGGGCACTACAATAGCCCTGTAGCAGATTGTGTGCTGTAAAATAGCGTTTGTGCCAAGTGTATATAGCGATCAGACCTCACAGTACTAGGAAGGGACAGGTGAATTTGTACATGCGGTTTCTTTAATTAGGGACACATATAAAAGGTACATCCCTTACCTCAGGAAATCAATCATTTGAATACAGTGTACATTGTCTATGAGTATTATAAAGGAATGCAGTGAATGGATTTGGGTCTTCATTGGAAAGCAATGAAGGCAAAAAGAAATCTAAAATATTTTTTTTTATTCCATTATTAAAAAAAACAAAACCATGGTACAATTGTGGGGGTTCAAGTGTTGGGGTGGAAAAATAAATCACAAAAACACATCCGGTATTCCAGGCTTAGTCTCCCTTAATCATAGACATTATGATTGCCCACTACAATCACTGAGATTGTACCCTATTACACATTATTATATTCCCCTACCTTCTACTCAATACCATACCTTATGGGTTGATCTGTACCTTATGTATGTTGGTGCTCTGGTTCAGCCACTCACCCGCAAAACTTTGGAGTTCCTAAGAGGGGGACTGAGCGATTTGGGTGAAAATAGGAACCATTTTCTTATATAGGGACACTTGGGAGGTGTGTATCTGTATGCAAGGAACAATTTATTCATTCAATTGTAGCCTTCAGAATATAACCAAATGTTGTATTTTAACCCCTTAAGGACTAATCCAAATGTACACGTTGTGAACAAAACAAAACGTAAACAAAACCTGGCATTTGCGCTACATGTCTGTCCAACCGTAATTCACCTCTTTCATATTAAATGCACCCACCATTATTATATATCATTTTATTCAGGGGAAACAGGGCTTTCATTTAATAGCAAATATTTCACTATGAAACAATTTAATATGAAAAAAGTGGGAGAAAATAAGATTTTGTTTTTATTTTAGTTCTATGTGACATTTTAACTGTCAATGTCATAATACTGTTTGCTTTAACTGCAATAAAATACACATATTTGTATTCAGCAAAGTCTCACGTGTAAAACAGTACCCCCTATGTACAGGTTTTATGGTGTTTTGGGAAGTTACAGGGTCAAATATAGCACGTTACAATTGAAATTCGCCAGATTGGTTACGTTGCCTTTGAGACTGTATAGTAGCCCAGGAATGAAATTTAAACCAATAATGGCATACCATTTGCAATAGTAGACAACCCAAGGTATTGCAAATGGGGTATGTCCAGTCTTTTTTAGTAGCCATTTGGTCACAAACACTGGCCAAAGTTAGCGTTAATATTTGTTTGTGTGTGAAAAATGCAAAAACCGCCAATTTTGGCCAGTGTTTGTGACTAAGTTGCTACTAAAAAAGACTAGACATCCCTCATTTGCAATACCTTGGGTTGTCTACTATTGCAAATGGTATGCCATCATAGGGGTAATTTTCATTCTTGGGCTACCATAGGGTCTCAAAGGCCACGTAACCAATCTGGCGAATTTTAATGTGAAAAAAATGAAACACAAGCCTTATATTTGACACTGTGAAAACACTATAAAACCTGTACATGAGGGGTACTGTTGTACTCGAGAGACTTTGCTGAACACAAATATTTGTGTTTCAAAACAGTAAAAAGTATCACAGCAGTAATATCGTCCGTGTAAGTGCTGTTTGTGTGTGAAAAATCCGCCGCGGGGGACTCCCTGGGATACCAGGTGTCTCCCCAACTGCGATCGCCGGCGACCGGGTAAGTAAGAAAAACTGGAGGGCGTACTATTACGCCCTGCGGCGTTTAGAGCCACTTAGAATAGGGCGTAATAGTACGCCCTCCGGTTTTATGGGGTTAAAGGACCACTATAGTGCCAGGAAAACAAACTTGTTTTCCTGGCACTATAGGGTCTTTAGGTCCACCCCCACCTTCACCCAAACCACTTCATTGAGCTGAAGTGGTCTGGGTGCCTTTAGTGGTCCTTTAATGCTTGTCTCTAGAACAGACAATGTTACTGTAAGGATATTTATTTACCTTTAGCGTTAGAGCACTTTACAATGAGAAGGCCCAAAATCGGTCACATTATGTGTTTAGGAATGGTATCATCTAAATTGTATTGCAAAAACCAAGAGCACACCAAGTTAATCTTGCACATAATAAAGATTTCATTAAGTAGAAATTTGATAAAAAAAGTACAAGTAAAGTGCAAACTGTAAATAAGGCATGCAAATGAAGAATGACATACCTATTGTACATATCAATGCAATAACCCACATACCCATAATAACATAGGGATACTAACCCAGAGCAGGCGATACAGCAACCCCAACGTTTCGGCACTAGCCTTTCTCAAGGCTTGAGGAGTTATTATGGGTATGTGGGTTATTTCATTGAGTTATTTTCACTTATCTTTCAATTTGATATGTACAATAGGCATGTCATTCTTCAATTTCATGCCTTATGTACTGTTTGAACTTTACTTGTACTACTTTTATCAAATTTCTACTTAATAAAAAAAAATTTTTTTTTAATGCAAGATTAATTTGGTGTGCTCTTGGTTTTTTCAATATTATATGCAGGAATCTGGTGGTGGAACAGATTTTTCCATATAGCACCCAATCTCTTTCTATCATACCACTACCCTTATTAAGGTGAGCACTCACTATAAAATTCTATATGCAAATATCATTTGAAAAGACCTTGCCAGGTATGACCAACTGTTGACACACTAACTGCTGTGGACTGCAACGTAAGAGACAGAACTTGTCAGTAAATGAATGCATTATACAGAATAATATACGCTTAGATAAAACGAAGGTGCGCATGTAAAATATGTAATCATGAAGATCTCTGACATTTTGAAATGGGTTAATAATTCCCATATTTTTGGCACACTGATACACATGGAGTCTCTCTCCCCGCTGTCATTTTTCTTCACAATGCCCTCATCCCCCACCTCTTATGGAACCTTCTGTCTAGTGTCCCTGCCGGGAATTTGTGTTGCTAATGAGCCCAGGTGGCCATTATATACTTGTCTAGGGACAAAACATATTATGTCCTTCTCTGAGTAGGGAAGGAGACAGACTGAGCTCAGCTGTGCATACAGAGAGAAGGAGGACAGTTAGTGTGATATAACCCCCTCCTCTCCATCCTCACTCACAATGTCACTTACCTTCCCAGGCTCATTTAGCATCATCTCATAGCATCCTTTGGCTTCAAAAGCTAGCGCTGTGTCGCTCCAAGGCTTCACAATGCAGATTTGCTGGCTGAATCCAGATATTATGGCTAGAATTCGAGGGATATAAACCTAGACAGACTGCTAGCTGTAAATCTGATATGCAGTATGACAAGGGCTGAATGCTGATTCTGTGCTGGTTTGTTACCGAAGCCTAATAAAATGATATGAGTAGCTCTGTAAGCAATAATTTAAAATTGTAGAGGCAAGGAGTAGGGTATTGCTGCATATCTCACGTGTCCCATGTTTGATGTGTATCAATTTATCACAAAACTCCATAGAGTAAAAAACACTGTACATTTGTATACAAATGAGTTTAAACAAAATACTTTGTACCTTTCCAAAAATCTTATCCAGCTAAATAAACAGCTTTTAGACAGGTTATCATCTAAACTCTAAATTTTTAGCAAATAAAACATGGCCTGTAACACTGAGGCAAAAAAAAAAAAAAAAGGAATTTTTAAAATTGGCCATTTTAGCCTTATTCAAATTTAATACACTAAAATTTCAGAGCTTAGTGAATAACCCTGTAGGCCATTGAGTCAGCTAGAAAATACAAGAGCTAGTCTTGCACTCCTGGTCACTTGCACCAAATAAATAAAATAAATCGTTCTCTTCTAACCATATCACGTTGTGGAAAATCTGCACCACCAATTGATAAATGTGTTTAACATTTTTTTATTAATTAAAATACTGTGTATTAAATGGATTGCCTAATTAAATGAATAGCTGTATACTAAGAGATTCCGGAATCTCCTAAGAGACTAGTATGACCCCCTCACTGCTATATTTACTTGGGTCTCTGAAGCCTCGATCTCTCTATACAAAACAACTAAAATGGTAAAACACGACAACCAATATACGTGTTTCTTGTCACAGGTAAGATTGGCACATCCGTGTATTTTTGAAAGATGCATGAATTCTCTATCAACCCTCTAGATTGTAAGATTGTTTGAACATTTTCTCATAAATCTATTGTTCTTGTTAAAATTCGAGGTAGTTTTTTTAAAATTATTTTTTATTATTATTGCCATTTATATAGCACCAACAGATTCCATAGCGCCTTACAATATTATGAGAGGGGGATTTAACTATAAATAGGACAATTACAAGAAAACGTACGGGAACAGTAGGTTGAAGAGGACCCTGCTCAATCGAGCTTACAGTCTATAGGAGGTGGGGTGTAAAACATATTAGGACAGGAATTTATGTTTTGATAAATTCTTCCCTTTATAATATTGTAAATCGCTGCGGAATAAATTCTTGCTATATAAATGCCAATAATAATAATAATTCTGCATCCTTTGGTACAGGCCTTGAAACTACTGGCTGGCAGTATGTGGAATTCATGGGCTACAGATGTGAAATGAATCCTAACAGCTGCCCTAGGATCCCAGCTGTCATTCATTATTTTCACATCAGGGGCAAAGAATTTCATAAACAGGGGGCACAGAGCTTTCAAGCCCTGCTCAACAGAACGCAGAATTCTAAAGTGTCTTCAGGTTTAGCAGCAAAGGAATGTGTACATTGTATGTGTACGTCGATACTGCAAGCCTAAATCCAGAGAGGGCATAGCTAGCAGCACTAGTTAATATATTGAAGATGTGTGAGCAGGGATGTACCCAGCATGCTGATTTCAGATGTGAATTAAGTTGCTGGACTCGTGACAGAAAAGGTGTTTTGAGCATCGAGGCTGTGCAGATAATGGATTCGCGAATGCGGTGAAAGGAAGGATTTAGCAATAGTCTGAAGGTCTGCTGCACTTTCAATGATTACTTGTAAGGAATGCTCCAGTAATCTACAGCTATGAACAATGAAACTGTATCCCATCGCATCCTTACTGTGTTCCTAGAGACGATTATCCCCCATATATTACTGAGAACAGTTGAGATTTAAATGCATTTCAGGATCCAAACCTGGTCTGTTTTAGGAATCCTAGATCTTCAGGTTATTCAGTAAATCAGGAATAGAACAGATCATTTAACGCAAAAAAATAAATGAAAACAAATATGGCTTTATTTTTAACCTAAAATTTGAAATTCCATGATCAATTCTCAGTTTAGTGAAAAATCCAGGAGTTTGCTTTGTAAAATTGTCCAAATTGACTATATTTTGCAATTTGGTTTTCAAATCAATACCGTTCATAACGTCTCATTATGACTTTACCAGAACAAGCTAGTTCAAAATGTATAAAGTTATTGAGCCTTTATATAAACATAGAATGTGACGGCAGATAAGAACCATTCGGCCCATCTAGTCTGCTCAACTTTCTAAATACTTTCATTAGTCCCTGGCCTTATCTTAGTTGGGATAGCCTTATGCCTATCCCACGCATGCTTAAACTTCTTTACTGTGTTAACATCTACCATTTCAGCTGGAAGGCTATTCCATGCATCCACTACCCTCTCAGTAAAGTAATATTATTAGAGGTGTATGCGGTATACAGAAGTAGTACCCCATAATCATTCAAAGGGTTTGAGAAAACAGCTGTGTACCCCTAGCCCTTGTGGAGCTGTGGAATATCTAAAATTATGGGAATTCCAGCTCTTGGCAATGTAAGTGCACATGTACCCTCTATAAGAAACAGGGATTGTTCACTAATTCGACAAACCCGCAAACTGAGCTATGAAAAGTGTCATTCTGAATGCTGCTATAGTGACAGTGCACTCATACATTATTATTGTTGTTGTTGTAACAGTTCGATGGTAGTTAATAGATACCTGCAAAGTAAGTAAACACCTTACCTCCTCCTCCCTGTGCCACCTATATTTTCAATGATTACACAGGTGGGAGACCTCAAGAGGTTTCTTTGACCCACTTCCTTCTTGTATAATGTGGTAAATAAGAGACATGGAGGAACAATCTACTAATGATTCCCAGAACAGTATTTAGTGTATTGGGAACACTCCCAGCTGAGAGGAATTTCCCTTCAGTAAACAACACATTTTGATGAATTGAAATCCAAACTGAAAAATTCAACAGCTCAGCTATGTTCTCCTCTATAGTTAAATAGTCAATTTTAGTCTAAAATGTTTAAATTCTGTTTTGATGTGATTCTCAACAGCATGGTGACCGTTAAAATAACACTCAGAGTCAGGTAGCTGGTTAAGTAAATGTAAAATAAGCCACACTATGGGAGTTCCGTTTTCTGGGAATACAGTGTGTGTGTGTAACCATGTTTAATAGAGTAGGATTTGGATTGTGTAAGAAAGCATCAGGGTTTTGACTTCCTTCTCCGGGTGACTAATAAGATTTACAAGGTGAGACATCTCCCTGCACTGCGGCTGTCAGTCTCAGGCAGAGAGTCTATAAGCAGTCACTTCATTCATATCCAACAACTTCCCAAGTAAAACTGCTACAACCTAAGCTCATTGAGCAGGGCCCTCAACCCCTCTGTTCCTGTGTGTCCAATTTATCTGATTACAATTACATGTTTGTTCGTCCACGCACTGTAAAGCGCTGCGGAATTTGTTGGCGCTATATAAATAACATAACCTGTCTGCGTGTTCCCCTTGAGTATATATCTTGTTTTAAAAATTAGTCCCTTTCAGTTGATGTTTTCCCACAGCTCTACCTAATGTTAATTCCCCACCTCCCCCGAGGAAAAATTTAAGAAAAAAGTAGGAATGAACAGGTTCTGTTTGTAGAAGGCATGTAAACAGCTGGACTATTTATAAACTCACAGCTTGTTACTATCACTTCCTTTACCAGTAGTAAACACTGAGAATCCTGCACACAGTTATAAATACACCCTACTGTATATAAACACAACACACGTTGATATCTGACCATCTAAAGTCCTTAACCAACAAGGATTTCTGAATGCCAAGTTACCCTGCTCAAACAAACAAACAATGTGCTAATGGCTATTTTAAAAGTGTGTTTTTGTTTACTTATCAGTGAAGACTCATGGAACCAAAGATCCCTAACAAAAGTAGAGGCTGTTTTCTTACTGCATCTAAATGGATATACTTTCAGGAATTGTGACTGTACATGAGACATCAGGAGATATTCATTACACAGTGAATTGTGGTCAATTCTAAACAAAATCAAACCAGGTCTAAACATTGAAGCTGTAAAAAGTCTACTTTGATTTATTTTCAATTTACTTTAATTTGCACAGTCCGCTTTCTTTATTTGGCTAAATATTAAATGGAAACAAAATACTGAAGGCAAGTCGGTCAACATAGGTTTCTGCTCAGGAGTCCTAGATAAGCCCAGTTCAATCTGCTTATCACAGAAGCATGATTAAGTACTGTCATGAAAGGTACACAGAGCATACTGGCCAAGAGCTCCAATGTAGGAGTGACAGTCCCTATTTTGGTCTCATAATGTCCTGCCTTTCTGGGAGCTCCATATTGTTGGTGTGCCTGACTCTATAACAGAGCTCCACAGCAATCATTAGCACTGTAATGTGTCTTTAAACTACAATAACTTTGATTAGAAATAAGAACTAAAGGGGTCTAAAGATGCTGTTAGTTGGGGTGACGACAACGTGCAAACAGGTGCCACCTTCCTGCTACTTCAGTTATAAATAAAATGGATTGAAATATAACAATAAATATAGGTTTTCAAACATGCATTTTTTTTTACAATTATAAAAGGTCTTTCATTCTCTGTTTAAAATTAGTTGAGGGTTCACTTTGACATGAGCATTGGGTTTAGGTAAAAATAGATAGATTTAAAAAAAAGAAAGAAAAAAATACTGCTGTGCATCACCTACAGATCTTAAGTTTGATTTTGTAAAGCTTGGGCAAATGTAGTTTTTCGAATTGCACTGTGGGGACTTTTATTGTTTTTGGAGTCGCCACAATCCTCTTGTCACCTAATATATATATATATATATATATATATATATATATATATATATAAAATCTTCTGATTGCACTTGAATGTAAAAGAAATGCCAATGCAGTCTTATATACAAGTTGTTTTATAAAGTTTCTATATTTTTGGGAAGATTGACAGTGATGGTGCTACATAAGACTTGGAGTTTAAACACAATGCACATGGTTAATGTTTTTACATATTTTTTGTGCTAACTCCAGCATACATGCAGATTACAACAACCAGTGGATCATCTATATCACCTGGAGTCTTTCCTATTTTACAATGGAAAAATATAACATGTGGATACTTGGTTTCATGCAGAATATATATATATATATATATATACACACACAAACCTCATGGCTGGATGCATCATTTTATAAGCATCACTAATTAAGGAGGCGTTAACACGCACCATGCAGACAACGCTAACTAGGATCATAAATAAAAATCACACATTAGAATAGGATTTGCTTCCTTAAATTTGGCATACAGAAGCAGCACTTTGGAAATCCTATAACCAGAAAAACCAACCCCTTCCTCCCTACTGAGAAAAAAAAAATCCTCAGCTCAGACCAGTCCCCCTCCCACTGTCTAAATGGGCTTATGCAACCCTTAGAGCCCACACACAGCCTGAGAATGCTCCACAAGCCACAGACACATCACATTCTATGAGCTGAGCTCTCCTGGAACTGGCCAAGATCTCACCCTCCCCCCCAAAACAGTGATCACCTCTTCTACCCCTCCCCCTTAAATATAAAGCCTCTCAGCTCTCCCATGGGGACAAGGCACAATGCAACACATACGTCTGGCCCCTTCCCCCAACTGCAATGGATCAACTCTTTATCTTATAACATAGACACATGCTCCACCCTTTCCCTGGGGCCATGGCTGAGGAATGAAACCTCATTCAAACAGCCCCATCACAGTCACAGCTAAGGCTTGTGTAATGTTCATTACTGTCAGACTGCCTTGCCCTTAACACAATTTCAGTGCCACAGGCAGGGAAGTGGATGACAATACAATGCTTTTTTCTTAACTCTCTTAGCACTCAATAGGTCTGCACTGCCCTATTGTTTATTTGCTCCATCAGAATCTAATCCACCAATCACACAGATTATTCAGATATCCTCCCAGAAAAATAATTAACATACCATCTGCTTAATTAATCGGTGATAAAGTCTAAAGACACACATGGCCTCAATGATTGAATCTTCAGTCAAGTGTCAAAGGTTTTGTTTCTTGTAATTCACTATACAAAGGGTAATTATAGCGCTTAGTTAACTGCTAAGATACCAATCCTACCTTAGTCAGTCTGCATTGTATTAATGTGAGCAATGTGTGCTGGATATAGGGTTTCCATATCCAGTGTTTACAGCATATAATCGCATACTCATTATAGGGCAGTACTTATCATGTACTGCTCAACCTGATGTCATAGTTGCAAGACACAAGTGCACTAGCTTTGCAGCACAATGGGTTTTGCTTATTGCAGGGAGCACTTTTCCTGTGCTGTGATTTAACATGAAGTATGTTCAGTAAAAAAATGGCAATTTCAAGCAGAGGTTTGGACTAATACAGTACAGAATGACCCACGGCTACTGCAGTGTTGTGATATCAACCATTTTAAGGGGCATATATAAATTCTACATATCCAGCCAGTATTCAGAAACAATCGGAGAGAAGGAAAGCTCTGACCTTTGGGATTCCCCTTGATAACATTTTTTTTTTTTTTTTAGCTGACATAGATTCACAGTCAATATTTTTAGGCTTGTGTAAAAGAACACGAGTAGAACTATTTTACAAGGGTGTCATTATACTTTCTGGTTTCCTGTTCTCTTACTCTGGCATTTCCTGCAGACTACAGAACCACGACTGACCTTGGGTTAGGGAACCTAAAGTATCTAAAGTAATTTGAGAAAGATACCGTGTCCTGACATGAAATATAGCTTTCAGGTTAAAGGTGCTAAAGTATGGAAATGATGGAAATAAGGCAAATGTAACAAAAGGTTGTCCTGTACCTTCCAGGTAGTGTTTCCCCAGGCGCACGTCACATATGACATGTAAGTTCCATATACTGCATGATTCCTTGGCACCATAACTACTACAGCATACTGTAGCAATTATGGTGGCAGGAGTCCCTAGGCACCAGCCACTGGTAATCTGTCAGACAGTTTATGAATGGTTTGGCACGTGCCTTGTTGTGTCCAACACCAGTGGCCTTTCCAGCCTGATAAAGTGATACTTCCACATTATCATAACAACTCATAAAAGATGTATACAGTATTCACTGTGTGGGAGCCATCGGCAAAAACTCTCAGCCAATGTATACTGATATTTGATATATAACAATATAACATATATATATATATATACACACACACACACACAATAATAATTTGCGATTGTTATAGCGCCTTTCTCCCTGTGAGACTTAAAGCACTTATAGAACACCTTTATCAGAGCAACTCAGACGGCATGTGCCAATCGGATCGTAAACTGTTTAATAGACATTATGTAGTGGTTCTCTGCTCAGAGAGTCTCTTTAATGACTATTTTAATTGCACGTACTATAGTGCAGAACACAACAATTGCAGCCCATCCATACTTACAGCATATGTGAAATGTGTCCAGGAAGCCATGATGGATTGTACAACACTATTTAGAGATGTATACAGTCTAACTAGCAGCTAATTATTTACTCAATAATAAACAAACAAAACATAAACATGGAAGTTCTTTTTTAAGTTTTGTAGATCTGTCTGAATAGGACTGATTCTAGCCTGAAGATAGTAAACTGTATCCCCTTCAGGGATAAAAACACCTATGTTTTGCAACACTTAATATATTATATACATTAAAGACACTTTAAACAATTTAGACAATTTACGTAAGAAAACAATGGCTGAATTAGGTGGTTTTTATTGCAATACTGAAAAATCATCTGAACTTAGTAAGTAAGTCAAATATAGTTGCTTGCAATTAGTACGAAGTTGCAGTTTTGCATATCCTCCTGTCTAAGATTTACGTTACATTTGTGTTAAATGAACGGACTCTAATGTACAAAGCACCACTATTTTACCAGAGAGACCAATTTAAAGCAGAATTACCTCTGGTAGTCTAGGCACCATTTAGAAAGTAAATCCAAATACCGTTGTCCTTTATATAATAGGCACGGTGGATTGTGGTTTGGGACATCGACTACACAAAAGCCTGTACCTACACATAAGACTTGTATGTCTAATAGTTTACCAGTATTTCACAATGTGCAAAAATATATAGGCAGTTCCTTTGCGATCATTTTAAAAAGATGGTAACATTTAAATAATGGCACTTAGTTGAGCATCTCGTGTCAAATTAATCAGTGGGAGGTTTTCACTAAGCTGAGAATTGCAAATTTCAGCCTGTGCTAGCTGAACTAGATCAGTTATCCAACTACACTTTCCAGATATTTTGTCCATTCTTGTTTTAATAAATACACTCCCAATGTGTTAGCCAAAAAAAAAATGTAATGGACCATAGTTTAGATTTGACATTGCTGTGCCAAGGGAAATCAATAACTGGTGGCATGCATGCCAACTTCCATATGAGCAAAGGATCAAGTTTGTAGCCTATAATGTACCAATACTAGCTTCTGGTTAACAAACCGCCCTTGCACAATTAATCAATTCATGATCAGATCACTAGGCATGTATAGGTTGTGACATCTCTGGTCTGCAAAACTGTTAGAAGTAATTTGTATAAAGTGCTATTTCATAACAAGAGCTCATTTTGGTGTTTTGATAGAATATATAAGTATAAAAGGAACACCTCCCATCTTAATATGACCGACATTCATATGCTCTGAGTTTGGGAATTTAAAGGGGCACTATAAGCATCAGAAATACTACACTGCACTGTAGTGGTTAAGGTGCAAGCAGTCCCCGGGCAACTGTAGGTCTGTCTGGACTCACTTCACTGATATTACTAAAGTGATAACTCCATGAGCCATATCAATTCTGTCTGTCTGTGGAGGAACCTCATTGCCTGTTATTTTAAACATACTGGGGAGACCCAGGTAAGTGAGAAATCATTTGAAAATGGTTTTACTATAAACAGTGGGACAGTGCCAGGAAACTCCTGGCACACTATACAGTGCACTATACTGCTTAGAGTGCCCCTTTAAGAGACATATTTGGGAGGTGGGCAGTAAAGTTTCCAACGATACAATTAATATTTCATCAAAGGAAGTTTAACAGTCTAGCAATAAAAAGTCAAAAAGGTAAATATTTTAAAACCAGGGCCTTTCAAACACTTTCCATACAGCCATTTTGCCACCAATGGTTCTTGTTACACCCACAGTGCAGGTAAATGCCTAACATTTAAATGATTCATATGTGGATAACACACATAATTATTATATTCTCTGTGTCATATTTTGATTTTCAGAGGGTTTATATAAATTATAACACTTTGTCCAAATGCTGATAAAACATTGTAAAACTCAGAATGTCCATAATCTCTTTTCCAATTGCCTTCTCATTCTATCCTATACTTTTAAAATCATATAGAAGTGTGGTTTTTTTGAGACAGCATTTTTAAGTGGTGCAAAAAATAAAAAAAACTCAGAAAAATAAGGTGTTTATCAGTGTGTCCAAATCATCCATAACATAATGAGTTCAACAGAAGACACGTTTTGAGAACTATTATTAAAAATTGCTTAAAACTTAAAACGCAACATAAAGAAAGGTGTTTACGCTTGATTACATTTTTAAATGAATCTCTTTCATCTCACTGAAAGCAGCACAGAATTCCATAAATAAAGATTAAGAAGGGTAGTGCATGATATTTCTGGTTAAGCTCAGTTTAGTTCATGACAATTCTATATTAAACGTTGCACTAAATGGCACTGAGAGTGAAAAAAAATAAACAATGAATAGGGTAAACATATTTTAACATATTAAGGGAATTTTGCTGAATTCAGGCTAAATCTCTATCAAAATTGCCTACCTCAGCTATTTTTGAGTAAATGTTGCAATACCATTGTTAATTCACTACAAGTCACTGTTCAGCTAATAAACACCATTATAGGTGTGTATGAATCCAATGGACAAAATGCAATACTGACTTAGTTACCAGACTCTTGCACTGGTATCATCAGTATTTGGAATATATACAGTTTTTTTTTTTAATCAACACACAAGAACATGTAAGATGGAATGCTGAGATCAGGAGAGTCAGATACACAAAACAACAAGCAATAAACACAGAATCATAATACCATCAGACCACTGTCTGAAAAAAACACATAAAACAGTTTCAGTAGTTTTTACACAAGTCCAAATCACATATTAACACATGAGTTCAATTCACAAATCTCACCCAAATTAATAATCTCTTACTTAAAAGTGGTATGCACTGGTACCATTCCACATCGACAGTACAAATGTAGATGTCACTTCCAGGAATTCTAATTTTAGAGCCAAATCCATCAGGTTCAGACTGGATCTTCATTTTCATTCCCAGGGTCGTTCAAATCCTTAAAATATTTTTATCTACACTATAATTTTTTCAACCACACTTAAATGTAGGAAGTGTGGTTTTTAGAGTTAAATGGCCCAGCCAAAAAAAAGAACATAAAATTCATGTAGTGGAAATTGTTGTGGAGTGTCTGGTTCTTGGGAGATTTTTTTCTACAAGCCGGATGCACATGTCATGAAATCCATATGACTTCCAAGAATGAGAATCATCTTCTACTGAGAAGCCTGCTGGACATGTACAGCAAAACCATGCCACGTTCTATTTAAAGTGCCTGCACAAAGTATGATCTGGCTCCTGTGGATACTGAATCTCAGGGTGTTACTTCCCATTAGAAAAAAGGAGCAGGTCAAGAGTGATATATATATATATCATATGTAAACAAAGTGATATGATCCAGCCCCTTAAATACCAGCATGTTAACCGATATACTGTGTGTGGGTGTACAGAGCATTCTCTATGTACATAATGCTCAACAGGCTGGGACTCTAATGCTCTCAGTAACCCATGGCAGTGGCTACGAGCCATAGGACAGACATGAAAAGAAATGATCCTTATTCACTGCAATGCCAATTCACAGCAAGTCATCCAGCGTTCTAGTGACACCACTCAAAGTCTTGGATGAGGAAAAGCCTTTAAGTCACAATGTAAAAAACAGGATGAGTACTACCAATAGTAGTGCCAGCAGGATAATGATAGCACACCACTGCCGTCGATCTGCAAAGGACACATTGACAATGGTTACATTTCACAGAAGCACACAATGCAATCTACATATAATAAAAGGCATAGTTATCAGAATTACAAATTAACAGATCCCTCACAGACCTGGGTTTATGAATTACTCTAGTTTACATAAACCTGATCAATGTCAATACAATTCAGCCACACATGGTCTACATTGCTGTGAAAGGGGGAACTATGTAGGTTTATGAAAGTGAAGTGTAAAATACCTTGAGAATAGCAAATGCCTTAGTACCTGCAATAAAGGTTCTCTCTCTAAAGCTCTCTAAAGGAAAATCAGTTAAAAAATCTAGCATGAAAATTATTTACAAAAAACTCAATAAAAAACATGTGGTTTTTTTTGACAATCAATTCAAAGAAAAAAACAATGAGGATGAACTATGGTGTAATGGGGAATTAGGCACAACTGATACAAATTATCACTGTTTAACATTTGTAAAGAAGATCAAGGTGATCAGTTCATACTCCTCAAAATAAATTTGGTGATTTCCCAGTGAGTCCCCAAAAGTATGCACCTGTTATTCAGGAAGCACATCACAGGAAGAAATAAGTAGTGAGGGAAGGAAGGAAGTGGAACCTTCAGATTCAGCAGTAGAGGTTACACTATTTAGGGAACTCTTGTTCCAGGTCTGATGATGACGCCGCAATGACACTGCCAAAAGTGAAGCTATTCTGGCAGCAGATATATTATTATTATGCCATTTATATAGCGCCATCAAATTCCGCAGCGCTTTACAATGGGTGGACGAACAGACATGTAGTTGTAACCAGACAAGTTGGACACACAGGAACAGAGGGGTTGAGGGCCCTGCTCAATGAGCTTGCATGCTAGAGGGAGTGGGGTAAAGTGACACAAAAAGGTAAGGATAGTGTTAGACTAGTGACAGTTGCAGAAGAGGAATCAGTCAGGAACTATTAACAGTTTAATTGATACGCTTTTATGAAGAAGTGTGTTTTTAACGATTTTTTGAAGGAGTGGAGACTGGGTGAGCATTTAACGGAGGAGGGAAGCGAGTTCCACAGGAACGGTGCAGCCCTCGAGAAATCTTGAAGGCGAGCATCAAAGGTGGGAGTACGGACAGAAGATAGACGTAAGTCTTCAGCAGATCGTAAGGGCCTAGACAGGACATACTTGTGTATAATGGAGGATAGATAGGTGGGAGTAGCATTATGTAGAGATTTGAAAGCAAGAACCAGAATTTTAAATTATCTTATAGTAAGCCAATGGAGAGACTGACAGAAGGGTGAGGCGTGGGAGGTGCGGGCAGACAGAACTCTGCAAGTGCTGCATTTCACATGAAACACTTGCACATACAGATTTCAAATCTGTGAAGTGATCATAGTGCTTGGAGTAACGCTTTAACCAACTAGAATATTGTGCTTACATTATTTTTGTAAGGAAAAGTATATGGTGTGCATCACTTCTAATTAATAATAATCGGTAGTTAAAGGGCCATGCTAAGCATTGTATACACTTCATCTAATTGAACTGGATAAAGTATCGAGATTAAAATGAGAGTCCCTGGCAGCCAGTCCCCTCTGTGCTGCACAGGCTAATGGAGGAACATTGGCCTGAGTAGCAATGGGCAGAGTGATTGGCTGAGAGAGTGAGCTGACTGAGTATCACAACTGCCCATTGCTGGTACGAATTGGTATGGCTAAAGAACAGCGTAATCTCTGCCATAGCCATACCTCCTGTGGGTGCAAGGGACAACCATTTAGTGATAACAAATCTGAAAATGTTAACATTGACTCCAGAGACAGAACTAGTGGACTCAACACACTATAAACAAATTCGATTAGAGGTCTAGAGTGTCCTTTAGAGAGAGAGAAAATGTCTATAAAATGTCTAAACTTAATAAAAGTGTTTCTGCATTTGCACAAGTGTGCATGGGGCTGATGCTGGACAGCTTCTTTGAAATTACAATGGAAAAAAGAAGGAATGTGGAATGCCTTGTATTTCTTGCAGGACAACTGGATAAGTGACCCATCACACTATTATCTCCAACAGCAACATGCTTTTCATATTCTCTAAGGAAATTAGTGTGTTGCCCTTTAAACGGCAGTTTGATAACGTTAGGATACTTAACAGCAATGCAGATGCCAATGTGCTGAACGGAGACAAAACATCAACCATGGCACAATAATTATGGTGAAACTGAAAAGCCATCTACAGGAGTCTGGTTTTGGGTAAAAGAAATATCAAAACACAGCTGTATGCAATTAATACATACATATAGCTAAGACAATGGATGTGCACAGTAAGTTCAAAGGTATCATACAATGGGATGCTGCATTAAGCATTTGGTGGCAGGATAGTGCATGCACATCAACTGTGGTAGCCATCCTATTTAAGTATCAATTTTAATTAATACATTTATTCGAAACCGGACAAAGCATAGACACAAATGGACAGACAATTAAATTAGCTCTTTTGGTCTGACAGCTTCCTTTCAATTCTCAGAGCTTCACTCTGCAGTGTATTCTCAGTAGGAATTACTCTACTGAGAAAGACATTTTCACATTCAGACAAAAAAACAAAAAACAAAAAAAAAACAACCTTTTTGTATTATAGCTGCAAATGTGTGAAAGGAAAAACTACTTGAATACACACACAGAAGCATATTTGAGTGACTTCATTCTGCACAACATATTGGAACGAAAAAATAAAAAAATCTGCCTGGCCAACAGACTAATAGGGGAATATACTGGCTATAATATATAAGCAATGTCAGCAGTAAAAAAAAAAAAAAAAAAAAAAATCTCCTTCTGCTAAGTTTATGGCCTATTCGATACATCACAAGGTAAAAACCATATAGGCTAGACGTGGTATTACAATGATATGGCATTTCTACCTTTCTTTATGCAATTCATAGTGAGAATTTACACCTGTATGCCAACTATTGACAGAGTTAAATAAACGTATTTTCCTTTGTCACCTTGAAAAGGCAGATGCACTGATAAACCACATTTCCCTCTTGACACGTTCCCTGCGGCACAATGCAAGCACCACTAGAACCTTCATTATAGTCCTACTCACCACTCGTCATGTGGGAAACCTTGGCTAGTTTCTTTAAGACATTATCCATTCGAGACTGAGCTGTATCTATTTCATGGGAAAAGTCATCCAGCATCCTAGGGGAAGAAAAGGTAGGCTTCTTGCAAACTATATACTTGAATCTCAGTAAAGGATACAATTTTATTAAATATATGCTCCAGTGAAGAGTAAACAACATGGGAGAAAGAAACGTACTAGAAAATTGTGACCCAAATCTAAGTAATGCATAATTATCAATATAAAATGTACCCTGGCAATTTGATATAGGTTGCATTTAGTGCTGGGTCTGCAAAACAATCCATCAACCACCAATGAGAGGAAGGTTTTACTTGACCTCTGCTTCTAAAGAAACTGAAGAGAGCCCCCAATCTGTATAAATATTTTCAAGTGGAAATTTAGAGTTTTAATTGTGTACTTTTCTAGGACACTCACACTGCTTGTTCATCCAACTCATTCCCAATCCGCTGCGACATATTCTTCAAGACACCGATGCTCCCAGATACCAACTCCAGATCATCATCCTGCTGATCCATAATAAGCTAAAAGAAGGTGTAATAGAAAAGGTATTCAAATACCCAGTATAGAATGACTTGATTATGCAATTGCCTGCAGGAACAGATGGTCCAGACCTCTCCCAAACATTTCCTCAGGTAAGCAATGGAGTAGGTTATGACAAAAATAAAATTTAGAGTGCTGGAGTATGGAATGCAGAACAAGTCAACAACACAGCATGTATGCTTTGCACAGCAACACTTTAAAAGGAATCTTTTTCTGAATAAATGTTTTTTCCACATCTATTGATCTGATCACTGTCCATTTCCCCTAAAATTACTTGACTTGTTTCCAGCACCGAGGCTCCTCCACTGCAACCCCCAGCTCTGCCACCATCAATGTCAGCATACCTACCAACGTCACCAATTATCTTATCCCATCCAATGTTTCTCATCTTTATAGAATGACAATGTTTTACACTAAAGGGTTAAAGTATCACTGCACCCACACCTATTCATTGAGCTGAAATGGTCTGGGTGACTTTAGGGTCTTTTAAAAGGGGGATGTATGCCTAAAAGACAGTCCCAGCTAATTGCAGGTCTAAAAAGCTTGCCGATAAACCCATTACCATTTTAACATTAACACTTGGAACTTTTATTAGAACAATTATATGGCCCAAATGTAAAACAAACAGCAGGAACATTCCATCATTTCTGTGGTGACCGTTCAATTTTCAGAACTTTGCCCCAGAATAAATATTCTCTGGTGTCTTAACATCTTACCTGCTGCTGCGAAACTTGACCTTCCAAAAACTGTGAATTTACCGTCTGAAGGTCATTATCTAAACCCTTGTATTTCTTGGTTTCTGGGTTCCAGCCCTGCTTTGACCCTTCTCCCAGGAGCACCTGAAATACAAAATTACTTTTAGTAAGCCAGAAGTCAAAATTTAAGGAAACTTGATTTGTCTGTCTGGAACTATATGGTTTATAAGCTCATCTACTGTAACTTATAATAACAGTACCAATGATCATCATTAAATTATTATATGTAAATAGGAATCCCCTTTCCTCAAGGCCATAGGACGATGCAGAGTTAGCCATTAAATTGTGCCAGGAATGAGAGGGTGAGTAAACTATGTAAAAAGGATCTTTTAGCTGCAGAAAGGGTTGACATTACACTAAAGCAAATCTATAAGTTTGCCTGCAACGGAGACCTGGCAAAGTGAACCCAGTCTTTCATATTTCAGAGGTCCAAAAATGAACATTGTTAAGTTGGGTATTAATTACATCTAGAACCCAGAACATACATAGAAAGAGGGTTATTCACTAAAGTGAGATTTCCAAGTGATGTTCAGAGTAGCTGAAGTGAAAGCAAAGCTAACTTAGTTAATTTTTCCAGTTCATCTATTTTGACCCTAAATTTGATTTTCACATTAAATACAATGATACTATCATCTGCCAAAATACCAAAGACATAAAAAATATTTCAAGAAGAAAAAAAAAAAAAAAAATCTTATTGTTTAATGTCTCTATAGATTTTACATTACATACAGTGTTAGTTCACTGGTTCGGAATTCAGAGTCAGACAACTGTAACTCGAAACCACAGCAAGTGAACACTCAGCTCCTGTTAGAATGGTGACCCTTGGAAAATCACCTAGGAGACTAAAACGTCAGCGAAGCAAACAATACAAATGCTGCGCCTCTTTACCTGCCGGCTTTTTTTCTCAGCCAAAGCTTGTACAGACGGACTGGTCATCTGATCCTTCATTCCCTACATGGAAGAAAAAGTTATATAAATCAATCACTGTTTGAAAGCAACAATAATCTACAATTAGTGTTAAATACAAAAACAAAAAAACAAAAAGAATGTAAAAGGTCTGCTTGGTCGGATTCATGATGCAGATTACAATTTTACGCTACAAAGAATGATGTGACAACTCAACCTTTTTAAAAAAAATTAATTTATTGACTTAAGCTAGTCATACAAGTATGAGTTTGCATTGATACATTATCCAAAATGTTTATTTTTCATTGAAGCACATTCTTAACTTAATTCTGTTAAGGTACCTTTTACATTTCTAAATAGAAGACTCGCCAATAGAGAATATTTTGTCCCATCATCTACGGTGATGGCTAACCATTGTGCACTCTGACACTCCAGCTGTTCTTGACCACATTTTCCAAATACTAAGCCTGGGTGTTAAATGTTAGCCATCACTGCTTTGCTCATTAAAGCATATTTCCAGTTTGGCTATTCTGACTTTAGATTTAAAATTCACTTTAAATTCTCACTTTAGTAAGTAACCACGTATTGAAGTTTTTACAGTTCCACTTTAATACCCATCTGAAGCGGTCCATGTCACCCACATATGTTTCTGGGTGACAGTCACTTTAAAAGTAAGTAAAGGTCATTCTTTTGACTTAAATGAAATATTTCAATTTTCTCACAAGTAAATTGTTAACAGCACAGATACCATGTAAACACTACTCACCTTTACACACTGCCGTGTTTCACTAATAAAAGCTTTTCTTTGCCTCATCTCAGCTGGATCCAGACTGAACTTGCGAGGATTAGACTCCACAATACATGAATAGATGTTAAGGAAACAGTTCATACAACCCAGAAATAATTTTGAATTTCAAGGTCCTTGCAGTTAATTTTTATTTACTTTTGAATTGTGGCCAGATACACAAAATGCAGCATTTTCTGAAGATGCTCTGAGTAACAGTTTTTTCAGAGCCTTATCTAAACACTCCAACTATCCAACTATATGGAGAGTTCTGCTGGAAAAACAATAACTTGACAAAAATCAGGGGTACCAGCACACAAACTCTTAACTATCGAATTATCCACCCAACCTTGAGGTGTCCATATGATTTACGGAATGTGTTTGAGGTTCCTTGGAGTAACTTAGTGCTTATGGTGCTCAGATTATACATTTAATGAATGAGCAACTACACAAGTAAGGTTTGGTATAATGTGTCTACAGGAATGCTTTAACAGATCTCTCTAACAGGATATTATTGGTACAAATACACGGGACACTACACAGATTCTGTCGGCTCTGTCCCAATTAGATACAAGTATTGTGACGCAAAAAGGTCTGTTAAACAGGCTTAGATTGACATTTTTATGAAATGCTCTATTATCAATTATATTATATTAATGTATTAAAATGTACTTGGGTTCCACTAAAATTATTTTATGTCTTATGAAGTTGAGCCAATAAAACAAGACATTTACTTGGCATCATAATTTGATCTTGAAGGAAGACACTCTATTGAAAGGATAATAATAGTTTCATCCAAGTCCTCCAGGTCCCACTCGATGCTCCTCAAGTTGTTGCGTAGTTCGTTGGTAGTCCAATCCAACTCTTCTCGGGTGGCAGTTGAAGGATCTTGGAGGAGGTCCGTCCATCGCTGAAATAACCCTTGTGCTGTGTTTACAGCTTTCTGTACTTCACTGTAGGTAGAAGACACAAGATCCAAATGTAAACAACGCTCAATTCCTGACGATGTATTTATGCTCAGAACAGAGGTGAGACAATAGAAAGCTCAGGACTACATGGTACAGGTATGCTAACCCCTTATGTGTACCACCAACATTCAAGCAAAGTCAGAAAATATTGTATATAAAAACACGATTTAAAACGAGTAACTCCTGATCTAAACACTACTATCTCTGTTTTAAATGCAAATACTACCCTTCAAGAAACATACAGTCAGAGCAAATTAGAACCGATTGTTTTATCACATCCCTTCACAAGCTGTTTTGCATGAATAAATATTGTTTAATAAAAACAATTCCTTAGATGCATAACTTATTTAAAATCATTTTAAATGGTCACTCAGAGCACCATAACTACCTATGCTCAATGCATAGGCCCCGGTGTCAGTCACATGAATATAAATATATTCAAATAATGTATATAATACTAGAAAAGCTACAATTTCTGGGGAAATTGAGTGAAGTTTTCTTGCCTCCACCAGTAATCTACAACTGGAGTGGGCGGAGTAACTTATTTATTTATATAACACATTTAACCCCTTAAGGACGGAGCCAAATGTACACGTTGTGAACAAAACAAAATGTAAACAAAACCTGGCATTTGCGCTACATGTCTGTCCAACCGTAATACACCTCTTTCATAGTAAATGCACCCACCCTTATTATATATCATTTTATTCAGGGGAAACAGGGCTTTCATTTAATATCAAATATTTAGCTATGAAACATAATTTAATATGAAAAAAATGGGAGAAAATACGATTTTATTGGATTTTTTTAGTTCTACATGACAATTAAACGGTCAGTGTCATAATACTGTTTGCTTTTACTGCAATAAAATACACATATTTGTATTCAGCAAAGTCTCACGTGTAAAACAGTACCCCCTATGTACAGGTTTTATGGCGTTTTGGGAAGTTACAGGGTCAAATATAGCACGTTACATTTGAAATTGAAATTAGCCAGATTGGTTACGTTGCCTTTGGGACTTTATAGTAGCCCAGGAATGAAATTTACACCCATAATGGCATACCATTTGCAATAGTAGACAACCCAAGGTATTGCAAATGGGGTATGTCCAGTCTTTTTTAGTAGCCATTTGGTCACAAACACTGGCCAAAGTTAGCGTTAGTATTTGTTTGTGTGAAAAATGCAAAAACCGCCAATTTTGGCCAGTGTTTGTGACTAAGTGGCTACTAAAAAAGACTGGACATACCCTGTTTGCAATACCTTGGGTTGTCTACTATTGCAAATGGTATGCCATCATAGGGGTAATTTTCATTCTTGGGCTACCATGGGGTCTCAAAGGCAACGTAACCAATCTGGCGAATTTTAATGTGAAAAAAATGAAACGCAAGCCTTATATTTGACGCTGTAACTTTTGAAAACACCATAAAACCTGTACATGAGGGGTACTGTTGTACTCGGGAGACTTCACTGAACACAAATATTTGTGTTTCAAAACAGTAAAAGTATCATAGCAATAATATTGTCCGTTTAATGCTGTTTGTGCGTGAAAAATGCAAAAAACGTCACTTTTACTGGCGATATCATCGTTGTAATACATTTTACTGTTTTGAAACACTAATATTTGTGTTCAGCTAAGTCTCCCGAGTAGAACAGTACCCCCCCATGTACAGGTTTTATGGTGTCTTGGAAAGTTATAGGGTTAAATATAGTGCTAACAAATTAAATTCCCTTTACTTTCGGCATGGGTTGTCAGGCAGGTCCCGCTAATTGTAATTAATTAAGATACCTAATTATGTAAAAATATTACATAAATATATATGTAGAATCAATATATGTATATATATACGTATGTGTATATATATATGTATATATCTATATAATTTTTAAAAAATATTTTTATTTATATATAGGTATATATATAGTGATATATACGTATATATTTATGTGTATAAATATATATATTATTTCGTTCTATGTGTATTTTTATATATATATATATATATTAATTTCACAATACAGTTAGAACGAAATAACACACATCTATATATTTTTTAATTATTTATTTTTAATTATTTTTGTAATTTTATTTTTTAGCGTATTTACATTTTAATTTTTTTTATAATATATATAAATATATATATAACAATAATTATATATATATTTAATCAGTATCAGTGTACGTGTAATTTGATATTAATATATATATATAATTATATATATATTAATAGTAAAATACACCTAGACAGTGTACATGTGTGTATGTATATGTGTATATATATACTTTGATCATATATATATAATATATATATATGATCTAAGTATATAATATTTATTTTTTTACACTATTTATTTATTTCATTTTTATTTTCAGCCAGCAGGGGGACCACCTGTCATTACAGGCAGCCCCCCTGCTGGCAATACAGAAGCCAGCTATCCCCGGCCATGTGATTGTGGGGTCCTCGCTTGGACCCCACTCTCACACGGCCGGGGGGCTTCCTGGAGGACGGTCGTGCCGCGGGGGGCTCCCTGGGAGTCCCCCCCACCGCGATCGCCGGCGTGGGACCGCCGGCGACCGGGTAAGTACAGAAAGACCGGAGGGCGTACTATTACGCCCGGCGGCGTTTAGAGCCGCCTATTAGAGGACGTAATAGTACGCCCTCCGGTCTTAAGGGGTTAATTGCAACGTTGTTGCCCAAAGTGCTTCACAGTTACATTAAACCATACATTTATAAAAACATTAGCAGGTGTACAAAAGGCCCTGTCTATGACATCACTTGCTGCTGCAGCCTGGCACAGGTCAGAGTATTTTGGCAGTTGCCATCTTCAAACGGTCATATTTTAAAAACTATAAATCCTACAGTGAAGAGCTTTATATTGTGAGAATCACAAGACCCAGACCTACATTTTGATGCATAGTATGTCTCTGAAATATTACAGGACCACTATAGTGCCAGGAAAACATACTCGTTTTCCTGGCACTATAGTGCCATAAGGGTGCCCCCACCCTCAGGGACCCCCTCCCGCCAACTGGATGGAGAGGAAGGGGTTAAACTTACCTCTTTTTCCAGCACTGGGCGGGGAGCTCTCCTCCTCCTCTTTGGCTGAATGCGCATGCGCGGCAGGAGCTGCGCGCGCATTCAGCCAGTCCATAGGAAAGCATTCACAATGCTTTCCTATGGACGCTGGCGTCCTCTCACTGTGATTTTCACAGTGAGAAACGCGGAAGCCCTCTAGCGGTTGTCAATGAGACAGCCACTAGAGGCTGGATTAACCCATTTATAAACATAGCAGTTTCTCTGAAACTGCTATGTTTATAGAAAAAAGGGTTAACCCTAGATGGACCAGGCACCCAGACCACCTCATTAAGCTGAAGTGGTCTGGGTGTCTATAGTGGTCCTTTAACAATAAAGGCACAGTCGCAGTTTAAAAATTGCCCTTCAAATTTGAGCTGGCTAGAGTGGAGTGTCAATGAATGTCAATGGACGGCGTGAGTTGCAAACAAATGGTCATATTGTAAAAACTATCAGGACTATGGCTTAGTCATGGACATTTTTAGTGGCAGCAGGGATAGCTGAACATTTTGATATACTATTTGTGTAGGTGGGCTTGAAAATGAGGGAGTGGTGGCAGTTTAGAAATCATGTCCTGATTTTTCAGCTTTTGCCAGCTCCCACTCTAGTTTTGAACATTTTGCCATTCATTCCTATGGGACCAATTTCACCACAAGAACGATGATATTCCGTGAAGCATTCAGCGAAACGTTCCACAAACTAATAACAATCCAATTGGGAACAATCCGCACGTTTCTGTATATTTCTGTCTATGTAGTGTAAAAACTGTGGGAGGAGTTAGGGTGGTAAATTTGGCTATAATAAGAATAATATATATGTGAGATAACATTAAGTGGTCTTGCTATGCAAGAACACTTAATTAATATATCCTGAATCTGGGAAGTCAAATGGAGATTGTTTCTTATCTACATATGGAAATCTTTGACAGCAGACTTTATAATTGAAATACATAACTATTACATAATGTACCACTGCATGAACCAATTATAATTATAGATAAATGATCATTGCTAATGTTATTTTAATTACAATAAACACTGCATGTACAGAAGTGGAAATTAATACTAGCTTAGGTGCAGCGTATAATTATCTTTAGAAAAGGTATCCATGATGTTCGGCAAACTGCAAAATGTACCTTGTTTCTTGTGAAAGTCTATTTTAGGCAAAAGTTAAAAACACGGTCTTACAAAGAACATTGGTATTCTTTGAAATCCCTTCATTCCAAATGATTTGCCAGGACACCAAAAAGACTGTCTTTAGAAGAAAATTAAACTTTCATAAGTCGTCACACTTTAATGATTGTAGCTCACAAATATGCATGCTACTATCACCAAGTAAACACCGATACTGACCGAGACCAGAGCAATCAGTATTAGCCACTTACTCAGCATGTGATTGTACTCAGACAACATTGCTTGCTATACAAGGAATGCTGTGTGAGACTGCATTCGGAGAGTCCCTTCTTTTCCACCTGATTTAATAAGGATGTTAACTTAGAGTTTATATAAAAGCCCATCAATATGGCCTAAACTTAAATGCCCTCCCTCCCCCCATCTTGCCCCAATAACCCACTGGTCCTGACTTTTTATTGTTATTAGCATGTAGCACCAATATATTATGCAGTGCCTTACAATTATAGAATGGGGATATTTTTATTAACGAGTAATTGACATACAAAAATTAACAGAAACAAGTGGTAACGAAGGCATATTCACACAAAAAATACCAGAGATAAACCTCAGGAATATTTCTGTGCTTGGGGTCCTCCTGATGAACACAAATTTTGGTATAAACCTGCAAAGCAATGTTGTGTTTGCATGTGTTAAAACCAAACACGGCTATTCACTAAAACGAGAATTGTTTGAAATTCTCTGCGACATTTTTTTGTAATATGTTGGCTTTAAATTTTAAACTCACTTTAGTGAATAATCCTGAAAAAAAATATATAACTTTGGCAGAGACTGGTGATGCAATGGCTTCATGAAAAGAGTCAAAAACCCATAAATATATTGGAATATCAATTTTCAAAAATATCTTGAATAGATAAGAAGAAATTTTAGATTTGCCGACCACTGTTAAACTTAGATGAATGACTTATCAAAAGTTGAATATGTTTCAACTTAAAACAGTAAAGTTTTCTTTTTGGTATATAATGTGTAACTATCAAAAATAGTGAAACATCCCAAACTTGCACTGGTGTTATCTAACTATAACAGGAATAACTGTGATGAAGGTGTACATTTTTAATGTTTTCTTTTTTTCTATGCTAAAAGCCCTAAGTATTATTTAAAATAATAAAGCTTGTAACGTGTGTCTGTGCACTAAATCACTTAGAAGATTAACATAGTCATAGACAAAGCAAAAATGGAAAACTACTCTTATTATGAAGGTATTAAACAGGTCACCCATGTGCCTCCATAAACACAATAGTTCTCCCTAAATATCATCAACCCTACCCCCACCTCCATTGTCACGCCTATCCCAAATGTAAACACCCCTCCCCCCTTTATTACACAAAGAGGGTCCTTCCCCCAATTTCCAATAATCCAACCCTGCATGATGCCTGTTGTGGAGCACATCTCACAGGATGCTCACTGCATACCATAGCGGCTGGAAGGTAGACCCCCACTTATAGTAGAAAAGCAGTGCACCATGGGAGTTGTAGTCCTATATGGTGCCTTTTTGACCTCTCTATGTGAATGGTGATGCACAGATAGGGTATTGAAGTTACACGAGGCCATGGCAGGAATGATGATATAATAACATATATGATAACATATTATATAATAACATACTATAATATAACATACTATATTAGTGTAATATTGACATACTATATAATAACATACTATATTAGTGTAATAATAACATACTATATAATAACATACTATATTAGTGTAATAATAACATACTATATAATAACATACTATATTAGTGTAATAATAACATACTATATAATAGTGAAGCAGACCCATTCATACCCCCTCCTCCCCCCATGTCCCGGCACCCCCAGTTCCTCTCACCCCTTCACAACGAAGAATGGATCTTCCATCGACATGTTCACTCAGCCCCTCACTCACACTCACACTCAGCGGGACTCGCTCTCCGCTACTCTCGGTGTCTTCCCTCCCACCCAGCCGCAGGCCACAAAGCACCGACCGCCCCTCGCTGTGGCGTCACTTCCGGCGCCTGCTCGCACAGATCACGTGACCAGGAAGCAGAACTGGCAAACAAAGGCACGTGGGTGTTTCAAAGGGGGAGCTATGGGAGCTGCTTGGACTGACGGGGCTTGTGCTGGTGGTAGTGGGTGTTATGGTGGCTGTAGGGCTCTGTGGTATGGGTTATAGTGGCCGTAGGTCTCTGCGGCAGTTGTTATGGTGGCTATAGGGCTCTGGCAGCGGTGGTTATGGTGGCTATAGGGCTCTGTGGTAGTGGTTATGGTGGCTGTCAGGCTCTGCGGCAGTGGTTATGGTGTCTGTAGGGCTCTGTGGTAGTGGTTATGGTGGCCGTAGGGCTCTGGCGGTGGTTATGGTGGCTGTAAGGCTCTGCGGCAGTGGTTATGGTGGCTGTAGGGCTCTGTGGTAGTGGTTATGGTGGCCGTAGGGCTCTGGCAGCCGTGGTTATGGTGGCCGTAGGGCTCTGGCAGCGGTGGTTATGGTGGCCGTAGGGCTCTGGCAGTGGTGGTTATGGTGGCCGTAGGTCTCTGTGGCGGTGGTTATGGCCGTAGGGCTCTGGCGTGGTTATGGTGGCCGTAGGATTTCGGCAGTGGTTATGGTGGCTGTAGGGCTCTGTGGTAGTGGTTATGGTGGCTATAGGGGTCTGGCAGTGGTGGTTATGGTGGCTGTAGGGCTCTGTGGTAGTGGTTATGGTGGCTGTAGGGCTCTGTGGTATGGGTTATAGTGGCCGTAGGGCTCTGGCAGCGGTGGTTATGGTGGCTATAGGGCTCTGGCAGCGGTGGTTATGGTGGCTATAGGGCTCTGTGGTAGTGGTTATGGTGGCTGTAAGGCTCTGCGGTAGTGGTTATGGTGTCTGTAGGGCTCTGTGGTAGTAGTTATGGTGGCCATAGGGCTCTGGCGGTGGTTATGGTGGCTGTAAGGCTCTGCGGCAGTGGTTATGGTGGCTGTAGGGCTCTGTGGTAGTGGTTATGGTGGCCGTAAGGCTCTGGCAGCGGTGGTCTATGGGTGGCCGTAGGTGGCTCTGTGGCGGTGGTTATGGTGGCTGTAGGTCTCTGTGGTAGTGGTTATGGTGGCTGTAGGGCTCTGTGGTAGTGGTTATGGTGGCTGTAGGGCTCTGTGGTAGTGGTTATGGTGGCTATGGGGCTCTGGCAGTGGTGGTTATGGTGGCTGTAGGGCTCTGGTAAAGGTTATGGTGGCTGTAGGGCTCTGGCAGCGGTGGTTATGGTGGCTGTATGGCTCTGTGGTAGTGGTTATGGTGGCTGTAGGGCTCTCTGGCAGTGGTGGTTATGGTGGCTGTAGGGCTCTGGCAGCGGTGGTTATGGTGGCTGTAGGGCTCTGGCAGCGGTGGTTATGGTGGCTGTAGGGCTCTGGCAGCGGTGGTTATGGTGGCTGTAGGGCTCTGGCAGTGGTGGTTATGGTGGCCGTAGGGCTCTGTGGTAGTGGTTATGGTGGCTATAGGGCTCTGGCAGTGGTGGTTATGGTGGCTGTAGGGCTCTGTGGTAGTGGTTATGGTGGCTGTAGGGCTCTGGTAAAGGTTATGGTGGCTGTAGGGCTCTGGCAGCGGTGGTTATGGTGGCTGTATGGCTCTGTGGTAGTGGTTATGGTGGCTGTAGGGCTCTGGCAGTGGTGGTTATGGTGGCTGTAGGGCTCTGTGGTAGTGGTTATGGTGGCTGTAGGGCTCTGGCGGTGGTGGTTATGGTGGCTGTAGGGCTCTGGCTTTTTTTACAGTAAGAGCAATAAGGATGTGGAATTCTCTGCCTGAAGAGGTGGTTTTATCAGAGTCGATACAGATGTTTAAACAGCAATTGGACAAATCCTTCCAAAAACATAACATACAGGGATATAATTTCTAATTCGTGGGGTAATAGTTGCTTGATCCAAGGAGATTTCTGACTTCCATTTTGGGGTCATGAATGATTTATTTCCTAGTTTGTTGCAAAATTGGAAGCGCTTCAGACAGTGTTTTTTGCCTTCTTTTGGATCAACAAAAACATATGTGAGAGAGGCTGAACTTGATGGATGCAAGTCTCTTTACGGTGGCTGTAGGGCCCTCTGGCAGTGTTTATGGTTGTTGTAGGGCTCTGGTTGTGGGAGTTATGGTGGCTGTAGGGCTCTCTGGCAGTAGGGCTCTGTGGCGGTGGTATTATGGTGGCTGTAGGGCTCTGTGGCAACTGTAGTTATGGTGACTGTAGGGCTCTGTGGTCTGGTACAGTGGCAGTGATGGCTGTAGGGTTATGGAGGCAGTGATACTGCCATTCTTCTATAGTGTCTTGGTTTCCAGACGACCACTGCTTTATATTTTTTACACTCCGTTTTCATGTTTATTTTATGTATGTACCTGGACAATCGAGAGTGACATCACTTTATGGTTGAGTAGGTAAATCCTCACAGTCGCAGTGTTGGCTGGTCCATTGGGTCAGGTGGGGCCTCCCTATGGGTTTTTTTTTTGTTTTGTTTAAATCAAATCTATTAATTTGATAAGAACTAAACAGTGTGTTTTTCAGATAATGCATTTCTTGGAAAGATAATATTTACAGACGAAGGCCTAGTTCAAACCAGTTTACAAATTGATCGATTTTGAGGTAGGCTGTGACCGCTATGTATGGTTAGGTCTTGGCCAAGGACGCTTGTGAGATGGTCTGAGTTCTGTGACAATACCAGTGCTGTAACCACATTTGAGACCATTAGTAGGTAATTTTCTTTCTTTGTGGGTATATCAAAAAACTGCTTGCAAAAATCAGATTTCTTGTCAAGCACTCCTCTTCTTCCCCAGTCCAGATATTTTTTTACTGTTCAAGCTCAGACTTATAAATGCAGCACATTCTTACTAAATGCAGCACATTGAGAAGTCTTTGCAAGCCAGATTCTCTGGGTAGTTGCTGCTTCTTGAGCTAAAAGCTCCTTATAGCCCCGTGGTATAGAAGGAGTAAACAAAAACCTTCTGTCACTTACCTGATTCCAGTGTGGAAGTTCCTTCCGCCTTCGCTCCTCCCCCGCCAGCTGACCTTCGGAAATCTAAAGCACATGTGCTGTGAGAACCGCACTCGCATCAGGACTTAACCCATAGGAAAGCATTGTATAAATTATGCTGGATGTCCTCATGCATAGCATGAGGATGACCAGCGTCAGGCGACCAAAGGTCGCCTAAGCAACGGGAAGTCCCTCTAGAGCAGGGGTTCTTAACGCAGTCCTCAAGGACCCCCTACCAGTCCAGGATTTAGGGATTACCTGGGTGTGTTTAAGGTGTTTAGAAAAAGAAAAAAAAAAAAAAAAACACCATAGATTCTAAGGTTTTTTTTCCTTCTTTTTCTAAACACCTTAGACACATCCAGGTAATCCCTAAATCTTGGAATGGTAGGGGGTCCTTGATGACTGGGTTGAGAACCCCTGCTCTAGAGGATGTCTGGTAGATCACCACTAGAGGTGGAGTAACACTGGCAGGTAATTATTGCAGTTTATCAAAAACTTCAATAATTACCATCGCAGGGTCAAGGGACCTGGGACACTGCACCCAGACCATGTCAATGAGCTGATGTGGTCTTGGTGCCTATAGTGTCCCTTTAACACCACTGAGCTGAAATAACGACCCGCTATCTGACTTTTGGAGGGTATGTAACAAATCTGCAATTTTTGTAAACTAAAAAACTGACATACTCTTTGCACATAAAGCACTTCAGCAAGCAAAAATTCTTTAGGTGTGTGGAGTGTTCATTTAATCTAAGGTTGTTTTGGTGCTTTAGTGTCCCTTTAAATAATCTGTGCCAAAATTATCTGTATTCTTGGAAAGCAGTTTGTTGCTTGCTCCAAATGTGATCTGATGGGTTATAATTTAAAACCTAGCCTTGTAGCAGATTGTACACCTCTTATCAGTGCTGTTCACCCCAGAATAATTCTAGTATATTTTTTTGGACTGTGTTGTTATTGTTCCATACATATTAAATGTCATATTAAGATGTAATTTAAATACTCTTGTTTCGCAGACTTGGCTTGAATAAACATTCATTTACTTGTCTGTTGCCGGCTCTGGCCCTGTTGGTGTACTTGTTTCTCTACGTTTTACTACAACTTGTCTAAGTATATTTTTTAGAAATTACCTTGTCTCAGGTGCTTACATTTTAATCTCTTGGAAAATATTCCTGACGAACCAAGGCAGCTCTCGAGAGATTGTGCTATCTCTTTTCGCTCCCTTTTGTGTTACGGAGTCCTACATTTTAAAGGGTCATTTAATGCACTCGTTGACTGCAGTTTCCTTGCATTGTTAACCCTGAAATGTAAAAAAAAAACTGCCATTTTTTTTTTTGTAGGAACTGCAATGTTTTAATTGCAGGATAAAACACCCCTCTAACAGTGCTTCCCATGTGATAAATGAGCCAAACTCTGTTATTAATCAAATCAAAGAGCGCGTTTGACGCAGCGTGGTGTGCCCTAGCAATGTCGATGATCTCAGCCAGAGAGGCAGGGCTGCAGTGCAGAGACTGGTGTGGAGAGGGCCGTTCCTTTAATATATAACCTAACCACACATGATTAAATAACCTGACCTTGTGTGTCTGTATCTGTTGTGCTGTAGAAGGGTTAGACTTGCCTTTACATGCATACAACAAAGAAAATCTTAACAGCAGTTGAACTATAATGCAGTACTACAGGTTTTGCCTTTAAGCGCATACTACAAAAGCAATACAAACAAAGGTATTTTCCTTAGTAACACCATCACATATACCATGCCTCCAATGTAAATGCAGGGTTCAGATATCTGCAGGCATATTTAAATCAGAAAATATGGAATCGGTGTTGAAAATTTTAATTCAATTTACTCTGTGTTAATGGTTCTTAGGACATAAAAACGGTCAGTTCTCCAGAACACACACCCCTCTGCTGCACATGTGTATTCTGAATGTTTGCCTTCCAATGAGACCTCACAGCATCTAAATATTTGCTGTATCAGTGCATGCACACTAAAGCATTTGTTCAGTTGTGTGTACAGCACTGCAGTGGTTTAAGATGGTTTACATGTGTATATGTAAATTTTACAAAATACAACCTGTAAGTAGTTCTTATTTTGTAGTTGGCTATTTCACTGTGCAATGCATTACAGTTCTGATTTGAAAGCCAGGGACTATATTCATCGTAGCCTAAAAAAAACAAAAAGCCTGTGCATGCGGAGTACTGTTGTACTCGTGAGACATTGCTGAACAGAAATGTTTTAATAATATCATCATCATCAGTGAAATTGTAGTTTGTGTGTGAAAAATGCACAAAACAAATATGAACACTAACTTTGACCAGGGTTGGTGACTAAGTGGCTACTAGAAAAGACTGGTTAAACCCCATTTGAATACCCTGGGTTGTCTAATTTTACAAATGGCTTGCCATGATAGGGGTAATTTTCATTCCTAGGCTGCCATGGTTGCCTCGTCTCAAAAGCAACCTAGGCCCAGCAAACCAATCTGGCAAATTTCAATGTGTAAAAACTGAAATGGCCAAGCCCAATATTGGACCCTGTAACATTCTAAAATACCATGAAATGTGGTGGCATCGTTGTACTCATGGGACATCACAGCATACAAATGTTTTATTGCAGTAAAAGCTAACCGCAAAGATTGACATACAGGCTTGAGATGCTATGACGACTGCAACAAGCATATTAGGAACATACATCAAGATATTGGGTCATGGCATATGAGGAAAGTGCACATTTTTATGGGTATAATAAAACAGGCTAAACTGTGGATCTAAACATAAGATCTGAGAGAGTACAAGTTTAAAGAAAAGTAAGGTATTGCATGAAGGTAGGAGTTAAGTAAAACCAAGAAAAACATAGTATAACATGCTAGGATTAACACTGGAGATATTATGCCACTGGCCCTTGTCACCAATTATATTTAGATGAGTATATAGTAATCCCCGCATTACAGATTTGGCGAACTGTTGTAAAAGGAAAATATTATTAGCAGAATGCCGTGTGGGTAACAAAATAAAACAATGGAAAATAATAACTGCACTGGGTGCTTGCTCAGCCAGATGTGTTAAATATCAAGCTAGGCTAGCTGATTTGGGTACTGCTGTGTGTAAGACCCTGAATTTGCAGCTAACCAATGCCCATCCGTGGCTGTACACAGTCCTGTTCAGTGGAGTGTTCAGTCAGGTGAGAGAGCTGCAAGGCTTTGTCTGTCCCTGATGAACCCAGGTAAGTGTAAGCTTATGGTGTAGCATGGATCATCACATGGGACAGCGATCGTCCTCCATGTTGCTTTTCCATACGACGGATAAGATCCCTCCAAGGGTGTGAGTTGTGCCGTTGGCAGTAGGTCACAGCAGGAACGTGTCGGCGGTGTCCAGCAGACCTCCTCTCTTTCAGCAATGTAGTGGTTCGCCTAGCGGGCTGTAGCTTGGCGTGGCTCCTTAGGTGAGTTGACTTTGCTGCAGTTTGATTTTGTGAGCAACCAGCAGAATTTTAAATTGAGCCCTATATCTAACTGGAAGCCAATGTAGAGATTGACAGAGGTGGGAGGCGTGGGAGGTGCGAGCGGACAGCAAAATGAGCCTCCCTGCCGCATTCATTATAGACTGCAGCGGTGCAAGCTGGGAACACGTAATTCCACTGAGAAGGGGATTGCAGTAGTCAAGGTGAGAGAGAACAGCATGGACCAGCACCGTAGCCGCTTCCGGCGTTAAATAGGGGCAGATGCGCGCTATGTTTTTGAGATAGAAGTGACAAGAGTTGGTGATTGATTGGACATGAGGGTTGAAGAAGAGGTTGGAGTCAAAAAGAACACCCAGGCTGCGAGGTAGAGGTGATGCGAACGCCGTTGACTTGGAGGGAGTACATGTGCCTGCACTGCCCCTTTAAGAGGGGCAGGCGCATAGCAGCCGGCGTCCCTGATGCTTACTGCATTAATACATTGCGTGGGAGTGGTGGTCCGACCGATCCTTATGTCGGCAGACCGATAAGGTAAGTGCTTTGTTGCCTACAGTACCTTTGCCTCTGTCCTTAAGGGACAATGGGGGTGTCCTTAAAAATAAAGTAAAGCACAGGACAGTACCACTGTTGCATCCACAGTGCTGTACAATGTTAGCAAACTGTGAAATGATGGCACCATATCTGTTTAAACATACCAGTAGAAGATTAATGAGAACTCTGACTGTTGACATAGTTTGCAATCTAGCTACAAGAGACGTTTACACTAAAAGTAGCCTTGGAAAAGTTGAAGTTTATTACTGCGTGGCAGTGAATTGGTGCCCTTTGAAACATTGGTTAAAAGTCCAGATATCCTATTGGGGGGAAAAAAGAGCAGTTACACATTAGACTATAAACTCAAAGAAGTAATAGTCCTCAATCAATACTTCCCATCTAACACATATCTTGCAGTCCGTCCATCCTGATTTGGAGAAAAAAAAAATGTGTGTGTGTGTGTGTGTGTGTGTGTGTGTATATATGTATATATGTGTGTGTGTGTGTGTCTCCCTGCATCCCTCTACCACCTGCCTTGTATGTCATTCCTGGAAAAACACAGGGATTAGGTGCTTACTATATACTTAAAGGCAGCAGTCAATCTTACAAGGATTCCCTAAAACCTTGTAGAAATCAAGACCGGAAGCAAATACAAAAAATATATAGCCGTGTAGAATATTGCATATTCTATGTTTCTATTGATAATAAATATATATATATATATATATATATATATATATATATATATATATATATATAGAGAGAGAGATGTGTGGATTGACATAAGTAACAGATGGTATCAATAAGTCACAAGGCTTTCTTTGTCCGAGAGCTCTGGAATGTGGATTCGGGGGTCTTTTCCTTATATGGCTAGAGTTAAATGCTGACGTTAGTATTAGCACTTCTATATAGTAACAGAGGGACACAAGGTCTCTCAGGCAGTCTTGGCTTGAGTCTTGGCTCTGTACAACGATGTAACTCTCCCATCAGAAGTCCAGCAATTACCATCTGCTGTTGAATGTCCATAATCCTGTAACATCATTTATTATGTTTTATTATGTATCCGTAACAAAGAATAAACCAGAAGAAACCGTAAGTCAGATTGCGTATTACTACTTTTCAATAATATAGACATATATTATTGTGTCGAGCATTTGGCCCAAGACTATATATACAAAAGACGTGTATATATATCAATCAACTGAAGACAAGAAGAAATTAAGAAGAATTAACATTAACACCAATCTCATCTAGATTTTACAAGCCGCGCCTAAAACACAATAATAATACCCATAAGTGAAGTCACATAAATCAAAAACTCACTCACAATTTACAGAGCTACAAAGAACTCTGCTGTGTTGAGTGTAGACGGTACAATCCCCATCACAGGATATATTTTCAGCTGCGGTGGTAGAAGACTTTATAAGTGTCTCTGATATGTGAAGACAAAAATCTGAATACCCAGTAGTGCAAGATATATATCAAAGTGACTGTGCATATAAAAAAGATGGGTATCTTACTCACATGAACTAGAGCATGGACCTGCTCTAGTATATATCGCTGTGGTTGTATAATCCCCACCTGGGATATATATATATAATTAATGAAGTTCCCCAAAAAAAAATTCAAAATAAATTACATTTATCTTTAAAAAGATTAATTTTATTATAATAAACAGAATATACATTAAAAACAATCCAAATGGAAAACAGCCACACTTTACATGTTTCACCCTGGAGGTATCATCAGAAGTGGAGTTTTTGTTATAGCACTCTACTTTACTGTGTTAAAGACATACTGCACTATTATTGTCTCTTTTTAAAAGTATACCATACACTGCATAGCAGCCAAAGATCCCATAAAGTACATATACATGATTTATATGTGACTTCACTTATGGGTATTACTATTGTTTTTGGGCAGCTATCTATTTTTTTGTATTTGTTGTGTGTCATTCCCTCCCACCACACTCATGTGCTTTCATGTACTTCTCCTTACACCAGGTGTGCCCAAAACATACAATGAGGGGAAAAAGTAATTGATCCCCTGCTGATTGTGAATGTTTGTCCACTGACAAATGATCAGTCTCTAATTTTAAGGACAGGTGTATTTTAACAGTGAGAGACAGAATATTAAAAAAAAATAAAAAATCCAGAAAAACGCAAATAAAAAAAGTTCTACATGTCTTTGACCCCTTCAACTTAGTTCTTGGTGGCAAAGCCCTTGTTGGTATTCACAGACTTCAGACGTTTCTTGTAGTTGGCCACCAGCTTTGCACACATCTCAGGAGGGATTTTGTCGCACTCCTCTTTACAGATCCTCTCCAAGTCATTAAGGTTTCGAGACTGATGTTTGGCAACTCGAACCTTCAGCTCCTTCCACCAATTTTCTATAGAATTAAGGCTTGGAGATTGGCTAGGCCACTCCAGGGCCTTAATGTGCTTCTTCTTAAGTTACTCCTTTGTTTCCTTGACTGTGTGTTTTGGGTCATTGTCATGCTGGAATACCCATCCACGACCCATTTTCAATGCCCTGGCTGAGGGAAGGAGGTTCTCACCCAAGGTGAGCCCGTCCATTGTCCCTTTGATGTGGTGCAGTTGTTCTGTCCCTTTAGCAGAAAAAACACCCCAAAAGCATAATGTTTACACCTCCATGTTTTACAGTGGAGATGGTGTTCTTGGAGTCATAGGCAGTGTTGTGGAAATGAAATATTGACATACTTTTTAGTTAGTAAAATGTCTATTTACTCCTCTAACCGAAATCAGTGCATAAGCTATTAACACATGTTTAGACAAAATGGCCACTAGAAGCTTCTAACCCCCCCCCCCCCCCCCCATAACACCGACTAACTACCTTGTGTAACAAGATGGTGCTGGAATCCGGGGGAGACCCTTGTGGTCCCAGTGACATCACCATTAGTAGGCAGAACATTAAGAGAGCCACTTAACACCTAACCAATTAATAAAGTATTATTTCATGTTATCTCTGACAATGCTTATGATGTAATTTTGCTTTAAAAGGGACCTGCTGTCCCCTCTGAATAAACATTCCTCAAGTTATTCATCAACCTGAAACCTGTGTCTGGTGTGAATTACTTCAGGGAGCGTCCACGCATTGTTTCTTAATTTGGCCAGGGGCAGATACACAGAGAATAATCAATTGATTGAATTGATTTCCACTTCAATTGGCGCCCAATGTGGGGCACCGGATTTGCCAGTTCGGAGGGCTGGAAACCAACGGACCAGAGCGGACCTCCGGAAAGTGGGACACCCGGAGCCTGATCACCTCCAACATACAGCCGTTGTCTGTATACTCCTGTTTTGTGTCGGTCTGCCTCTGCGTCCACTTCCGGCATCCAGAAGGCTACTAGACAGGTAATATCTTATCCGGTGCCTTTTTAAAACTAACCTGTCGATTGTCTATCTGCCTCCTGTGAATTTGTGTGAATGTGTGTGACGGCCGGTGTGAGTGTTTTCTCATAGATTCTAGATAGACTGCCTGGCGGGCGGGGAGTGTGAGCAGCCAGTGAGGGGCTGGGGACCACCCGAGTAAGAGGGTTGGGTTGTTGTTAGCAGCGCTGGGGACCACCCGTGTGATAGGTTAGGGATACTGCAAGCAGCCAGTGAGGGGCTGGGGACCACCCGTGTGATAGGGTAGGGAAATTGCAGGCAGCCGGTGAAGGGCTGGGAACCACCTAGGTAACTGGGTTGGGATATCATAGACGGCCGGTGAAAGATTGTGGATCACCTGTTAGAAGGTGGGATTTTACTGTACAGGGTTACAGCCTGGAGAGAGAGGCTGGGATTGTTGTTCTTTGATTTCCATTGTTTTGTTTTATTATGTACATGGCCATATTGCTCTCTATCATTTTGTGGATTTTGTTTAATTGTTGTTACAGTGTGGGTACCCTTGGTGTGTGTGTGTTGTGTGGCTTGTCCTTGATTCTGGAGTTTACACTCATTTATATGTGTGTGATTTCTGTAAATGTCTAGTGCTTAGTGTTGCCACATTCAGCTTTTCCTTTGTTCTGTATCTGTCCTGTGTCTGTTCCCAGAGCCGTGACTAGTCTACATTTTGGGAAGACGCACTGGTCCCCAACCCCTGTGGCAGTCGAGCACTGTAGACTTTCTTACTTTTTCTTCCCGCTCTTCCTGTCTCCTTCACGTGGCATACCTTGTTTGGTCAAAATGGGGCAAGAACATGCTAGACCAGCTAAAGGGTTTTTGGCTTGTGATATTGTGAAGGAAAGGGCAGGGGAGGAGGCAATGTTAAAGATTAAGAAAATCGCTAAGATCTGTGGTTTTCAAATGTCACCTAGTGGTAGGTTACAGCCTGAGTTTTGGAGGAAGTTGCTTGTGGACAAGGAAGGGTTGTTGTTGGATAATGGGCTAACAAAGGCTGTAGAGGCTTGGTATCTGGTTGCTAGAGGACTTAAGCGGGAGGGTTGGACGGAGGAAGAACTAGATTTTGAGGGGCAAACGATTTGTGTACCATCGAAATGTTTGTAATACTGATGTTTCCCTTGTAAACCCCCGACCACCGCCCTATGATGGCGCCCAGACCGTGTTGAACAGCTCCCGCCCAGCTTCTCCTGTTAACGCCCAGACACCACCCCCTAGTGGTGTAGTACATGGCTCCACCCCCTTATGTCCCGTGCTCGGAGCTGACGGAGCCTATTACTATCCAGTACCGTTACACTCTTTCCCCCTTGTTCCTATGCCCCAGCCACTCCCCTCCCCTGATCTGGTTTCGTCACAGTCCATCCACCAAGTCCCCTCCCACCCTCTGGTCCCTCCTCCGCTACCTCCCTGTCCACCGCCCCGAACGAAGTCCCCGCCTGCTCCCATGGTTCCCATTGTAGATCTTCCCAGGGTTGCATTTAGCACAAATTGTACGGGATCTGGTTTACACGCTGGATACACGCCTCACACTGCAAGAAAGTGCCTGCTCCAGAGGAAGCTGTCCCTACTGAGCCATGAGTTTTCTGTGTTCCTTGTGTTTTCTCTTGCTGCTAAACTTTACAAAGGCCCAACAAGTAGCCATAACCAAAGACAACCATGTTTACACTTTTTGGTACAATTCCTCAAACACAGACGTAGCTACCTTTTCTTTTGATTATTGTGATATTGTTACTTGCACCCACAAACGCAATATGCTGCTATATACAAGGACATACCTGGCAAGAAGAACCCATATATTTGCGTGACTGGAGGGTCCTGGGGACATCATTGCAGTTCTTGGAAGGCGGCTGGGTGGAATACGGGTAAATCATGGGGATACAGACCCCAGAGCGCCCTAGACAGAGTTGACCGAGATGGGAAGCCCCTACTCTCTAGAATGACCTTAAGTAAACCTATTGGGTCAACTCCAATTAAACTTACCCTGAACACAGAGCACCCCAGTCCAGGGGATGCAGGGGAATATGTAATGTACTGGAGGGGCGGTGGCTCATATAACAAGTTGGGGACATTCTTCCTGCAAGACATGCTCACCTCGCCTGACTGGGTAGGAACTGCACACCTGACTGTCAACCCACTTAAGCCTCACATTAAGACTTTATATGATTTGGTTGCTATTGCTAATCCCACCTTTGAAGACACCATGGCAGTAGAAACTGGGTTCTCAGACACATTTATGGCTGGAATGGATTAGATATAATGCTAACTCACACAATCAGACTAACTGTTATGTATGTGGGGGAGCTAGGCCCCACCTGGGCACGGTGCCTTTAAACCTACCTCCCGATATTGAATTGTGTCCTGAGTCTTTATGCACAATCCACCACTAACTCCTCAACGTGTGAGTCATGGAAAAAGTCTACCCAATCACCCAGAGACACGTTAGACCACCTGATGGAGTCACTGTATACCCAGGTAACTACACCTGCTACTTGATACCTAAGAACGCAGGTACATTTATGGGCAAATTCCCATCTGGTTATTGCTCTACCTATCATAATCCACCCACGACACTGTTAATGAACCATGTGAAAACAGTTGGAGATATTTATTGGCTGTGTGGTGATAGGCAACTGAGATCCCAACTAACGGGGCTATGGTGGGGAGAATGCACACTAACTAAAGCCATAATGCCTATCCATATAATCCCGGATGGCCATCACAATGTGTTTGATCCCACGCACACACACTCCAGAGTCAAAAGGGAAGCCCCAAGCCGTGGTAGCTTTGATCCACATGTTTATATGGATGCCACTGGTATGCCAAGGGAGGTGCCCAACGAATTTAAAGCAAGGGATGAAGTAGAAGCCGGGTTTGAGTCCTTGATTCCAATGATTACAGCTTATAAGAATGTCAATTGGATTAATTACATCTATTATAATCAGCAGCGGTTTGTTAACTATACTAGAGACGTTCTACAGGGCCTAGCAGAACAGCTGCAAGCTACCACCCAAATGACATTTCAAAATAGAATGGCTCTGGATATGATCTTAGCAGAAAAGGGGGGCGTATGTAAAATCCTCCCCGAGACCATGACATGCTGTACATTTATTCCAGATAACACTGGGCCCAATGGTAAAGTAACTATGGCAATAGAGAAATTAGCCTTTCAGATGAACTAAAAAAGAACTCAGGGGTCACTGATACATGGGACAGATGGTTTGGATGGATGAGTGGTTGGCAGAGAACCCTATTCCAGGTTGGGACGGCAGTCCTCATAATGATCATCATCTTCCTATTCTTAACTTGTGTACTACCTTGCATACAAAAGTACTTACAGAAGACAGTAGGGAAGACTATAGACAACATAACCCCTACTTTCCTACACCAGGACATCCCTGACCTAGAATGTGACACACCACATACACCCCTCCAATTTAGACAGACAACTGCATTTCTGTAGGGATAGCATAGGGAAAGCGTCTGTCTCTACAGGCAAGAGTCACACGTGCGGAGATGTGGTGGACTAGCTGCCGCGTGTTACCCACGGAGTGAAGTGTTTGAGGCTTGTTAAGACAGATGAGCTGCAGGCAACTAGGGACATATTAGGGACAGTGGCAGTTGTTATGGTAAATAGCCATTTTAAGGGGGGACTGTTGTGGAAATGAGATATTGATATAATTTTTAGTTAGTAAAATGTCTATTTACTCATCTAACCGAAATCAGTGCATAAGCTATTAACACATGTTTAGACAAAATGGCCACTAGAAGCTTCTAACCCCTCCCCCCCATAACACCGACTAACTACCTCGTGTAACAAGATGGCGCTGGAATCCGGAGAGACCCTTGTGGTTCCAGTGACATCACCCTTAGTAGGCAGAACATTAAGAGAACCACTTAACACCTAACCAATTAATAAAGTATTATTTCATGTTATCTCTGACAATACTTATGATGTAATTTTGCTTTAAAAGTGATCTGCTGTGCCCTCTGAATAAACATTCCTCAAGTTATTCATCAACCTGAAACCTGTGTCTGGTGTGAATTACTTCAGGGAGCATGCACGCATTGTTTCTTAATTTGGCCAGGGGTAGATACACAGAGAATAATCAATTTTATTAAAGGACACGGAGGCTCTTATTAGGCTTATCTCTTTCTTTATTCCTCAGCAGCAAAGAAAGGATATTGATATTTTTTAATATAGCAATAACAAAACAAAAAAAGAAAAAACAAATACCCTTAAGGGTTAACCATATAACATTCCATATCCATTAACCAATAGGATCAGTCCTTGTACTATATCCCTTCATGTGAGGTACACTACTTCCTCTTTCTTTGCTGCTGCCTCAGCTAAGTACCACATATTTTTCAACTCCTCACATATTGTGTTGTTCTGTTTCTCCTGATTCATATTATTATTTATTAATTTCTTTTTAGATATCTGCTGTTTTGTTTTTGTCTATTTTAATTTTTTACTGATGTTTGCTTTTCCTCTTGTTCCCAGTGCAGGGTGCTTGCCTCCTCCCTGAGGCAAGCCCCATCCTGCACTGCCGTTTTTCGGGTTGTTTATAACCCGTCCCCCCTTCCACTTCCCCGGGTGGGGGTCGCTCAGGCATCCCCTCCCCACCCCCCTCACCCCCCCCGGCCCAGAACGAGCCGTTTTGCCGCCGGACGGGCGGCTGTTACTTTGGCGGCCGTTTTCCGCCGCTCGCGCATGCGCGGTCCACACTCGCGCATCGCGACTGCCATCTTAACCGAGGGCAATTTTGCCGCTCTTTTCGCCCGCGGTCCGCGCCACTCTGAAAGGGAGGGGCGCGAGCTGATTGGGTGAGGGAAGTGTTGGGCAGCTTACCAGTGTCCCCCAGGAGTCATTCCTGAGGGAACACTCGGTAAGCTGCCATATTATATGTGCCAGAATACTTGTGCCTGTATAACTGTGCCTGCCTTTACTTTTAGTTTAGTGCTCAGCCACTTGCCTTATACTGCTGGTATATATTAACCTCTGCAGTGCTGCCAGTGTGCATTTTGTCCAAAAGTGACAGTTTTATTTCAGTACCTTTCTCCCTATACTGTTACTGTGCACATTCCTGATCACTATGCAGTCCCCTGCTGATAAACAGACAGTTACCCCCCCTCCCACCTCTACTAAACCCAGCAAACGTGATAAGGCAGCCCTGTCTACAGACGCTGCTGTCATTGGGGGAGTTGGGGATGCATCCCAGGAGCACGTGAACTCAGAGGAGTTCCAAGCGCTCCTGGATGCCACGATGAGTAGGTCTGTTACACAGGCCATTTTTACCGCCATGGGGGCGATGTCGGACACCCTGTCCCACTCTATTTCCTCTGCTATTAGGGCATCCGGTCACAACCCGGGCTCGGCACCCCCTATATCCAGTGATAGCAAGCCAATGGTCCCTAGCGGCCGCAAGGCTACGTGTAAATCGCACCATCTGTCAGGTGCTACCTCCAGAACCAGGTTGCGACCTGTTGAGATTGATGACGTGGTGCTCCCACGTAAAAGAGCCCCCCGCCGGGCAAAAACGGTGCGGACTTGGAAGAGGGCAAAAGCCCTATCTGATCCGTCCGACTCCGACTCGGACTCAGAGGAGGTATCAGATGGGTCCGGTGACATCGACCCAATTAATTCAGACAATTCATCCCCCGAACACAGCGACACCGCGCCTCCAGCTTTAGACGCGGAGCGCGAGACGGATGAGTCCCCTGTGTTAGACCCCCAAGGGGAACCCCTTTTTGGTCCCGACACCTTGCACAATCCGCGTTCAGCGGAGTGGTATCCCACAACTCATGTGGCCGTTTATATTGCGACTAGGGTCAGAAAACCCCTCGACAAGGCCACAAGAAGCAAACTGAGGGCGGAATGCCCAAGGCCCACTGTCCCAGACATGGCCTGCGTGACCCCTGAAGTGGATCCCAAGGTCGCCCAGTTCCTGGGTAAATCAGGATGGAGGGCCAAGAAGGGTTTGGACTACTCCTTAAAACACTGCCAGGACAAGATCCTGGACATACTCGGGCCTATAGCTAAAATCTTCGATATGGTCGAAGCGGCCCTTACTGGGGGGACCCCAATTGACTTGATGGCCATCAGAGGCTGGATTCAGAGGGGCATATGCCTAATAGGAAATGCCAACACCGCTTTGGCCACGGAACGGCGTAAAGCCATATTGATGAAAATCGAGCCAAAACTAGTGCATTTGGCAATCTCTGAGCCTGGCACACAGGCAAAAGGTCTCTTATTTGGAGACAATTTTGTTAAGACCCTGGGTAATTACGTAAACACATTTACGGCACTAGATAAGGCACAACATAATATGAAGCGAGTGTTCTCGCAAAAGGTTTTCGGGGGGGCCGGCAGACAGCGGGGCCGTCTGTCCGGCCGCCCCTCCCGGACTCAGTTCCGGGGCTATCGAGGCTCCGCCACAACCCGGTTCCACCCACCCGAACCGAGGGCACAATCACCTTTCTTCCCGACCAGGGGCAGATCATGGCATCCACGCGGAACCAGGGGATCCTCCTATGGCCGTCGGCCTTATGGTGAGTCACTCCACATTACACACCATTCCCTTTGTACCTGTGGGGGGCAGATTGTTTCAATTCCAGGATGCGTGGCACAACCTAACCTCAGATACATGGGTCCTAGAGACCATCCTCGGCTATCACATCGAATTTACACAACAGCCGATTCAACTCTCATTGCCACATCGGATTATTTTTTCCCCACTAGACAAACAGCTAGTGTTAAAAGAGATTCGCACACTGGAGGAAAAATGTGCGATATACAGGGTTCCCATTACCGCCCCCGGGTTCCTAAGCAACATCTTCTTAGTACCCAAGAAAGGTGGGGGCATGAGGCCAGTAATAAACTTGCGGCCTCTCAACGCCTTTGTCACATACCATCACTTCAAGATGGAAGGAATACACTGCCTCCGAGACCTACTAAGACTGGGAGACTGGATGGTAAAATTGGACCTCCAGGATGCATACCTCACAATACCGATTGCCGAGGACTGTCAACAATTCCTGCAATTCCAATGGGAACAGACGATGTGGCGTTTCCGCTGCCTCCCTTTCGGCCTGTCTTCAGCCCCGTGGTGCTTCACCAAGCTGCTGAAACCGGTAGTTGCCCTCCTTCGCAGCAGAGGTGTACGTCTGATCATATACCTCGACGACATGCTGATCATGGCCCAAGACACACAGCTACTGAATCAACACCTATTCTGGACAGTGACCCTTCTGCAAAACCTGGGTTTCCTAATCAATTGGGACAAATCGATCCTACAACCTTCACACTCGATAGAGTTTTTGGGCTTCGATATAGACGCAGTACACGGAACGCTCAGTCTTCCTACCGCAAAAGTAAAACTTATCAAGAAGGAAATCCGGAGGACGTTGGCTCGACCAGTCTTAACCCTCCGACAGCTAGCCAGGATAATTGGCCTGCTCGCGGCCCCTATACAAGCGATCTTCCCAGGCCCTCTCCACTACAGATCCCTACAACAACTCAAGGCAACCCACCTACGCTTGGGTCACTCTTATTCAGATTCTGTACCTCTAGATTGCGCGGCAAAAGAGGAACTGGCATGGTGGCTTCAACACATGGAAGCATGGAACGGCAAGGCAATCTTCGGCGCCACTCCGGATCTAGTCATAGAATCCGACGCGAGCAGACTGGGATGGGGGGCCCGCTGTGGTCCTACCTCTACAGGTGGAAAATGGTCTTCCGAAGAAAAAGAACTCCACATCAATGGTTTGGAACTCCTGGCTGGGTCATTCGCCCTACGGAGCCTCCTCGGACACACGACCAATTGTTCCATACTCCTGCGCATGGACAATGTCTCAGCCGTCCGCTACATCAACCACTTGGGTGGCACGAGGTCCTCAATCCTCACGAACCTGGCGAAAGAATTCTGGCATTTCTGCCTGAGTCGCAGTATATCCGTACAGGCGGAATATCTCCCAGGCCTCTCCAACACCGTAGCGGATTGGCACTCCAGGCATTTACGAGACAACCGTGCATGGCGATTGAATCGCACAGTATTCCAGAAGCTCCACCAACTCTGGGGACCGATGCACATCGACCTTTTTGCCTCCCGGCTGAATGCTCAACTCCCCTCATTCTTCAGCTGGAGACCGGACCCAGACGCCACGGCAGTGGATGCCTTCCTACAAAATTGGCCGAACACCAGGCTATACGCCTTCCCCCCTTTCTCACTCATAGCGCGGACGCTCCTACACCTACAGCGCTCCCGAGCATCGTTGGTTTTGATAACACCATTCTGGACGGCACAGCCATGGTTCCCTTCCCTCATGGAAATGTCAATCGACCTCCCCAGACTGATTCCAGGGAGCACGGAATTATCAGATCCCGATGGGAACTCTCATCCACTTCTGGTGCAAGGTCATCTCAGACTCCTAACATGGCTCCTCTCCGGGGACCCTGGACCATGCCGAATGTTTCACAAACGACTTTGGAATTATTGGCAGAGCTTGGGCCCCAGGGACAAGACGTTCCTATGCTCATGCCTGGAACACATGGTGTAGTTGGTGCGTGGAACGGCACGTGGATCCCATACGTGCTCCTATAAACCAGGTTTTGGGTTTCCTTACTACCCTTTATGATCAAGGCTTGGCGTATCGCACCATAAATGTGTACAGGTCAGCGATTTCAGCTGGGCATACTGGTTGGGAAGGCTTCCCAGCTGGGAAGCACTTATGGATCTGTCATCTCCTACGGGGCATAAAATTTGCACGTCCGCCACAACCTCGTTACACGGCCCTATGGGATGTGAATATGGTCCTTCGGTTGTTGCAAGATTGGCCCCCAAACTCGAACCTCACACTCAAGCAAGTGTCTGCAAAATTGGCGATGCTCCTATGCTTAATTTCCTGCAAACGGGTATCAGACGTGAGGGCCTTAGATATCGATGCACGATCATTCACACCGGATGGTGTCCTGTTTAATATCACCAGA